CCCAAAATACAGTTATTATTCCAATCCAATCCTCTCTAAGTGACAAAGCAACTTAAATAAATCATTAAGTCAAAGCAGAACTCAAAATCCATTGTTCCAGAGACTAGCTACAGTGGGCTAGAAGGCCTGAATGTGGGAGTGGGTCACTTGCTTGCTATTTTCTCCTCATTCCCTTCTTTTATACACCAACAACAGGTACAGAATCTATAAATAAAGCATTCAAAATAATATTTCTCCTGTTTAAAGCGGAATCATGCTATTATTCTGGAATGGCGGCACTCCTGGACTCCTCTAGGCTTGCCCAGACCCACCTGGCCACTGCACAGCTTTATTTTAAGCCTACAGTGCCTGTGGGTACCTAACTCCTTTCTGTCTACTCAAAGTTTTAATCCTCTGAGTTATTCTTAGTAGCTTGATCAATCAGGCCCGGTCAACTGGTTCTATCCACTCTATTCCTCTCAATTCTAAGTCTCTTAGATCACCTGATATCTAGAAAATTTGGACTTAGGCATTTGAGTCAAAACTCACAGTGCTAGCCATAGATCATTGAGTCTCTCTTCTTACTGCTCTTGGATGATGCTATCTCTACTCAATACTCCACAACCAGCTATGGTATTATATCTCTAGCTGTCTTAGAATATACTTGTCTTAGTGGCATGTAGAATTGGCCCCATTTGAGGTACCATTTTTAAGTCCAACTTGGACTTAGTATTTTCCAAGGTGTGGTGCTAAACTTTTCTAAGTTCAAACCTGACTTAGGATTTTTATCTTTAGGCCATGTTATTTTTACAAAGTCCAAATTTGGACTTAGTATTGGTGACTAGCATGACTATCAGCTCAGAGCCTCAGCCATAGTCCTCTACTGGCTAATGATCCTCAGTTACTAGCATATTCTAGTGTATTATGCAGAATTTGTAAATTATAGAGCTGGACATGTAGCCTGCATATCACTGGAACAACAGAAACTTGACAAGTTTCTGGATAAGAATCTTTTTAGTGGAAGGATCCAACCATCAAAGTCCTTCATGGCCTCCTCCTTCTTCTTTGTTAAAAAGAAGGATAGTAAACTCTGGCCAGTTTAGAACTACCAAAAGCTAAATGAAATGATGATCAAGAACTGCTATCTGCTTTCCTTGATCTCAGAGTTGATGGATAAACTCTGAGAGGCAAAATATTACACTAAGTTAGATGTATGATGAGAATATAACAATGTCTGGATCAAAGAGGGAGATGAATGGAAGGCAGCATTCTGAACCAACCAAGGGCTTTTTGAGCTCATAGTCATATTTTTCAGACTGACAAACTTCTCTGCCACCTTTCAATAGATGATGAATGATATTTTCAAGAATCTCATATCAACTGAGAAGATTACTATTTACCTGGACAACATTCTGATCATGTCTAAAGATCAGAATGAACATTGACAACTTGTATGACAGATACTAGAGTTGATGAGGAAGCACAAACTCTTCCTCAAAGCTAAGAAGTGCAAGTTTGAGGTACTAGAAACTGAGTACCTTTGAGTCATTATCAGTGAAGGAAACATTCAAATGGATCCAGTCAAGGTTGCAGAAGTGATGGAGTGGCTGATGCTGACCAAGAAGAAGGAGTTACAATCATTCCTCAGATTTACAAATTTCTATTGCTGATTTATCTGAGATTACAGCAAGATTGTCCACTCTATGATGCAACTCACAGGGAACACCTCTCAGTCCTGAGGAATAGCTCAGCAGTTGGTATTCAAAGACCTGAAAAGGTAGTTAGCCAAAGACATGGTATTAGCAATACCAACAGAAGAGGGATGATTCAGAGTTGAGGCTGATTCATGTGAAGGAGTGATAGGAGCTATACTTTCATAGAAACAGGACAGAAAATAGTGACCCATTGTCTTCTTCTCAAAGGCACTCACCACTACTGAATGCAATATAAGATTTATAACAAGGAGCTACTCATCATCATGCTTGCACTTGCTGAATGGAGGCATTACCTGATCAGCACCATCCACACCTTTAAGATCTGGACTGATCATCAAAACTTACACTACTTTTGATCACTACAGAAGCTCAACCAATGACAGACTTGATGAGTCACTGAGCTCTTGCAGTACTAGTACATCCTACACCATAAGATGGAAACAGCAAACAAAAAGGCAGACTTATTAAGTCATCAGCCTGATCATGATTAAAAGAGAGAAGACAATGGCAGGATAATGCTCTTGAAGCCAGAGCATTTCAGAGCCATAATAATGCCAACAGAGAAGGAAATACATGAGTAGATCAAAAGTATGGCACAACAAATGGAGTCATGGGATTAACATATTGCCCTCTCTATCAATCATGAACAGGGCATGACTAAATCAGAGGACCTAATTTATTATGACAATCAATTCTATATTCTCTGAGATCACATGCTCTGAGAAGAGATTATCACTATATCTCATGACCATGTCACTGCAGGACATCCAGGAATTGCAAAGATAAAGGAGTTGATGCTAAGAGAGTATTAGTGGCCAAAAATGAGATAAAACATCAAGAAGTATATTAAGAGATGTGAGACTTGTCAACAGACCAAGTCAAGCATACAAGCATGAGCTGCTCCACTTCATCTGAATGAAGTCTCTAGAGAGCTCTGGACCCACATCTCAGTTGATATGGTCACTGGACTGCCAAATTGCAACAGCTATAATGCCATCATCATCATTATTAACTGATTTTCTAAGGCAATCATTCCAATCACATGTTCAACAAAATTAACATCAAAAGGATGAGCAAAGATACTATGTGATAAAGTCTATGTGAAATACAGAATGCCTCAAGTCATCATTTTGGACTGGGGCCCACAATTCATGTCAAAATTCCTAAATGATCTCTGTCACCTTCTTAACATCCAAAGCAATGCCTCAACCACTTATCACTCACAAACCAATAGGCAGACAGAGTGTGTTAACCAAGAGATTAAAAAGTACCTTTGGATGTTTATCAACCATTGACAAGACATTAGACCAAATAGCTTACTTTAGCAGCATTTCAGTATGATAACCACATTCATTCTGCAATCAGCAAGACTCTCTTCTTCATTAATCATGGATGTTATCCATATACCATGATTATCAACTGACACAGAACTATGACCCTCACATCATCCAACTTTGCAGATCTAATGACTTCCATTCATACTGAGACACACACTGCCTTCAAAAAAGCCACTGCCACTATAAAAGTGCAATATGATAAACATCACCATCCAGCACACAAATATTCCATCAATGACAAGGTTTGGCTAGACACCATCAACCTTCACCTTTCCCATCCAAAACATAAATTTGCTGACAAATGCACTGGACCATTTCTGATGCTGATGAAAGTTGATGCTTCTGCATACCACCTAAAAATACTGGATTTCTGGCATGTTCACCTAGTCTTCAATGAAACACTCCTTGCCCCTTATATCACACCTGGCTTTTCTAATCAGGAAAACCCTCCTCCTCCAGAGTCTAATCTGATTGAGGATGAAGAACATTACAAGGTAGAACAGATTTTTGACCATAAATTGCAGAAAGTTCAAGCATGTGGCAGAGACAGCTGCACTGTTGCCTACTACTTGGTCAAATAGAAAGGCTATGGATCAGAATCCAACCAGTGGATCTATAAATGCAATATGAATATAGACAATGCTATACATGATTATGAAATTTCCATTAATTGATCCATCAGGACAATGGTCTTAATGGGAGGGTGATGTTATGATTTTTTCCTTATTTCTTTATCTTATCAAGGCACCCATCTTATCTTGAGCATCTACTTGCAGGTGTGGGAAGATTATATAATCACAACAGGTAGACAGCACCATTGTACTCAGTCACTTTGCCTATGAACAATACCTCATTGTCTACTCTCTGATGACCAGGTAGAACAAGCAGTATAGCACAGAGCAGTACAATAGACAGTAGTTATATTTATCAACAACCTGGACAGTACATAAGTAGAATAGCTCTTGCTGTAGTAGTCCAGCTTTGAGCTATAAGTTTATTCTATACTTCTCTTCTCTCAAGCTTAACCATCCTAAAGCCTTGACACACACCAAATACACAAAGAAGTGGACTTTGACATGACTGTATGAATACAATACAGTGTCAGTTTATCACATATATAGGATCATATGTCAAGCAGGTCTAACACATTTGTTATCAAGGATAATATTGAGATTTGGACTGTATCCAGAATACATGCTTATAAGACCTTTAGTCTTTAGATTACAAACTCCTGAGTTTCCCCATTGACTTCTCATATTTATACTAGACTACACCTTTTCTAGTAATTTCTATCTAATTCCTGTAATTTCCCTCAGATTCTTTTCTTACTCAGGATGCTGGAATGCTGAATTGCTTAAATTCTCTTGCAGATTCCAACAAATAAGACAGCACTGAGACCAACTTGCCTTTTTCTGTGACAAAAATAATCTTCAATATACTCACTACCATCTTCTGGAATGGCAAACCCTGATTATATGTGGCCAAGCTGGCATTCTTCTGAGCCTGTAGTACTATTTAATGATCTGAACTTGATTGCAGGCTTTTGGCAATATCATTGACAAGGTATTGGTATCTCAAATGTAGATAAAGGTCAACAAACAATGATGTCATGATAAACAGATTACTGACAGCAGGAATAAAAGAGACAAGCAATGATGCCAGAAGTAATGGTATGACAATAGACATGACCAGCAATAGTTGTCAGATGAGAGTACTTAGTCACAATGGTAAGAGGGAGAGGGTGTTTAGAATTATCCAGCATCTTATTCAGATTCCAGTGGAGTCAGCCATTACAACCAATGCAAACAGGACAAAAAAATCCTGAAGTGCATTTGCAAACAACTTGAAGGCTTTGAGAGAGGAAAAAGTGCTATCATATCAGCCAAACCAAAGTTTGCTTTCATTTGCCAATTTAGATTTTGATGAATGATATTATAATAAATATCATGCAATTGACATTTCTATGTTACCCGCTATGATCTGCATCAAATCTTTATGGATCGCTGCTAGTTGTATTACACTCAAGTATTGTATGCCATGTAACAGGGAGAAATCTCCATAAGTGAGTAAAGGAGACAAATTCAATGTTGCTTTGAAATGAAGGTAGCCTCGGTATAGATTAGTCCATCAACTTGTACCGGTTTATCCGATCCAGGTTCAGTGATCGTCAGCTTCCCAGGATTGAACCACTGATAAAAGATATCAGATATGGTAGACAGAAGGGAAAGACAGATACCCACCTGGTAGATGTAAGGCTTCGTGCCAGCAACATAGTTCACTGCCGCCTTGATAACATATGGTATTTCCGCCATAACATCGACCTTTTCAATCAGACCCTTGGGGTTCTCCACATCTCCCACATCCACTGATAGTTTTGCCGAATAGTTTCCTGATTGACCGAGAAGGACAGATGGTCCCGCCCATTCAAACAAGAGTTCGCCAGGCCTCTTGTACCCCGTATCCTTGTCCAATGCATGCTTCAAATGAGTAGCCCTGCATACAATGTTGGAAGCTGACGATTCGTCTTTCGTCCACTTGGTCTCTCCCGTCACGCAGACCAGCTGGCCGTTAACGACTAGCGAACCAACATTGACTACAACACCCCCCGATCTAGATCTATGCTTTCCATAGGCGTCTGTTGTCGTAAACTCCATCTGAATAGCGGATACACCACCATGCTCATCACTCTGAAAGTTGGCAAAGTTCCATGCGGATGCAACAAGATCGGGCCGCATCCCCTGGATCGCATGCACAAACATGCCCGGGCCTTTGACGACATTAGCCTGCCCCTTGTAAATAAAATGGCCATTCGCACGGAAACGTGGCCAGAATCGATGGACAACATATCCTTCGGGACTGGCAGGATTGGATCCGAAATAGGAAAAGCCTCCTTTCTCGCCTTTTCCTAGTTTCCAACCAGGAACGGAGGCAGGACGAGAGATCTCGAGGCCAATTTGGAGGTCGGTGGCAAGATTGGCGGTGATGAGGTAGGATTCTGGAAAGTCGGTGCCAGGGGCATCCTTGTGGGTGATGGAGAACTGATCAGCCTTGCTGGAGCGTTTATCAAGACCTGGGGGTGGTGTAACGAAGTTGGATACGTTGATAGACTTCCAGATAGTCTCGCCAGTCTTTGGATTGTGCCATTTGCAGGTGAACTGAATGGTCGGATACCAGACACTGAATCAACATCAGCGCAGAACGGTAACGTGCAGGAGACAGACGCGCACCCTACAGAATGAATTACTTGGCACATAAGAGAAATGCCATCCTCAGTCGTCGTGTAGAATATCTGCGTCTCTGTGATGAATCCACCAGCACAGGCCCATTCTGTGTCCTTGGGGGTCAGTTCGCCAAAGAGCTCATCCTCCTTGAAAGCATCCGACACAGGACGGAAATTGGGCGCCTTGGCGTCAACAGGTGGCGAAGTGCTGATGCATATTAGAAGATGCAGCGAGTACGATATTCGATACTCACGAAAAGATGGAGGAGAACATGGTGGTCAGGGATAGAAAAGGTCTTGGCCTCGGCCCGCGATATTTGATGACACCCAGTCTATTGGTTCTACTCGGTGACTGGCCTCCACTAGCCTTTTTCTGGTCATTACTACGCGATAACTAATCTAATAGCAGGCAAGGAATGCAGCGTGTTATTTAACTCGAGTCCGGTTCCATCGCATGTTCTAATAACTTTGGTCGTTTTCTCGGTCCTGAAACAACCGGAGATCGTGAACGTCCAGACATCTCCTGGCTGTCTTTTCGTGGCATCTGATGATTCTGTAGCTGCATCCAGGTCCTTGGAAGAATGGTAAATAGCGTTTGGACTAGGGTAAAACGACCTCACCGACAGAGTGTCATCGAACTGGAGAGCCCACGAAAACGAGTCGGGGTCATCCTCCGTACTAGACGTCGATGGCTGCACCCCATCTTGCTCTCGAGAAATGTATATCCATACAAGTTTCATAGTCCCGTTTTCGAGAAGCGTCAGCTCCCTGCTCTGGCCGGCCTTCAGGTTGGAGGGATTAACCATCGGTATAGTAGATGGCCAACCCACAAGGGTAACACCGTATGTGGCAAGTCGACCTGCGCTTGTTGTCCTAGACACGACCATGATTAGTATCAAAGAAGGCCGTAAGAAATATACACACCTAAGCGCATTCCTTATTTTCTCGTAAAGCTCTACTTTCAAGGATAGAGCGATTTTTGTACGATTTCAAGATCAGTGCTCGAAGAATAGCCCTGAGCTATTGAAGTCTGTGACACCAGGTGCTTCATACAATGCGATCGGAACGCTCGAGCACCCGAATCGCCGCCCCCTCGAACGTTCCTCCAGAATTCACGACCAAGCAAAGATCCTCCAAAAAAACCCTTCACCTAGTTCGGGTTGGATCCACAGCAACGAATGATTCCACGCCAGACACTTCTTGCAGTAACGGTCCAGAGATATCGCATAGGATCGTTTTTGCTTCCCATAAGAAATAATATAAAAAGCAAACAACTGCAGAATTTTTGAACAAACGCACTATATGCTAAATGTCCTTCACGCGAGACATTGGTAGCTACAGAGAACGGGGCACGCGACTGGAATAGATATTTGCTATGCCATTTTGCGATACTACGTCGGGTCTGACCTTGTTGGTAAGTTCCTACAAGCGGCCGATGCAGTACAATCTCTTCAAACGACCGGCTCTAGCGTGCCGCAAAAGTCTTTATATCGGCGAGCGACTTGTACAAAGAAATTTAAGAGACTGGCGAGTTCCGGCGATTCAGACAAAGTCACGTGGTTGTGTACGAGTCAGTCCGAGATTTTGCTCCTTGAATCGGTACCACCACCGCGACAACGAAAGGCTAGCTTCTACTTCATTCGTTATGATTTCACCGAGGCACTCGAGACGTGTAAGGAAGACAATTGCTGCAGATAACGACAGTCCAGAGCCGGTCCCAGCTCCAGTCAAGCATAGGACTAAGAAGCAGCGCACTGAAAAGCCCAAGTCTGAACTCAGAGCTGACTCGGATTCAGGGAATCACAAGTCATCGAAACCCCCGACGCGTCGACGAAAGGGAGTCCTGACAAAAGTGGCTGAGACTCCGCTTGATGTCCTCTTTGAGGTGAGCTCCGACGGACCTCTGTGGCGGCATGACCAATGTTGGGCTTAGATCTTTCAACATCTCGAGCCCCTTGATCTCCTTCGCTTGAGCCGAACGACCAAAGACCTCCGTACCCTTCTTCTCCAGCGTCAATCCAGTTTCATCTGGAAAAGTGCCCGCGAAAATGTTAAAGACTTACCTCCATTACCAGACGATATGATAGAGCCACGATATGCGAGCCTGGTCTTTGACAACCACTGTCAAGTATGTAGCCTGTTTTCTGATATGTCTCACGGCTTATACAACTGTCGCAGAACTGTTTTGCACCAACGAAACTTGTCCAATGGCAGTTTAGGCTGCGGTACTGCAGGATTTGTCTATATAACAGCCCTGATGTGTACGTCCAACAGCAGTCTGCTGTACCCCCCAATCTTTGCATTTATCTGTGCACTCTCAGAACCAAGGACCCCTACGAACTTCCTGATGAGATGCTACAGCTCGTTCCTCGTTTTATACTGAATACGAATATAGGTCGTAAGTATGGACATTCATCGTCGTGAAAGAGCTGACGATATGCAACACTTCCGCAGGTCGAAAACGTTGCGAGACATTCTACCATACGCCATCGATCAATGCACTAGAGGAATGCCTCTGTCATGGTTGTGACCTGTGGTTCGATGAAATAGAAACTTCTTATTGGAGACTTGTTGAAGTACGCTGAGAACTTTCCCCTGTTGACGCAATATGTCAATGAAACCATAATTGTTAGCATTCTGATGCTTGCGAGAAGTGGGCCTCCGACCGGGCTGCTGAACATGCAGACAAGCTCAATTCGCTTCGTGTTGCAAGGGGTGATAAGTGAGTCGTCTGGGACTTGTGCCGATGATATTGCTTATCTTGTTGCTAACAGTGTAGTCGAACGCCTAGCAGCCCTCGGCTGGGGTGAAGAGATCAAAGAAATGGATAATGAGACTGTCCTGCGCCGTCACAAGTTGGTTTGGCAAGTCAAGCCACTTACGGATCGAAGTAGGTCTTGCTTTCTGACCAATTTTGAGGCTAATAGTGTTGGCACCTCTTGTCTAGTCTGGTCCGCAATAGAACCAGCTATGATTGAGTTGATGGAATCACTTAAAGCCAAAAGGCTCGATGGATGCTATTGAAAGCAGGTCTCGTTTATTCGGAGGACCCGATGTACATTACCTTTTCCTCCGAATCCCATCTGGTGATGCCCAATTTCGCAGATATTGCTCTCAGCTCACTTTCTCCGGCCTTATATTCAACAAACTACATGATGAAGAGGTATCTTGCTGAGCCCCCGACGCACACCGAAGAAATTGTTGCAGATTGGCAGGAGACTAAGGCTTCCGAACTTCAAACTCTACTCGTAATTCGAATGTCAGTTGCAATCTTCAAGGACCTGGCGGTTTTGGTCTTCGACTGCTCGACATATAGTTTTCAACTAAGATATCCTCGTGTTCTTATGCACAGTTGTCATCCAGAGGACTGGCGGTTCCCCACTGGCACTATTACCGAGTACGAAATGGTCTGGCGCACTGTTCTGTATCAGGAGCCATGGTCTGTCAGAAATTTGCGTATCTCGTCATCCAGTGTCGAAAACGCTAGAGCTGTAGTGCGTGTATGCCAGATACGGCAACGTCTAACCGTAGTCCTGGCTTGCACGTGCTTCCAGAATCAGTTCCTGTACACCTCTGTGGAAGGCCAAGTCCTCCGAAGGAGAAATAGTTTTCCGAGTCAAAAGTTTCCTTAGATACATTTCAATCTACCGGAAATCTTTGGTTCCGAACGGATGGATCATGTGTGCGCGGGTCTGAAGATATGGAATAAGGCTAGTCTACTAGGAAGTAGCAGAGGATGCTTCGGAAACGTGCCAAATGTACCTGTCGCTATCAACATATTCATTATGTGAACAACCGTAGAATACATACAACACGACATATACACAGCCTAAATGAGGGCTACAAAGCCTTGGCCTTGGCCTCCTCCCGCTCCTGGAGTTTTTGAACCGCTGCCTGCTGCTTAACAGCAGCCTTCATCATCCTCTGCCGTTTCCGTCGACCGTTCCCTCTCTTTTTACCTTCCACAACGATGGGTTCAGAAAGCTTCTTTTTCCGATGAGCAGCCTCCTCCGCGCGCTGTTTCTCCCGCTTTTTGTCTCTTTTCCGTAGAGTCGTCATTGATGCCTTGAGCAGGGAACCATACGCGCTATGAAATTTACGTAGATCTCCAGAGGTCACCTACATACTTTATCAGTTTACGCGGTGAAGATAAATGGAGACTACGTACCCTAGTTGAAATTTTGACTTTGCCGCCATCGGACAGGCGAACAAGACATGGATATTCCCGCACGTCTTCCCTGCCTTCCTCGTGCTTCATTGCGGAGTCTTCCCCATCACGTGTAACTGAAAAGCAAAGGACGTGCTCCTCAGGTTGACCTGGCAGCGAACGAATTGATCCAACACGTACGTCGTTTATGCGTGAGCCATATCGATCCCTTGTCTTTCGACGATTCAAACAGTTCAGAAAGTTTTTGGAGAAACTGGAAAGAGTATCAGAAAGATTCTCAATGAAGACAGGAAATACTTGCTTTGTCGTTGTCCACCAGCTGCATGCTGCATCGAACACAGTGATAGCAGGGAAACAAGTGCAAGTTCCACGTGGTCAGCGGCTCCGGCAATTCCCACGCGTCGCGACTATGCACCACCACGGTCGCGAGTCGCGACTCAAATTCCTAATAGCAAGCTTCTTATTTCCTTTTCTTTTTATAGTTGATAAATGACCTTGCTCCACCTCCTGAAATAATATTATGAGGAGTTACTTTGTTTACAAGTGAAAGTCCGGCCTCTTCAGGTGACAGAGTAAATTGCATGGTGCTGCTAAGCAGACAGTAAAATGGGATATACATGGACAAGAAGACTCCTTCAAAGCGGCCGTGTCAAAATTAAATTCGCTTCCTTTTCGAGAGCCACATGTCGACTTTAGCGCCTTTGTTAGATTTGGGTCATTTTCAGCTTGACTAGTAACCACCAGCCTGAGCCAACGAACCCTTTCCTTGCAAATGAACTCCGAAATACCATTTCTCTTCGAAGGTGAGGTCACCTACCGATCAGAAGCAAAGGCGAGCTCTCCTATGATTCCTGTCCACACTTGGCCACTCTTGACGTGCTACGAACAAGTTGTTGATTACTACCTGTTCCTCAGAAACAGCGAAACTAGCCCATGGGGCGGCTACAATGATTTCCGGTTCGCATGTTTGGAAACCTTTTTTCTAGAGATGTGTGGATTCTATTCGGTGAGTGGTAAACCTTGTGCATTTTGCGAATGTTATTCTGACGCCACTTCAAGGGAGAACTGGACCTCACAGGCCGGCATAAGCCTGTACGTAGCATTTTCTTTCTCCTATGTACTGAGAGCGACCTGGTGTTTCAGCGGTTCCTTTTCCTCCAACCAGTCTGGAATGAATTCATTGCAGATTTCAACATTACTCCCTACGTTGAGGAACAGCCGGGATATGGCCACTCCATATCTCGGCCAGAATACACATTCCACCGGCCTCTTCTTTGGCAGAACTTCAGGTCCAAGTGGGTCGTCCATGAAAATGGTTACTGGTTTGTAAAATGTCGCGTGGGTAAGCAAGGCCTAATGCCCTCTATGATTCTCGGGCGCTTACTTTCCATGCAATTACTTTCAGCGGAAGTTCTGAGGCTCATGACCAAAGCTAACTACACGCCGAAGTTTCAAAGACGTCATCTTTTGCATCTTCCAGACGAGTTATTGGATCTCATCATGAAGAATGCAAGCCTTGAAAATACACGAATAATCTCGTCTACTTGCAAGAGTTTGCGCGTCATCTCCCAGCGCTACATCTTTGTCGTGCGTTCATTTGCCAGTTTCCCCTTAAGTTTTTGTTCATCATTTCGGTAGTCGCGACGATTGATTCTCAATACACTGAATCTCGCAGACGTGATACTGCTTCTTGAAGAGAAGAGGCAAGCGGCGACGTTAGAACGTTATCTAAAGGAGCATGATCAAAGTTTATCTCAAGTTCATTTCTTGCTCGGCCGCCCTGATATTACCCAGAAAATCAAAACCGTTCACATCCGAGTTCGCAGTGTCTTCGACCATAGCCGTGGGCTTTACCTGGGTTCCGGTACTTTTATCCATCTCGAGACTATTGAGCACGCATTTTGTTCGGTCCTCGAAACTATGCAAAATCTCACGTCCCTCTCCGTCTCTCGTTTTTTGCTCAGTAATCCCTTCACTCAGACGATAGCTTCTCTCCCCCACCTCCGAACCCTAAAACTTGCGATACACGCGCCTATCACTTCACTTCTCTGCTATCCTATGTGGATTCTCAACAGAATTGAAAACCTGGTGTTGACAATTGATCCAGACGGGCTCCAGGTTCTGCTTTTCCTTGATTCCTGGGCGAATTCTATCAAGAATTTGTTCATATTTTATCCACATGTGCCTGAGCTAGATGCATTCTCAAACATGTGCGCTATGGAACGGGTGTCCCTCTCTAGTCTTCCTCGCATATATGTTCACGTCGTGGAAAACATGCTTCTCATCTCACCTTCGTCGGACGTCCGTCGATTGACTCATCTTAAATTGGATTTCCGAGAGCCCATTTTGGATGAGGAGGTGGTCACCCTGTCCGGTGCGTTGGAGTCTTATCCAATGGAAGTGCTTGTGTTGGACGGACTACTCCAAGGATACCCAGACATCATCGACGCCATCGCACAGAAACTGCCAAATTTATTGGTCTTGATGCTTCTCCGCCGTGGCGGCTCCGCTCAGAGTGTTAGTACCCACTGTATGTGGCCTAAACCGATATGGACGTATGCACCTCCCTTTTCTCAGTTCACAAGGCTCAGACATTTCGAATGGAACTATCAATACTTTTGTGATGAAGTTATCACGCCGTGGTCGATGCTCCGACTGGAAGGTCACAACGATCAGGATGTATCCGTGCGGCCCTACCTGGGATACGAGTCGGATGACCATGAAGACATAGAATATGCTTTGTGTGGAGCTTCTGTGTTTAAGGCATACTGCCGGGGGCCAAAGCTGGTAATGGTTTATCTCCATGATCCTGCCAGGTCCTGGTGGCTAATCGGAGAAGATGGTCCCATCCCGGACACAGCGCCACATGATCGAAACCTTCCAGCTCTTGAGTGGAATCCTTGTATGGACGAGGATTACTTGGAAGACTCCTGCAAGTGGTGGTAGATACTTCTACTTTATGTGCTTTCTGCCTATCTCGTCTTCTTTTGCACCTCCACGGTCGCGACTGAGCTTTGCAAGTTTTCAATGACAAGCTTCTTGGTTTGGTGCATGGCAAACTCATGTAATATTTTTTCTAGTTCATAAACGACCTTGTTTCATACCTCCCTTGAAATAATATTATAAAGAGTTACGTTGTGCACAAGTCAAGCCTGGCCTCCTCAACTGAAAAAGCAATTGCACAGCACTGGTAGACAGCCAGTAAAATGGGATACGTGTGGGCAAGGAGACTTCTTCAAACTGAGCGCAAGCTGCCGTACCGTAACAACCTCGGCAGATAACTAAGTTAACAAACCACAGGCGCGTATGAGCAGTCGAGTTAGATTTGAACAGTAGTCACACGGTCGTGGAGTCTTCAAAACTGACCACTCTTCCTTGTCATATGAATCCTCGGTTCCCAAGACAGACACGCCATTGTAAACACCAAGACTCACACTATAATGTTCAGACGAGTGAAGGAAGCATCAACATTAAGCGATCGGTCCTTCTTCAGTACCTGTCACGCTATCCAGTGTGAATGCTCTCATATTTTTGGTCCAACACGAGACGCCGAGTCCCCGGCCATAGGATTACGGACTCATCTCCGCGAAGGTTTTAACCTTTTGTCGGCTATTGACCGCGCAGAAAGAGCTATGGCGGTGACCTATGGATTCAGAGAGATGTAGGCTGCAAAATGGTCCGGAAGGAGCACAATGGGAAAAATGTCTCTTTCGAATGGTCCGCGCTGCATGGCCATTTGAATGCACGATGATCTTCCGCTACAGACAGAATGGGGTTTCGCCGATATGGGATTAACTTCGACAAAAATTCGGCGGTAGGGTCAGAACGATTCTAAACGGGCATTCATTGACGCTGGCCTCTTGAACAGAAGGCAGGAAAGTTGATATCGTAACTACAGGTGAACCAATTCGTGTTTCCAAGCATACATTGAAACAAAAAATATTACTTACCAACAATTGAGTCTGAATGCGACCTCATAAGAACCCCAGCAGATAGTCAAGGTAACCAACTACAGTAGGGATTTCCACCGTACCGTAGACGCGGTTATGGCCGTAAGCCGTATGAAAAATAGCCTCCGACAGTACCTCCGACAGTACCTATAGTCTCTCCTAGATGAGACAGTTCATCGAGTTAACTTACCTTACATCAAAAGAATCCGGAATCCATTCAAATTTGAGGTACCTGTGTGACGACCGTCAAAATACGGCCGTAAAATATTTTTCCGAGGTGCTGGTGATACGGGTACGGTGGACATCCCTAGACTACAAGTAAGAGTGGCTTACTTTATAATTATCGTCTCACGCGTCGAACCTGGAACCAAGTCGGATCTACATGCACTCCTCCCTCGTTACCACGGTTTGTCCTCTGTTTAGGACAGTACCGTGAGCCCTAATGATAGTTTCAAGAAAGACTACGTCACTAGTAGTGATGTGTGGGCGAGGCTTGCTTAACGGGCTCGGCGTTTGCGGGCTGAAATAGAAGCCTGAAAACAGGACCCGGCTTGGTGCACAAGAAGACATGTCTAGCACTATTTTATGTGAAGAAACAAGGTTATACTCAATGGCCTGTTTCATTATTATGATGGTGTGTGCGACGTGCAGAAGAGAGTGAAAAGCTCATTGAAGACGGCTGTACTCGGCACAGGATGCGGCAGCTGGCCCACGTATGAGTCGGCAAATAACCGGCATCATGCCGAAATAGCCAATGGGTAGTTGCTTCTAAAATAGTAGCAGAATACGCAATAATTGGGTAGAGAAACGCATACCAAAAGCCCAGGGCTGGATTTAGGCTTTCACACCGTCAAGTCAATACAGTAGGTTCAGGCCTTGCTGGGCCTGGGCTGACATTATTGCTTCCGAGTCGAGCCCCGACGGAGCTCTACTTCCTATACCACCAGGATTACTTTATTTCAACTTTCAGTAATATCAAACTTCCCTCCTGATGATACCATCTGTCTCTCGGCATCTCTGTGAAACGATCTCGAGACACTTTTCGAAGGCGGATGGCCACAAGACGAAAAATTTCATGCTTAGTTTATCATGATTGTCACACTCTTCCGGAATGACTTGGGCTGCTCCTGTACTCTTAGGTGCCGAAGGCCCGGCGGTGCAATCAGTTCTCATCTTTTCTGTGTGCTTTGAGTGACACAAATGAATATTTTCAAGCAAGATTCATCCATTCTTGTCATATTGGGAGAGCGAAGGCATCGTTACCCCGTTTCGGCGCATACCGCTGTCGGCCTACCTTTTACCACTTCGTTCCTCTCCCTTTGCTCTGTCCTCTTGGATATGGTAACTTGCGGAATCTTTGGGCAATCTCTCAGGACGCTATACCCCTTCTTCTCCACCATGCTGCCCCGTTTCGGAGAATATGAACTTTGCTCTCTCGAGATTCAAGACGATCCCGAGGTCACCGAAGCCGGTAGAACTTAATTTTAGGGACCAAATCTTATGCTACACGGGGCGAATAGCTCTTGGTGCATTCACATTGCTGACAACCGGTGTTTCCAGCTTCCCTCCGCCATCTTACCTCACGTCGAGCGCATCTCCGTGAACATGACTCTGCTTTCACAATGCCTGCCCTGTCAAAAAACGGAGTAAGTCGTCATGCCCGACATGTCGGCCAGTGCCCACTAAGGCCTCTGCCATGGCCGAATTGCTACCTCTGCCAATGCAGGCTATCTGCCGCGACACGCCGCATTCGAAACGACGTCATTATCGGCCAGACCCTAAATACTAGCTGAAAGACCGAGAACAGTTTCTCCTACGTCAGGGCTATGGCAGGGAGGACGATGATCGCAGGTTGATTCATGAAGCAATAGCAAGAGCCCCATTGGTATGCGTGCCTGACATAGTTGGCGGAAATGTCGCTGATGATCAGATGGACGGACTTCAAGCATCTGCAGGTACCTTGCATTCCGTTTTGAACATGATGCAAAGGCCATGACAGTCGATTAGGAAGTGAAGCTGATGGTACTAACGAAAGAACGTCGATAACTTTAAAATGCCCTTCGATTTCCTCTGACGGCTGTTCTTCGTGTGCTCCGCGAACACAAGGACTTTTTCGACCCCCATGATCACTCTGGGCCTCAACGCATGGAGTCATCAGGGACAAAATTAACGATCCACGGGGCTTCTTTCGTGGAAATCAGCGCAATGAAAAGGTATGTTAGTCATTAATCGCCTATCCCGACCGTTTGACTTCCGTGGAATCGAAGCAGGACATCATGAACGTGTCAAGGCGAAAGATCGAGCTGACATTGAACGGGGATGGCAAAAGGACGAAGAAGCCCACGCCCGACTGCGGTCATAAATGCAAAAGTATCGTTCCCCACCCGACGTGGAAGTAGATTCGCCTGGGACTATGGTATGGTCCCCGCATTCTTAGCAATCCTTGCGACTCATCGCTTCTGTAGACTTTGAAAACACCACCAGTCAATGTGGTTCCGATTCTCGTAATATGAAGAAGTTGATAGGTAGATATAGGCGAAATGTCGGTATTCGTTCTAATCAGATCATAACATTTCTGCCTTATGGTCTTCAGAGCTCTCGAGGTTCGCCGTAGGTGGATCACCTCTGGTCTTCGGTATACTGAACATTAATCATGGTATTTGAATGTGAATGTTCGCTGTCGCTGTCAAATCGCTGATGTCTTTTCCAAATCTCCGCAGGCTCCATCTCTCTTAATATTCTCAGCAAGACCAATGTGCGCCAAGTTGCTGACGGTTCTTTAGTATTCGATCACCTTGGCGCTTGTCCTCAGACCGGACGTAAGCCTCCTCCCGTTTGTACTGACATCAACCGTTCCTAATTTTGTTTTAGAAAAGACCACCAAGGCTTATGCAGCTTCCGCACCAGTAGCTTTGGCTGATTTGTCACGGTCAGGCTCAAGGTTCCCTGGAGACTCTGAAGCTTTGTCAGAGCGTTATCATTCGACCTGGACTCGGACAATTGCATGAATAGAAGAAGCTCGTGGTCTCACAACTTTTAAGCGGGGCGATAAATGGGCGTAAGATGAGTCATGTCCCGGTTCACTTGCTTCTTGTTGAACGGACATACCAGTAGAACCATCGAAAGGTTCAAGAATAAGCCTCTACCTGAGGTTTGGAATGACGTCGACTTCACTCAAGCATATGCCGTCAGCCTCGATAATGTGCCCTCATCGGCGGCGTAAACCCACCACCCTCCCTCTCTTAGTACATTATCATGGCTGGCCGAAGAAAGATGCTGTTATTTTTCTACATTGTTGTCTCAAATATGTCGAGGAGTCTTCCGACTGCGGTTCGCTAGATCTTACTATTGAGGTGCGTCTAAAAGCGCGCCGCAAGGCTTGCTACCTGAATTCTTATCAAGGGTCGCACGTTGCAACGTACTATCTCTGGGACCTCTTAGGCAAACAGTTCAATAGTGGTGATGGCGACCGGAATGAGGCTGCTCTCTTCCATTCATTCGTCACGCTAGTGAAGACGGCATGCGCTCTTTTTTGTTCAGGGTCGCTGTGTGTGGCGACCAAGAACTGCAGGCGACAAAAAAAGGTGGGGCTTCGTTTGTTCTTCGAAAGAATTGAATCTCACGATATTGCCTAGAACCAAAGTGGGGAATATGCATGAACAAAGATGGGCATCGAAAGACGCGTTGACTCGACGGGCCTGACCTGTAATCTCACATTAGTAGGGCGGCCGTTGCGATCGACCTTGACATTTTTCTCTTCTTTATATTCGGTGACCATTCTTCAGACATGGATTCCGGAAACACGAAGTTTTAAAAGCCCAAAGAGGAGGGATCTTTAACATTCCGCTCTGATACAATATGGGTTATCCACTGGCGCCGCCAGAGTCCTATCTACTATACTACACAGGCACTGGTAGTAGAAAACTAGCCTGGATTCTGCCTAGATTCCTGGATGCATAAATAAGCACTTCGCGCCAAGTCAGGCAACACGTTCGTGATCCTTATAGCCAGCTTCTTTCTTCCAAAGGAGAGGAGCTAAGAGCGTCTGTCTTCGATATCGTCCTTTTGAAAAAAAAAAAAAAAACACAACTTCTCATTTTTCGAGTTCCAAAATCTAGACTCCGCTAGTGACACTACAATTCTCACAGGTCTCTGCCCCAAAAGCGAATCAGGCCGTGGTTTTCTCCCGGGATGATCGCTCGTTTCAGAGGACGGTGCTCGCTTTCATCCTCGAAAGTCAGGTTGTCAAACGGAGAGTATAGATCAGCGGTACCTCTAATGTGCCGTACAATTTCTGGGATGGTTTGTCTTCATCCAGACTTCTGCCTTCCAGTGTTCTCTATTCTACAAGACGGCCACTGTTAGACGTATCTGACCGATGATCCCGACGAACTACACCCCTATAGATGTACAGTTAATTAAAAATAGAAGTTCCCGTGAGCCGCGCCTTCAGCTCTCGGGCCTAGAATTGATTGAAGGGACCATTTAGAGCGAACGAGATGGTCATTAATATCAAGCTGCAGCTTCAACGAACAAGCTACTATATTGACGGTCACGATTCCTCGCAGCTGTGTTCTCTTGAGAAAGGGGTTAAATCAGCGTACGCCGGCTGACTCTTTAGCGTTTCACATTCAACATTGCTCGCAGGTCGCGGTGCTTTTAATCACAGAAGACTGGATGAGATCCTTGTATTCCTAGTGTGTTCCGTGAAGACCTAAGATTGGGATCCAGGTGAGTACAGACACCGGTATTGCTGCTGCTTCGGGGCGCAAAGAGAACCGGTGAAACAAGTAGCAGCGAGGGATAATGGTGCATCCATCAGGGGCTTCAGGGTCTGAATCAAGAACTAGAAAAGTGGAATGGTACCCCAGAATGATCTCCGTCGACCAACCTTCCCATAACTCCCACAATGTAATGAGTGGATTTGTTTTGAGAAGTACAGACGAAGAGGCATGGCCTAATAGAAGACAGTGACCATCGGAACCCGAGTCGCTGTAGATTCACATTACTGGAAGACGGGATCCTAGATAAATGGCGGGGAAGAACGTGCGAAATCGAAGACTTTAGACGGTTATCCGGGAGAGGCGGGAGGAACAGAGACATTGTTCTTGTGACAGAGAGGAAAAATGCATCCGTTAGGAATAGAACACATAGTGATTGGTTTGTTATTGTATGAGTATCGGGAGGACACACGAGTTGCTGCTTCGGAGGCTCGGCATGCGGAAGATAGAAGCGAGGAAAACACCAAACTTCTTCATCACTATGAGGCTTGAGGATGGCAGAAAGCATATCTAGGGACAATACAGTTGTAGTATATGAATGGGTTACGGAAGTAGTGAACCGCTATTCTTGAGAACGACCATGAGCGTGAGGAATGCTAACGTTTTGACGATGAGAGGAAGCCATTACGAGAAAAATTTCTGATAGCACAGAAAATTGAGACCGTTCGAGGAGATAGCCGCCGCCGTCGCCGCGGGTATTACTCATTGGACTACGCAGTACGGTGGGAATGAGAAATGGAAGACGAGGGGCTCATCGCCGCCGTGGCGGTCCATTTTCATTTCACTCGAGTCGCTACGGGTATTTGCGACCCGATCGTCATAAAGTCATCAATCAGAAATTCTGGAGTACCTCAAAAGGCAGCTAAGCAATGCGGGTTCCAGGTTTGTGGAACAAAAATCATCCAAGGAGATACGGGCACGAAAAGAAGAGACGGAGACTACTTGAAAGCATATTCGCGGAGTCGAAATTGTTAATGACCCCATGGGCCATGCCCCGGGTTGATGATCCAGAGATGAGTGCTCAGTCGTGAGTGACGTAGAGTTATCTAGGTTTCGAAATTGTGGTTTGAAAATGCATATGCCGAAATATTTGTTAGCCGCGGGGGCGCTACCGGCGGGAAGTTCCAGGCCTAGGTTACTTACCGCTGACTATCCAGGGAGGATAAATTGGTGTGGGAAACAGTTTCTGTTAGAAACGAAGAGGCCTTACTGTTTGGGTTCGAATTGATGATGGTGGTCTGGGGCAGTCAACGGAGTAGATGGGGAGACTGACCGTGCACCACCACCATCACATTTAGAGAATATATAAGGAAACACTGAAGCCTAACCAGCTCTCTGATAGTATATCGGTTAGTACACGCGCCTGTCATTTGAACGCGCGAAAGCTGGGTTCGACTCCCAGTCAGAGAGAGAGACGAAACGTTGGGTGTTTTCCTTTTTGTATACTTGACTAATCTCACTGAATTATCCGTTAAAGTTCGAAAACGACGTTCGTTGCTGAGCCAGTTGAAGCCCGATAATTTCACATTTTATCGATGCAGGCGAGTAGGCGTACGTGTTTTTCATTTCAGGTCTTAAAAGAATAGAGCTCCCCACTTGGCGTTGACATCACTCCTAATGGTCATTCTCATTCGTACAATGCGCAGGGACGATATGTCAAAAGTTCTGAAAAGAGTCGGACATGACCGAAGAAAGAGGGCCGCTGAGTACAGAGTTTAGATCAGGTGGGAGAGATTTGGTACTTATCACATCACAAACGGGGGCTGATGGAAAGGTCGTGCGAGTCTGCGAGTCTGGGCAGGCGCAGAGTCGCGGTGATACTTACTTACGTAGATGGGTGACAGATCGCAAGGCGGCGATCAAGAAAAAGGAAAACTGCCGTTTTGGGGGTGCTTCGGCACATGGATAGATGCGAAAGTGGCAAAGCAGTGCGAATAGAGAGCTTGGGAAGGTAATCTTCAGGGTATCGGTAGGAAAATTCGGGGGATACGCGATTTTATCAGAAAGTTGAAAAGAAAAGGGCTGTAAAAGGAGGAAAAAATCGAACCAATACAGATGAACGATCAAGGATAAACACGGATACATCCGCGGCGTGGATTGATTCAGCTTTCTCAAGCATCGGAGATTAGTTTCCCACCTAGTTTATATAAACTATTCTCGCTATGAATCCGACGTGCTTTTCGTCCTTGTCCATCCTTTGCCATGTCCTCACTTCTCTCCCTGCCCCGAGAGACAATCGACCTAATCGCCTTCTACATCGCCTGTCCCACTCATGGCGGCCTTCCCAGCTCGCTGCTGCCCTTCGTTCTCACCTGCCGCAAGATTGGCCTCTACCTCCATGAATCCAACGCTGTTTTTCGTGAAATATTCATCTTCAAGTACAGCTACGGTGCTGTTGGCCGCCGTGCATTCGATCTGACGTCGCGAGACCTGAAGCATCAGCTTTATTGGTATCGCAAGACGCTTCGGTTCATTCTGGAGCGACGAGGACTGGATGGCGAGCGCGAGCTGAGAAACACGTATGACGTCGACGTCTCGGACGTGCTTTGGGTGGTGTACTTTATGTGCCTCGATGACGACGGCTACAATCTGAGGCAGCTGACCGCGGTCGGCGCGTACGAGTGGATCCACGACTTTGTGACCCTGCGCTTGTATGACGGAGCAAGCGAGAACGGGGGCTGGCCGCTCGACAACTGTGTGAATGCGTTGGCATTGTGGATCTTCTGGAGACTTTCTACAAAAGGTATGCTGCCGTTTCAATGCGTGCTGGTGATGTGACCTCATCTTTGGACTAGCACGGTTGTTCTCTGAAACAGACGAGACATCCGACCGTATCATTAAATTGATTCTGCCTTTTGTTACCGTCCCTTTTCGTTACGCGTCTGCCTTTGCACCGCCGAACCACTTTGATTTGCCCCTCCAGTCCAAAGCTTACAACTTTGCTCATCTATCCTCTCGCATTCCATTTCATACCCGGTCTGCCCATTTTCTTTCTGTCCCTACGGCCCACGGCCCTTATCCAGTATACCTTTCCCCTTCTCGTGTCTGGTCACAAGTTCACTTCTCACGCCGTATCTGCTTGACCTGTCCGCTTGTCACTACGGCTGCCAAGCTCCTTTTCTTCACACGCAGGGAGCTGTATCCATATGGTATGAACTATAGCCTTCCTAGGAACAGGTCAGAGGCTATATCCAGAGGCCTAGGTGGGCAGATTGGCCCGACGCAAGAGGACATCCATGAGATGAACCTGCACCGTCTAGGCGGCCCTGACGGCAAGTATGGGGGAACGAAGCTTCCGACTGTCGCTCCAGATTTCTCGGACGAGGTGCCAGACATAAGCAGAGCCTACGATCCCGAATGGTATAGACTTAGGCTGTGCACCAATGCATGGGCTGATGATCTCGGAGACGATGATGAGATCTGGCGAAGGGCAAAGTTGGGTAAAGGGATGAGAGTCAAGACTGCGGACCATGAGGTACGCGAGCTCAGATTTCGTCAAGCCGAGATGCACGTCCTGGGATCACTCACCGGTTTGTGGGCCGGTCGTATGGCTGTAGGTTATTTCCCCAATTGCCTTAGATCATTTTCATCGAGTTCACCGCTACAGATACCTGGTGAACATCAGCTCCTGCAGCTGTTGATTGCAAATCAAAATAACACCCGACGAAATTCTACTCAAAATGACAATCCGGTACCGTTTCCCCAGGGGTTTAGCGAGGATTACCTCGGGCTCATAAGCGCACCCTTGTACATGCGCCTGCGGGAGCATGTATCTTATGCAGGCGGTGATATCGTTCCTACTGGTGCAAGTGGGGTTTCACCCTCACGTTACGAAGATGCCGAGGAGGAAGAGGAAGAAACAGACGAGGACGACGTGGATAGCCTATGTGATGTGGAAATGGCTAGCGAGAGCGGGTCGCAGGACGATAATATGCCCATAGACGAGGACGAAAGCAGACCCGAGATCGACCGACAACATCTCCTTTACGAATTCGATCAAGGCATGCGCAACGCCTATTTTCCTGAAGACGTAGCCTTCCGAGACACTGTTGACGGGCATGGTATACGGGTGACGGCTCGGGGCCAGGAATACGTGTATGAGAATTGGAATGGAAGCGATTCGAGGACGAAGACGAAAGGGCGGTTTCATGACCGAGAAACATGCGTGGGTTGTGCGATGCGGGAGAAGCAGGAAAGGAAAAGGCGGGACGCGGGAGCTGATGCGGCAGTAAATGATGAGGACGCGCCTTTGGATAATGTTCCTCCTCCGCCGTGTACCGGTGTGCAGGATGTTATCATTACGGGAAGGACGGATGAGAGGCATGGACAGGCGTGGAATCATTACACATACTACGGGAGGGTTAGGCGATGGGATGGTATGATTGGAATTCTTAGGGTTGCAGTGAGTGCTTGGGTTCTTTTGTTCTCCATTTTCTGGGTTCTCATGCCGTGTGTTTCTTCTGTAGCGCGACCGCCGCTTGGGCAACTTATTCTTCTATGGATATATTGTCGGTGGGAAGAATTTCGTTGGGAACTGGAGAATAACGCATGAAGACCCTGGTATGCCGGCTTGGGAGGGACCATTTACGCTCTCGAAGGTGACGGAGAGTGACGCGTACGCTTGATCATGACGGCAACTGATTTTTGCTTTCGATATCTTGGAAAGTGTATGTACTCGCATGTATTGTAGACTGGACCGGAGGCTGTACATTGGATTGCATCTAATTATTCATTTAGTAGTCATACTTTGTACCATACATATTATTTTTGTCCACATATTTAATGGAGATCTAGGGCCAGATGCCGATATTATATAGATCGCCAATCCCCCTCAGTGCTTGTATTATTGTTAGCACTGACACGGCGACCTCATCGACGGCGAACACAAACTTGATTGTATTGCAAGATCTATACTCTTTCCTCAACGGAGATATGATGCCGTGGCGGCGGCGCAGAATGGGAATCGTCCTCAGACGGAATGGAAGACGGAAGAAGAACAAGTTATGTATAGATTCATGAAAGTACGGGAGGAGAGCGGCGAGGTCATGTAAACGTATTCAAGACGTGAAACAGAGATATGCGATATGCATGTGAACCACGCACGTTCCCCCCCGAACGTACTTACGGATAACGAGACGATGCCGTCCAAATCTCGACCAGGGCGTCGCTGAGCACGAAATGTTTTCGGCGTCCCTCAAATTCCTGAGGGAGTTCTGCTTATCTGCAAAGGACTGAATGGTCAGGTGAAACGTACGGTTGATCCGGTCATAGACGTAAAGGGTGTGCACAGAGCGCCACTGGACCTGCAGGGTAATGCGACGTCGTGAAAGCAAACGATGACACGGTGGCAGAACCTAAAACTAAAGCAATAAGGTTTTAACTTGTTGCTGATGTCATATCTTCACGTGATCTCCGGCCCTCAAGTCAGCCACCGTGACAGTTACCGTGACTCTATCAAGGACAAACTGTACAGTTGGTCAAGTTTTTCCCAGGATAACCTTTAACCAGCACCGTGAGTGGAAGGCTGCAAATTTCTACCTCGTTGCATGCTTGACTTGCGTCTTTTCTTCTAGATGCAGATTTTCGTCAAGACCCTCACGGGTAAGACGATTACCCTCGAGGTCGAATCCTCGGACACCATCGACAATGTCAAGGCCAAGATTCAGGACAAGGAAGGGTAGGTTTCGTGTTCGAGTGAACGAGAGGGATGTAGGACTGATTCTGGTTACTTAGCATTCCTCCTGACCAGCAACGTCTCATCTTCGCCGGCAAGCAGCTCGAAGACGGCCGCACCCTGAGCGACTACAACATCCAGAAAGAGTCGACTCTCCACCTAGTCCTCCGGTCTGTCTATCTCTCTGGCTGTGTTTCTATTGTCTCGCTGATGGGTACTTAGTCTCCGTGGTGGAATCATCGAACCCTCGCTCAAGGTCCTGGCCTCAAAATACAACTGCGACAAGCAGATTTGCCGAAAGTGCTATGCACGACTGCCGCCCCGTGCGACTAACTGCAGGAAGCGCTCCTGTGGTCATTCGTCACAGCTCCGCCCGTGGGTGTTCTTCCATTCTTCTGCCTCCTGTGAGGCTGATTCTGTGTTTTAGCAAGAAGAAGCTCAAGTAGTTTATTCTTTTTGAACGATTTTTGCTGGAAAGATCAGAGCGTGCAGAGGGTTGTAGGGAATATGCTTTCACAGAGTTTTATGCATATGCCGTTTGTATGCAAATGTCTCGTCGAACATGCGCGTTTATTTCTCGACGTGAAACTTTGAGGATGAAGATGGACTGTTGCCAGGTAAGACTGCTAATTTCGATTTTTGTCAGGGCTGGTTGAATATGGCAAATACGTATGTCTGCTGTCCTGTCCCTTCAGAGTTGGACATTTACTGATGCTTCGTGTTTAGGCTTCTCAAGTCCCTGCAGGTGCGCCTCTGGTTCAACATTCAAGCTTTCAAAATTTCAAAGGCGGAAGATGAATATTTCTCCTGTTAAGCCCAAGCCCAATCACCGCAAAGTAGGGGAGCTTCGTCTTTTGAAAGAAACTGCTCCAAGTCCTTCGAAGCAAGCAATTTCGAACTAGTGGAACATTCAAGAACCCTAGAGATAAACAGGCTGAGGTTACGAGTTAGATTAGAAGCAAAAGACAACTGAAATTGCTCTCCATTTCGTGCGAAAGGACAGGTCCCGTGTCAGTGGCGGTGGCAGAAAGTTCTTATGTTCCGTACTCCGACCACGTTTCTTTGACGTCGCAACATTCTATGTACCCTTTGTTTTTGGTCATTTACGACAACAATATGACATCTGTGGCTCTTTCTTTTCGCTATATATCGGTCGGACGAGAACCTTGTCAACACCGTCCGTCACCATGAATGCTTATATGGGCGAATACGTGGTCATCCAAATCGATCCCTTTGCCTCGCTCGAGTCGGCGTTGCTGTACGATCCGGAAGTACTTGGAGCATGCCAGGCGATGAGGAACAAAAAATATGTAGCCTGTCTTACATGGGTGCGTGACATGGACTGATCTATTCACGACGTCCTGACTGACTGACAGACAGACATTGCAGGCAGTCCAATCAGCGAACAAATACCTATCCGGAACCGTCTGCTTCGTTTCTCAAGGGCTCACTTGTGGAAATCCTGATGAGGATATCACGCCGGCGATGAGTCTGCCTATCCTACCGAACACGTCTCATCCCGAGTCTCGCGAGCCACTTGACGCTAAGGAGCCGCTGCCGTGGCCGGATCTGTACCAGCAGACGCAGGCAGTGGCGAAAATCCGCTTCCGAAATACGCCTGCAGATGGAAAGGCGCTGCCGCACTCGCCGCATTCATTGAGTGTCAGCGAGCGCTACGAGCTTCTTCTAGGCCAGGAGGTGGACGAGTGCAGGAGAGAGGATCTAGCACGGGCGCGTCAAAAGGCTGAAGCTTCTGACTATGAGAGCGCGACGTCATCTTCGTGCACGGCGATGGCTAGTAGCGATGCTGGGTGGAGCGCGGATGAGACGGTGTGCACAGATTCTGGAGCAGGGCACGGTTCGCTAGCCGAGATTGTGCCTGTCGTCGAGATGACGATCGATCTGGAATCAGTGGACGTTGTCAATGACCCTTGGGAGTTTTTCGAGGAGGTGCAAGCTTTGGAGAGGTAAATACGCGGAGTCTGCTCAGATCGTTTCACACAACTAAATGATTCTTTACAGGCTTGTGTATGAGCACAAGAAACGACACAGGTTGGCTATAGAAAAGGCCATAAAACTTGATAGCGAACTCGCGGAGCGGATAATACTCAAGCACCGCGTGTCGTCCGTTGAGAAAGGTCTGTTCCATGTCTTGCTTTGTTCGTCGATTTTCTTCTGATCTTTATGAATCAGACAACTCCCCTCGGTTCAAGCAAGTCGTACAGTCTTGCCGGAAAAAAATACACGCCCTCGCTTCCTTTAATGGCTCTGAATCTAGAAAGGGATTCGGATTGCCTATGGAATCTCCAAAAGGACCGTTGGATGGGGTATATTCTTGCTGGCTATAATGTTGCATAGTCAAAATGAATACGACGAGGATTTGGGCAGTTCTTTTTCGGCTCGATAACTTGGACCTGGCAACGTTACCCCTGAAATCTATACGACTTGAGGCATTATGGAAAGCAGTTGATGCTTACCTTGGTTAGGCCCTGGGGCGCTCTGAGCCCTCGTGCCGCGACGGAGGTTTCTCAATGGAAGTTGTTTCATTGGATTACAACCGAGAATGTCGTGAAGCTAATGTCGTCATGTTGACGCTTCCTTCAACGCTGCGGTTTTCTTCAGACTAGCATTATCACGGACCATGCCATCCTAGATTTCGGGAACAGAGGGCGACGAGGGAAGAGAGGACGTGTGTGTAGATCTGATTTAATTCTTGAAAGTTCTACGATTGTGTGTGACTAACAGATCAAATTACAAAACTCGACCGCTCGTACTTGCTTTCGGTTCGTCAACTTGAATATCTGCCGGGGTTGTTACGGGGTCGCTGTTTGGCCGGTCGCGCTCAGACTCCAAGTTGTCAGAAAAGTGAGTAACGTTGTTCTGGATTCAATGGACGGTTGACTTTGTTCGGAGATCCGAAAACTAGTCGCTGTATCTATGATAATCAAGTTTCCCGCTTTCTGCCTCAAGCATATGAAAACCGGCATGGCATCGATACCGAATCTTTGTCGAGATTCATCCCATATTGGCGAAACTCCGTTCTGCTTATAGTGGAAGATGAACATGCATTCAAATGTCCATGAAGTGCGGACCATTCGCAAAAGACGTTCTTCCCCATTGTGCTGTCTCCGGACCGGATTGCCGCCATAATGATAGACCTGCTCGTTATGTGCGTTCAATATCCGATGAAAGGTTAAAACTTTCGCGGAGAGACGGGATCACAGTCTCATGGCCAGGACTTTGGCGTCCCGTGTTGGACCAAAAATACGAGGGCATTCATATTGGATAACATGACATGTATTGAAGAAGAACAAGGTACAATCGCTTCATGTTGACGCTTCCTTCACTCGTCTGAACATTGTGTCGGTGCTTACAACCCCTCGGCAGCCGAGGATGTTTATGATGAGCGAAGAATGGTCCATCTTGAAGATTCCACGACCGTGTGATAACGCTAGAAACTAACAACACGACCACGACCGCTCATACTTGCTTGTGATTACTTTGGCAAGTTCGAACAACCACTGACCTCATGATATCACGTTTCTTGCCTTCTAACCTCGACAGTTCAACCTCTATATGTCAATGATTGACCGAATGGAAAAAGATACTGTGACCGCAGGACTTCTGATGTTTGATACTAATCCACGGCCGGGAATCTCAGTCGAGGTCCATCCTATACTGGCAAAGCACCATTCAGCCTGTAGTGCAAGGTTTCGTTGCATTCAAATGTTCCATTCAATGTGATTGCATTCGAAAGGCATATTCCGGATTGGAATCTATAGGTCGTCAGCGTGCTCCTTCCGTGTGTTCATTGCCGGATGAAAGGTTCAGACTTTCGCGGACGTGAGTCCGTAGTCCCATGGTCAGGAACTGAGCCAATAATACGAGAGGTAGATAGCGTGAAAGAAAAAACGGTTGAAAACGAGGGGTAAGGCATTAGCCGATGCTCAGTTGTTAGGAGCGGTAGGGGGGTGGATTGTTGACAGATGACCTACCGCTTAGATGCGCGCCGTGCTTTCTCGGCCTTCTGAAATACCAACATGTACTCCAGCTCAAGGTAAACGGGCAGGCGGTAAGGTACGCATTGAATTTTCATGCGACTTTGCAAGCTCGGAACAAAAAAACTCTAATAATTAAGAACATTGATTTGAACACCTCCTATGCTTCAGCGGCAATATGCATGGCATACGAGCATGATTAGTTTAAACAATTGTTTCAGCACTCAGTTTAACGAGTACGAATTGCAGCCACGCAAAAGTACAAATGTCATACTTAACTTAATTTGACGAGCTCACAGGCCGTGGGAACTTGGATGATTTGAGCTCCTTCCGGTCTCTCTGATTCTTACCACCACCTTCACGATGCCTGTCCTTGCACGCTAGCAGCGTGGGCCCAACGACCCACGCTGCCTACCCCATAGAAATCTATCACTTTTGTAAAAAAAAAAAAAAAAAAACGATACCTATTAGACGACAAATTATGGATCATCAATCCCACATAATCTTGCCCACCGCATTCTTGCCGCCTCTCGCCCGACTGAGGACCTTTTCGGGAGCGCACGTATCGGCCTCTCTTCGCACTCTAAGAGACTTTTACTGGCCTTCGGTTCCTTCGAGGTTGACGGTTCCTGTTCGCAAAGCCAGTACCCGGATCCATGACCAGTCCGTACCGGATTCGGGATATGCATCGGCTGAGGAAGATGACGATGATGAAGGAGGAGGAGAAGGAGGAGGAGAAGGAGGAGGAGAGGAGAGTGATTGTTTAACCGACGAGGAGGAAGATATCCTGCGCGCAGATCCTTTCGAGCGCGAGTTCGCCATCAAGTGGACTACAGGCTTCATATCACGCTCCGATGTCTGGATCGAGGATACACACGATGAGGCTGAGGCAGAGACAAGACGCGATTTGGTGGAAGAGGCTGCCCAGATTGTTTCTGCATTTGCAGGCGACGACAAAGAGACCGAATGTGCTGTTACCAGGTCCTTCGAGTTCAGCGGGTCTGTCAAAGTAGAGCTGAACGATGCTCCGCTATCCAGCGAAGATCACACGTCCGTAGGTCTTCAGAGCTGGGCTAGCTCAATCGTGTTAGCGGAGAAAATGTGCGCATCGCCGGGAGCTTTTGGGTTGGACATCATGTCACGACCCTTGCGTGTCTTGGAACTAGGCGCCGGCACAGGCTTGCTGAGCATCGTCGTTGCCAGGCTTTCAGAGGCTGGCCTTCCACCGACCATCGTCGCTACAGACTATCACCCAGACGTCCTCGCCAATCTCAACGCCAACGTAGAGACCAATTTCCCCTCGTCGTCGTCTTTAATCCATGTCCGTCGCTTCGACTGGGAGTCCCCGGACTTCAATCATCCTATAGATAAGCCCTTCGATCTCATCCTGGCCGCCGACGTGATTTATCATGCTAAGCATGCCGAATGGATAAAAGGATGTGTTGAGCGCCTTCTGGCGCCGAACGGGATATTCTGGCTCATCATTCCTCTCCGCTCGACAGGCAGACACGAGGGTATGGACCATACGGTCGAGGCTGTCTTTCCTGAATCCGAGACGGCGTATGGGCTGGTAATCTTGGACAAGGAAGCCATCGGAAGGCAGGGAAATGTCGGGAGAGCTGATGAAGGAGGCTATAAGCTCTTCAAGATCGGGTGGGCAATATAGAGTTAGAGATACGTAGACTACTTGTACTTGCGACATAATAATGTTTGTTTTTTTCATGCCTTGATTTTTTTTTTGGTTCGGTTTTGGGGTTTCGAGACGACGGTGCACAAGCAAAGGTAAATAACGCTTCCAATGTCAACCTCCATCACCGTGAGTTACGATCTCAACCCGCCTGAAGAGGTCGAGGTGCCTACGCTGGTAGAATCCAAGCATGCGACGTTCAACCTCAAAAGGACACCCGCGGACGGGCAGAAGGCCTATTATACTGCGCTAAAGGATGCCATACAGTTGGCAAGGAACCAGCTGGGCGATGAACTCACGGCCTGGAGGGATGCTGTAGGCAAGGCAGAGTTGAACAAGGAGACGAACAAAACATTGAAAGAAGACGAGGAAGGAGAAGAGGAAGAGGAAAAAGAAAAAGAGTAGTAACCTTGCAGGTAAATTCTGGACCGCACCCAGCATTCTAGGTCTGATTCTGATGGATCGATTAGTGTAATATAATACCAGAGGATGCTATTATACAGCGCTCCGTTTCTCGACGCCTCTCGGGCGCTCGCGTATGACCATCTTGTTGCTGTTCTTGGGACCCTTGGGACCCGGCTTCCTCGTTCTCGTGCCCTTTGTACCCCAACCCCAAATTGAGACGGGATGCTTGTTAGATTTCGACTTTCCACGTCCACCACCATGAGGATGGTCAGATCTAGAGAATAGGTCAATACGATATGCCTGTTAGATGGAAAATAAAGACGGAACTTGTTCATCGCGACACCACGGACTTCAGGCCTCCAGCCCAGCCAACGCCGCCTCCCGGCCTTCCCAAGACTCCTGTGCTTCCAAAGCGGGTTGGATACCTTCCCAATTGTCGCGCAGCAATCCTGCAGAACCTTGCGCACTTCACCACTCTGTAACCGAACGTGTGTATACCGCCCCATGGTTTCATGAGCCATGACCTGCCCAGAGGTACCCGCAGAGCGTACAAGGATGGCAGGGCCTTGAGGTGAGAGCGTGATATTATGGATAATGGTGCCGGGAGGAATGAGTCGTAAGGGAAGGACATTGCCAGATTTGAGGGTCATGGAACGGAAGACACCGAGTGCGAGCGACTGAGAAGACTCGTAGGCCGCCGCTTCCTCCTCTGAGGCTCCTTCAGGCTTTTTCTTGTTGAGCGCCTTGAGGTCGAACCCAGGGACAAGTCCATCCGGAATTCCCGACCTGAAGCTCTGCACCGTATCCCCAGCACGCATGCCATCCGTCGCCAGAATATAACTCCATTTTTCTTTTCCTTCTGCAGTGGCGTTACGATTCTTCAGCAGTGCAATGTGGGAGGAACGCCCGGGGTCGTACTCGACACGGACCACATCGTGCACACCGGGTTGTTCGCGACGAAAGTCGAGCAGACGTATCCGTTGTTTGTGCCCTCCTCCACGATGTCGGCAGGTGATTCGACCTGTCCTGTTACGACCGCCATTTTTGCGCTTCGCGACTGTAAGTGCTCGCACTGGTCTTCCTTCGTACAGGTTGGGTGTTAAGGGTCGTCGAAGGTGACGAGTACCAGGCGTAATAGCTTTGTACGTCTTGAAAAGCGATGAAGATGTTTGAACAAAGGCCTCCCTCTCTTTCTTCTTCGCAGCGGCGGAGACTTTGTCCTCGACGGTAGCGTACGCGTTACGTTGAAACCATAAAGGTGCGCGACAGAAGTTGGAAGCAGACGGACCGCTGGCCGTCAGCAGCGTACGTAAGAGCCCATTGCTCGCCCTTGTCGAGGCAAACATAGATGAACGCCCGAGTCCACAAGGGGGATCTTGACGGAGGTGAAGTGAGAATTGAGAATTGAGCACTGTTTGGCAAACGTGTTTTCCGCAAACAAAGACGCGACGGCACTTGCACTTTTCCATCATGGTATGCACCTATTCCTCCTCTGAAATAACAGAAATGAGTTGCTCACTTCTGTACAGGCCACTCAAATCACGACAGGGACGTCCGAACTCCGGGATATCACCAAGATGGAGCGCATAGGTCGGGGTACTTGACGCGTTGTTTGGGAAATTTCTCACCAGGCTTTGTAGGCGTTCATTCGCATATCCACGGGCTGGGTCTCGACGACCGGCTAGAGCCCAGGGCTAATTCTCAGGGGATGGTTGGACAGGCAAAGGCCAGGAAGGCTGCTGGTATGATTCTCAAGATGGTGCAGGAAGGTCGGATAGCAGGACGAGCGATGTTATTTGCTGGGCCTCCGTCGACGGGAAAGACTGCTATTGCTTTGGGTGCGTCTCTGCTATCTTCTGCCACTTCCTTGTCTTGAATGTATAACATAGGTATGGCACAGACGTTGGGTCCAGACGTACCTTTCACCATGATTGCCGCCAGCGAGGTATTTTCACTATCGATGTCAAAGACGGAGGCATTGACGCAAGCATTCCGACGGAGCATTGGTATACGCATCAAGGAGGAGACAGAGCTCGTCGAAGGAGAGGTCGTCGAGATTCAAATTGACCGAAGTCTGACTGGCGTATGCACGAACTTGCTGTTTGTGAAGTATAGGCACTGACAGGTATCGCTTTCAAGGCCACAAAAACCGGAAAACTGACTATCAAAAGTACCGACATGGAGACTATCTATGACTTGGGTACAAAAATGATTGACGCTCTCTCGAAGGAGAAAGTCCTGGCAGGAGACGTCATTACCATCGACAAGACGTCTGGTAAAATCACAAAGCTCGGTCGTTCCTTTGCACGGTCGAGAGATTACGATGCCATGGGCGCTGATGTACGTTCTCTTTCTTCCGCAAGATAGTTAGACTGATCAACGATACATACGTAGACCAAATTCGTTCAATGCCCAGATGGTGAAATACAAAAACGGAGAGAGGTCGTGCATACGGTGTCTTTACACGAGATAGACGTCATCAACAGTAGGACGCAGGGTTTCTTGGCTCTGTTCGCAGGAGACACGGGTGAAATCAAGCCGGAGCTACGGAATCAGATCAACACCAAGGTGGCAGAATGGCGCGAGGAGGGGAAGGCTGAGATTATACCAGGTGTACGTATGCGCCTTACATCAAAATGCGCCCGCTCTAACGAGAGAACCATACAGGTCCTTTTCATCGACGAGGTTCACATGCTTGACATTGAATGTTTCTCGTTCTTGAACCGTGCCTTGGAAAATGATCTGGCTCCTTTAGTCATTATGGCTTCTAACCGAGGGATGGCTCGTATTCGGGGGACGACTTTCCGTAGTCCTCACGGATTACCTGTGGATCTTCTTGATCGCGTACTCATTGTCAGCACCAAACCGTACAGCGAGGAGGATATCGAGCAAATCATACAAATACGGTACGGAAATACAAAGTTCCATTTTCCACACAGGTCTGACGAGAGCACAGATGCCAAGAAGAGGATGTCTCCCTTACCGCGGATGCTACGAGTGTCCTGACATCCATGGCCATGCAAACGACACTGCGTTACTCGCTCAACCTCATTTCATGTGCTCAGATGCTGGCTCGGAAACGAAAGGCGGAGCAAGTAAGCGTGGAGGATTTGCGGAGAGCATATACGTATTTCATGGATGAGAAGCGAAGTGTCCAGTGGCTGAAGGAGCAACAAGGATCACTCGTCTTCGAGGAAATACCGACGTCCAGCGAGTATCTCATGGACAGCTCATGATACTATTCCTAGCTGCGTGTACTCTGGTCTTGTCTTCTATGATACGACTAGTCATTATTTATTCCCCACGAACGACAGCTCTAGGGAAATTTTAGGACCAAGTGGATTCGGAGAGTAAGTTAAAATGAGTAAGACTGCTGCATTAGGTGCTTTCGGCGACCGCAAAGATGCAACTAGGTGGATGACGCTCTCGTAATTGCTACGGGTCAGATGCTTCGTTAGCCAGTTCACCGCTCGTACGTTGCATAATATCTATTTCAAAAATGAATTTAGATGGTAAAAAAATACCCGCTCTTTGCGAAGAAGGCAGTGTCTATAGCAAGTACAATATTAGTACACCGTATCAATACAATTAATCAAGGCCACTAAACAATCCAGTGTCGCGCTCCCGTGGCAACAGCGTAAATCCGTCCATAATCAAACCAAACCTAGAACTGCTTTCCCGCAGCCTGGCTTTGTGCAAACTCTAGATAACTCCTCCAGTCACTCGGTCTAAACAAATACCGAAGATTAGTGTTACCCTAATTCATTGTGGAGATAACAGGAACATAAGTTACTCCATTCCGCTCGGTGCTCCATCCCATATCGTATACAGGGCACTGTCATTTTGACTGACAGCCGCAGCCAAGTCGTACGGATTAGCGTTGTACCAATCATAGATTTGATCTAACTGTTCATCATGATCATGATGGGAAGGCATTCTTCCGAGATCAGTACTGTTTATTGGTAAGGCGTATAGTTGTTGCTGAGGGTCCGAAGCAGTGTGTGGCATCCAACTTGAATTCTCTGGAACTTCGAAGGACTCGACCACTTCTTTTTCTTTGGAACCAGGAAGTGGAAGATCACCAGCAGACGCTAGCTCATATAGGACGTCCCTTGAGAATATCAAGTCTTGCATTAGTGACCGAGTAGGAGGATATCGGGGAGTACTTACCATAACGCACCGGCATATTGATACCTTTCATCCTATAATCAGCCACGAAGTTAAACATAGGCATGGTGTATGGATACGTACCGCGTCTCCAGACTTGCGAGTACCCTCATGCACTTGTGCACGTCCTCCATCTCTTTATCGACATCAATCCCCAACTCTGACCGTCGTCCACCCCAAATGTTCACGAGGAGAACAATTGCCGCATTGAAGGACAGCATCTGCGTAACCAAAAATCAATATAATTCACAGAGTCTAACGAAAAGGCTTACACAGGACACGGGAGGAAAATGATCGCCTCTCCTGCGACTTTGTAGCTCTGCAATATGGGAACACGAGCGTGCGGCGTTCGTACATATAGCGAGGGAGGGGAAACAGAAGTCGCTGCGCGAAGCAGTGATAAAAGGCCGGTGAATGAGCATCTGAAGATGATAATACACCAGTAGTAGGGAAGCTGATTGATGAAAATGCACCAGGTCAGCACGGTTGGGATCCCACCGTACTAGATTGGACGGAGTCAGCATGAGAAGAGAAAAGGTAACAAGACCATGTGCCTACGATGCTCGGGTATAGAGTCTACCCATTTGTTTAACGCCGAGTCAAGCTCGACAACTATTTGTTGTTCCCAGTTTTTCTTGAGGACATAAAGAACTCTTGATTTATGAATCGAGTACTGCATCCGGTAAGCCAAGGACATCTGGAAAAAAAAAACAATGGCCGAGGGACGTACGATGGTGCGCATGCATATCAAAATTAGCCGTGTCAGCCGCAGGTGACAATTCAAGAATGAAACGGTTGACGGTTTGCCGGGAGGCTGCTTGAAGGTCTGTTGGGGGTCAGGATGCTCCCAATACTCATCGTCGCATTCGGTGGGTAGATCGATGTCGATGCTACGGGACGAATCAGTCCAAGTCTCACTAAAGAAGAAAGTATACGCACTCTTCATCGTATAAGGCACACGGCCGACCCAACGCTGACCCAAGGGTCCTATCCAAAGCTACAAGAGACCTGACAGAAGTTGTAAACAAGGATCGAGAGACGTGATTGTCGGTAAATACCAAAATACGCGTTTCCACAGTTCGGCGTCCACAGTATTTTTCACTGGATTATTAGGTGGTGACTTCTTTCGGTGAGCTCCTGCATCTTGCGCAATCCGTAGACCAACGCCGGCAATCGTCCAGGATTGCTGTGGTACTGAAGAGCTTAGGTAAAATTCAGAGAGAAGCTGTCACTTTTATCAGCCCACACAAAGAAAAGGGGACATCTGGCTTACACAGCAGAGTTGCGCATCATACAAGTTCGGAGGATCCAAAGAAGGGAACGCGCGCCGCCGGCTGGTAACCTGATGTACCCACCTCCACCCACTGGACCTCTTCGACTGCTCGTCTTCGAAGAGGACACGCGGATCGTCTACGTATTTAGACCCGACAGCGCAGGCGACTAGGACGACCGCCCCGAACTGGGAGTTTCTATAGTGTAACCCAGCCTTCAAGGATTTATCAAACGTTGGTCGATGAAGGAAAGGAAGGAACGTATTAAAGTATAGGAAGTACGCGTCAACGAGCTTCGGCATAAGATCCCTTGGCGGGAATATGAAGTATGTAGGCTGCGGAACATAGCGGTGCGGATTGTTCCACGGACGGAATTCCCAAAAGTCGGGACGCAAAGAACGGAAACTATTGGCATTGTACAGCGTTCCCGGCTGCCACACTTTGGTATCCAGAGCTTCTTGGAGGAATTGGACAGAGCTTGATTTCCCATGATATCGATAACCAAAGGTGTAGTCTTGGAATTCCTCTAGGTTTCTTTCCAGTGCATGGTCACGGTCTTCCACTTCTGGTTCTTCGAGGCTGATGGAATGTACCAAAGTAGATAACAAGCTTGGAGCGTCCTCTGGGAGTGTCTGAACGGCCTCAATCTCCTCCTTCAAATCCGCTTCCGGAGGAAGGATCTGCGAGAGTCATTTGATAAGTATCTCTTCCACCACAGAAGAACCTCGGTCCGGACCTTGCGAAGAAGGTTCTCCATCTTCTCTACCTTGTCCTCCAAGCTCCTGACATAGCTAAGCGGCGAAAGTCGTGAGCGATATGTTATAGAACGTCAAGGCAGAAAAACGAACCGATTCGACGGTGCGCCCTCACAGGTTGCAATGTTAATGGCAACTAGAGTTTCCGGGCCGCAGCACTTACCTTTATGGACTCTACGTACGTACAGTCCAATTTGCCCGCGATGCACGTAGAACATCGTTTACCCGATGTCCGAAACCCGTCACCTGACGATACGACCTCAGCTCCGCGCAGATACGGTGAAGATAAAAGCTCCCTACATCGAACTGATAAAAAAAATGAGAACTTTGAACAAAGAGCAGAGGACGAAGACGTACTCTTCCTGCGTCTGCAAACATCACAGGCCCTCTGTACAGCACGTCTTTTCTCATTGCCGGTTGCTGGAGCGCGTTTTCCCGTTTCCATAAACTTGAGATGACGGTTCGAGTCAAAGTCGGAACAGTTGGAGAGTCATGGAAATTCGAAGCCAATAAGTACTGAACGGGACCTAAGTGGACCGTGTGTAAACATTGTGTAATGGAAATGGGTCATGATCATGATATTTCAAATCATCGAAGAAAAGGGTCCCGTTGATGCATTCTGTTACCGTTCACAGCGTCAGATAAGGTAAGATCTGCGGGCTCGTCCCTTTAGAACAAAAGGCATTATTGTCGTTCTTGTTTATACCGAGAAAGCGCAAAACATTGACGAATACATGATTGTCCCACTCGACCCATCTCTCAAATCGCCAATCCAGAGGCTACGTGGGAAGCCCTGGTGATGAAGTAACGGAGAAGCACGTATATTATTATCATCGTGAGTTCTGTCCGACTTTCCCGTATGCTGTCTGACATTCAATGAAAAAAAAAGATGCAACCGTCGTCATTACGCACAGGATTCGAATACCTATCCGGACCGATCCCCATCACTAACGTCGTCGTTATTGGCAAGGCTGTCTCAGCAGGATACATGCTACCAATGCCAGTTGAGGAAATAGAAGATTCTTGGGACTTACATGTGACACTATTGAAAAAAAACGTACGTCCTTTACAAATTCGTTAGCTTGCTGTCGCTGGGCCTCTATCATCGTATAGTAACAACATCTGCTTACTAAATCAGAACGCCACACAGCCTGCCCTCAAGTCAGCATGACCGCCGTGTAGTCGAATAATCGACTGCTTAGATTAAAGCGTGCGTTGTTTTGGCCTCGGTGAACCTCTCAATTTCTTTCAATTCGTGCTCAGATGCTTACACACTTCCATTCAGACTGACAGCGGAACCACTATCCCACCGCACAGACTGAGCAGCGAACGATTGGTAGGAGTTTTTTCGCCTTTCGCTGTCCTAGCGACGGACATCTTTATAGATTCTCCTGCAGAAAAACCAATAATTTACGCGTCGCTCTCCCAGCCATATTCATGACATCTTCCAATTGATCCAAACACCCGGACAGTACACGAGTGAGAGGGAGTACGCGAAAGCCGTCGTGAATTTACTGGGTTGTGGTTACTTGCAACGCCTTGACGATGGTTTACAGAACGATGCAATTCAAGCTGTAGTGTCCAAGCTCATGCACGGCTTCAAATTTGTTCTTGGAGAGTGCCAGGACGCTGACGCCATTAATACTGTCACCGATACATTCGCGTACTCCTCCGACGTCGACACGCAGTCTGGTCCTACTCAGTGGCCCTCTGGTTAGAATTCGAAGAAGCTGCTTTTTACGGCTTCAACAGCACCGACAAATGGGTGTCGCGGACCGAGTCATCAAATGATTATCGCAGCTAGATTGTTGATTACTCTGGCCGCACAATGAATATGCAATATCCACCACACTTATTTACGCTCAGCCTTGGTCCAGAAGGCATTCGATTATACATATTGCATGCATTCAACCTATCAACAGAAGGCCAATACCTTATCAAAATTCTCCACCGGTTTCTACTCTGTCGGACACCGAACGAAGCAAAGACAACATAGCGACGCCGACCACCGAGGCAGAGATATCTCATGCAAAACCGCACTTGAAGCCTTGGATTTATCCCAAGGACAAAGATCAGCAAATCTGGGAAGATTCTCATGCCTGACGGCGACGGCGAACGGGCGGTCATTGCTGGGCCCGCTATCGCCGAGTGACGTTGGGCTTCCCCATGTACAATGTGAAGACTCAAAGTCTCGGGTTTCTCAAGGATACCTAGCGGATGCCAAACCGCCTCGAGAATCCGAGATGCTTATGATTTTCAATGCAGCTCGCGTCCGCAATGTCCCTACTTTTGTCGGTGACGGTGTTCTCCCCGGACAGATAACTACTTCGCACAAGTATATCAACGAAGACTGGAACTTGGGGAGCATATCTATCAATCATCTGTATTCGCGAGCACCAGCGGGCGAGGTCCACTTCAAGTCCTCGAGGCAACTTACGAGAGTTGTCTGGGTTAGTGGTGATCGTTGTCTTTTTTCACATCTATTGATCCAATTACGACCTTAGCCCACGAAGACGCTTATTCCTACTGCCATATTCTTCACCATGATATCAACAGCGGGAACATTTTGATCATACACGACGAGAAGGCGCCGAGAGATAATCATGACGGCTGAGGTCGTGAGTTTGTTAATTGATCGGGACATGTCTATGCACACAGACGACTTTCAAAAGGCACAAGATTTTCTTCCATTGTTCTTGTGAGGACACAAAGAAAAGAGAATGAGAGTACGCGGCGACTGCCACCGTGACCGGACTGGGATTTGGTTGACCAGAAACCTTCACCTCGTTCAGCTGAAGATCCTTCTCCCCAAAATGATGCAAAGAAGCTGAAATTTCCATCCATCTCTGAGGCGGTGTGGCTACGTTTTTCGAGCTCATCAGATAGGTAGTGTAGTCCTAGCTCGTTGATAAATTCAATTCAGTATTATGATTTGAGATACTGACGGACATGAGCAGAGCTCGAGACCGCCACCGTGCTGTTTATTAAGAAAAGATATCACCTCGCGACCCATGTGGCATGGCTATTCGAGAATAATTTCATACTAATCTCGGCATCTGTCGCTCTTGAGGTGATCAATGTCTTTCATCGAAAGAGGAGCATTGTCTCGATGGGATTCCCATCAGAGAACTAGGATGATCATGCCTCTCCCCTTGCGACTCAATTGAAGTCGATGCAGGACGTTTGTTGCACCTATTTGGCGGGTCTCATCATAGAGAGTTTCCTGTGCTGGGCAACATGCCAACGCTGCCTTTTCATTGCTATAAGGTCGGTTCTGGTTAGTTCATTGGTACACCCTGACACTCATTGTGCTCATGAGGAAATCGCTGGATGTTGTTGGACGCCAACGAGTCCAAGAATAGACCTATCTTTCCCTTCGCCAAGGCAATGAAGGTGATCTTCTCAAAATGTGGAAACTCTTAAAGGGTTTTCCTGTGACACTGAATGCTATATAATGGAGACTGGTATGTGTTATCACTCACTGACAATTGTTTTACCTTCTTCCAGAGATTCTTGATGACTCCTCAGACCAATATTTCTTCAGATATTACTGATGCTGACAAAGCTCTCATATTCTACTATCTTGATGCAATATTAAATTCAACAATACTTGGCTTTCTATTGCATGGTGCATCTATTTTTCATTTGTTTGGGTGCAGGCATCTAATCACAGCTGCATCCAGGTATCTACACAGGAATTGTTGTTATGACATTGTGGACTATCTGTGAGTGCCAAACAATGTTTACCATATTATACAAGCTAAAGTGACACAGTCATGAACAAGTCTTGGTCCATTGGATGGCAAGCCATGGTTATCATTATAATTCTCCTTTATGTTATGACTACCTTCAATATCTCTACCAACTGGTTATATCTCCACTCTACATTCGTCAATGAACAGAATTTCTGGACCAAATCTCTGTCCTACATCCATGCTACTAGTGGAAATTTAACAGTGGGGACTGATACTACAGGTACTCTCTGTACTATCCTTACAGACACTGCCATGGTATGTCACTATGTCACAACCAGTAGCACTCATTTCAGCTTACCATTATCCAAACTCTAGATTTGGTGCTGTTGGGTGGTTTGGGGGCAGAGGTGGCTGACTGTTGTACTTCCTACTCTTTTTCTTGTCTGTGCAATTGGTAAGTTCATCTGGATCTTTTGGCTTGCTAAATTTACCTCAACTTGAAGTGTTCAAATCATTGACACATATCAAAATCACTTGAATCTAGGGATCTATATCCTTGGTTATTCACTGTATGCAATCTTTTCCCTTGCCACAACCCTATTTTGCATCTTGCTCATCATCTATCATATTGTTGCTGTTGCATGAGCAGCAGGTGAATCAGGGGGTGGACTCAGAGCTTACCACCATGTCATTGAGGTCTTAGTTGAATCATTGGCTCTTTACTCCATATCCTTGATTTTATACCTGGCCTCCTTTACTCAAAATGGCATGACACTCTTCTACTTTGATATCCTAGCAGGGATCACAAGGGTATGCACTATATAATATCCCTTCTCTGTCTTTGCATCTCACAGACATCATATAGGGAATTTCTCCAACACTTCTTGTTGGACATGTTGTAGCAGGTGAAGCTCACCCAAATGAATCTTGGCAGGGAAGTGTGATGTCAGGATCCCTCCACTTTGGGACACATTCTGGGAGCCAGAGCTCTCAGGAGGATAGCATAACAAGTGATGATCTTGAAGCCCCACAGGAGATAGATGACAACTATGTCCATCACACTCTGGTTGACTCTCAGAAAAGTGGCACCATTCATGAGGATGATCCTGAGGCCCAACAATTTCACACATTGAGGGAGTCTCAGGAAGATACTGGTATTGGTACCACCATTCCTGAGAAGGCCCAGTTGGAGAAACCAGAAGACAGTCATCATGGTGATGAGAAGGTCATTTGTGGGGATGGCCTTGAAGCTCAGGGAAAGGAGTTGACAGGCTCCAAAGAATATGTGCCTGGGGATGGATCCAAGGCCAAGTGGAAGAGAGATGACAAGGAAGAAGAGTGCCTCTACACATGTTAGAGACCAGAAAATAGTCATCTCAATACTGATAATGGGATTCATGAGGAGCTTGAGGCTTAGCAGGATAGAATGGCAATGCAATACTTGTTGCACTAAGGAATTGAAAGTACTGACAAACATATTCTTTTTGATAATATGCTATTCCACCTATTCCTCCATTTACTTATTGATGTTACATACTCTAGATGAGCTGGCTTTTTGTCTACATTGGTAGGTGATTACATAGCAGTGCAAGCAAAGTTTACTTTGTGTGCATGCCTAAATATATATATATCCCTTGATTCTCTCAGTCTGGAACCAGAATCGTTTGAATTATAAGTCAGTGCTAATGAAGAATATAATATGGGATTAAATGATAGTAATACACTATGCAAGTGGTGCAATCAAAGAGTGTGGCAAAGTGAAGAAGAGGAGAAAGCCTAAGTGCATAGTCACTGCTGAGATTAGAAAGTGAAAATGCATAGATTAAGCGTCAGTGCCAGGCTCTGTATCTGTGATAGTGTAATCAGCCTCAGGAAGGGTGAAAGGATATTTCCAGTACATATCTTCTTTAACAAATATCGACATCATATTCAGAATGTCCATTTCAGCTGCCTGAGTACCACTTCAACACATCGAACTCACCAAAGAAATCCCATGGGTTGTTGATCTGCCCAACAGATTCCAGGATGTCCAAGGTCACTAAGTATGACTAAAGGAAGGGTGCCGATTAGCTGATACCCTCGTCATCATTCATATGCGGGTATATACATGGCATGCGATGCGAAACCTTCTTGACAAGTCCACGAAAGAGTTTCGAAATCTAGCTGGGTGTGGTGGATAGAGGATCATCAACTGACTGAGGTTCAGCATCATGCTCAGAAGAAAGCAGCATGGTCACAACCACAGATGCTTTTCATTCGTCCAGAGCATCAGATAGCGGCTGGTGTTCTTCTTGAAAAGCTTGATTGCGTTCAGTATTCTCCCTACAATAGTCTTCAAGAAGATCATCTTCCGTTTCTAAGTGATACTTGGGATATGGCCAAGGGTCCCCGATACCAAAATCATTTCAGATGTGACGTCTTGTCATAGCTTGCATTGGGTGGAAACAGTCTGAAATTGAGTGGCGGACGGGACAGTGGGTTGGACATGTTCAGCGAAACTTTTCTGGTAGGATGAAGTGATCCGGCTGGCCAGGAGAGACACCCTGGGAGAGCAAAGTCATAGTAATCTGCATGTACTCGACACTAGGAATAGGGAGACACAGAAGCTAGAATAGGGTAGCCGTCAGCAAAACAGATGCATCAGCCACGTCAGTGAATGCACATAGGGGGCGCAGGCAACATAGGTTTTACTCTCCAGAGCTTCGCATGCCTTTACTGCCTCAGGATCCTTCAAAGATCTGAAGACAATGTATTCTCTAAAGTGGGGGATCATAGCCACGAAAGAGTAAGATGGCTTCAGTTATGAGGTTACAAATATGGGATGCCGCCGAGTTTTTGCATTGTTCAAACGGTACAAAGAGTGAGATGAAACAATAGTATTGTGGCAATTGCCGAGCAGACAAATGAACAACCTTGAACTCTTAATATTCTCACGTCTAAATAAATGAATGCAGTCATAGCTATACTACTCAGGGTTATAACTTACATATACACTGTTCCGAATAAATATCACCGCAAGTGGAAATCGCCAGCAATTTCTCTTCTGTCATCTGAGATGAGTTCTTTTCTGTCGGCGTACAAGGCTTCCACTATTTCACGTTCTTCCCACTGCTGCTTCTCGGGATCATCCGCCGTTCCGATCGGTTCGAGTGTATAGTGAATGGACAGAGCCGAAAGAGCGCCACCATATGCGCGAGAAATGCCTTCAGAAAAGATTATCGATAGAAAATAATGCGTAGCAAGATTTAGGCATACCGGTGTCGATGATGATAATCTTGCCGCCACAACGGGACTTGATATTCTGCAGGAAAAGGTATGTCAACGCTCTGAAGAGCAAACTTGGATCACTTACTTCAAAGTCTGGTGTATGTCCCATAATCATCCTACGAGTTCCGGTCTTCTCAAGGACAGCCTCGACATCCTTGCAGACTTGTTTCTCTGTTCCAGTCGCCCAGCCCCGATACCACAAAGGACCGTTCGCACTATAGAGCTCTGCCTCCTCAGGAGTGGTACCTAATGATTAACGATTAGCCACGGACATCATGATCTTGTGCACTACGAATACATACCAGCAGGGAGTCCGACATACGGACCGGGCGGGTGCGGTTTAGGCTGTACTCGAAATTGAAGCTTTCTCAAGAGAGAATCAGAGAGGGAGTTGATGTATGAGGGGAATGGGGATAGACCGTGGTATGTCGGGGATAGACCGCCATGGACAAAAGATATCGCAGAATGAGAGAGCGAATCAGAGGCTTCAGAGGAACTTGGAGGGTACGGTGTGTTTGGGGGACCCAAAGCAGGATGAAGGGGAAGTCGAGAGGCTGTAGTGTAGTTTGCCGCCCAAGAACGTCCTAGCCAGCCAGTGGAGAGAATTTCTTGCCGGTTCTCGACGGTGCCAAATGTCTCGATCTCACTGGGATATACGTATCTGGAAAGCGAGTTGAAAATAAATGCGACTCAAACTTGGAACAAAGGGTATACCTCCAGTCGCCTATTACATTCATCCATTCATGGTTTCCAAGATGCGAAAGCACAGTACCACCTTTTGCGGGTGCTTGCTCTCGGAGTTTATCCATCAGCTCGAAAAGTGGTATAGTGTCGTCACCTCTAGAACATGCTCGGCATCTCGAATCTCTCTCAAGGCAAAGGAACAACCACGAACCGGTCGATGATGTCCCCAGTCTGAACAAAAAAGTCTACGCCCCCTGCCCAGTCATCATTTTCGTCTGTGACACCAGAGAATTGTAAGACTTTGCTCGCGCTAGGGTAGTCGCCGTGAAGGTCTCCGACCGCTACTATATGACGAGAGTACGTTTTCGGAGGTACATGATTCGAGTGGTGAAATTTCTCGTCTTGAATAGAGAAAGGGATCATATCCCGAGTATCGTCATTTTGAGAGAATGCTTTGACGAGTTGTACATGAAGGTCGAGATGAATGATGACATAGACGAGGATGGCAACAGGTATCATAGCTAGAGGGCGTAAGGGAGCCATATTGAGAGGATAAATTGGTACAGTGAAAGCCTGTGCGGGCCAGCGGTAAAGCGACAAGCTGTCCTCGTCGCGACGGTCGCGTTGGTGGTAGATCGTGTCGTGGTCCAAGGGTCGTCGGTTACCTAAGCCTCCGGCATTTGCCGTCCTTTCTCACTTGCGCGACTCTGTTTCGCCGGTTGTCTTCACTTTCAGTCCTTATGACTTCTCACCGTTCGCGCTCGCGTTCACGTTCCCCTGGCCGCTCAAGAAGAAGAGAACGCTCTCGCTCGTATTCAGACGAAGAGGAGCGTCGTCTCCCACACGATGCTTCGCCCATATCAGAGTCGGATTACTTCCAAAAGAGCTACGAATTCAGGATCTGGCTCAAGGACGAAAAGGGAAAGGTGCCTTGGTCCTTGCCTCTCCGTGGATATGTGTTGAGATACATCTAGTACTTTGATGAGCTATCTGGAGAGAGGACCCGAAGGTTAGTCATCTTCTTGTTCGTTCGATGCAATCTTATATGTAACACAGCTATTTTCGCAAGTTTGTAAAGGTAAATATTCCCTTTCCTTACGTTCTGTATTTATTTAATGCACTAATCTAACCTAACATAACCAAGGCCTGGAATAGAGGGAAACTATCGAGTACGTTCCTACCATTCTCGCTGATGATTCTGACATCCGTCTTAGAAAAACTCTATGCTGGCATCGACAGCTCTTCCATACCCGCCACCTCGCAAACGTCATACAAATGGTCTTTCGCTTCCAAACCTGACGGAGAGGCACTCCGTGCGGCGCGCGAGTCCGTTGGGGCCGCCACTCAAAGCCGCGCTCTCCTAGAGTCCTCGGCGGGGCGTGTACAAGGGCCGACTCTCCCTTCTGCGGCAGATTTAGTTCTGGCGAGAGAAATGGATTCCGAGTACCGCGATGAGGAGCGGAAATATAAACGCAAGAGGGAGCGTGCAGAAGACAAGGAGCACATTGAGGATATGGTTGGACCGAGGGAGGTCGGGAGGGAAGGGATGCTAGAGAAGAAGCGTGCCAAGAGGGACGCAGATAGGTCCTTCAGGGAGAAGGGTGATGACTCGGTGGAGCTGGACGAATCAGCGCTGTTTGCTGGTGATAGCTTTCAGGCTCGGTACGTTCGCTGCTATCTCACTTGCATAAAAGGACAAACTGGACATAATATTATATATACAGGATTGCCAGGCGCGATGCTGGCAAGAAGAGGTACCAACAAGCACAGGAGGAAAAGGCCGCAGCCATGCGCGAACGAGCTACGGCTAGAAAGGAGAAAGAGAGCGCTACGATGTCTATGTTCCAACAGCTGGCTAAGCAGCGATTTGGATGATGTCCGTTAATGGATTTTGTGCTTTCACCAGGCGCGGTCGTCGGGGTCCAGAAGCTCCGGCTGTAAATTCGTTGTCGTCGTCTGTCTCTCGTTCAAGCACAATAACGACTCACTTTGACGCCCCGACGAGGAGCACCTCTAAGCCTCGAATGTGAAGCGTGTCTTGTCTTCGAGGACGAAGAAAGCCTCCATCGTTGGAACATGCCACACCAGGGACACGCAGGCGCATCCCAGGCTTGGTCTTCTCTATCTAGGACCTGCGCCTGCACCGGTTTTGAGTCCTCCTAGGAAGTCCTTGTCAACTCTCCACATGCAATGAAAGAATCTTGTGCGCAACTCGAAGTGTCTCAATCTCGCTCTGGTTGTCTTCATAATCGCGTTCTCGCTGTTACGATTCTAAAATCAATTGTTGGGCTTGACAGACCATCAAAAGCCGCTCTTACCACTGTGGTTGTGGTTGCGACTGAAGCGCGGTCTTCGTCTTGGGCCATTCGGCGGCGGTGTATTGTCTGAGAGAGGGAATAATTCAGCAGTCAGTCTGAGAGAGAATGATGTAGGCGTACTGGGACAAGGACTTTGGAGATCAGGGTCAACAATCCCCTTCCACGAAATGAAGAAGCGACTCTAACTGCAGTTGACATGATCTGAACACTCTAGGTGGGCCTAGCCCATACTTAAGTATCCCTGTTGCCGTCGCGCGTCATTGGTCACTCTTATTTTCTGGGCTATAAGCGGAAGCGACGATTGGGGCGTGCTAGCCGCCACAACTCGAAAATCCACTCTAATTCCCTGTGAGAATAAATGACACGGGGTGGTTCACGTTAACCAGCGGCCTCGGGGTTGCACCAATGAATGTTTTTAAAGGGTTTCATATTTTCGGACGGCATGTGGGCATGGGCAGTAGCAAAGACATACGGTACATGCAAAAATGACGCAGTACAATCCATTAAATGAATGTCTCGTAACGAACAGGCGTGATAGTCTGGGGCGCATTGCCAGAGACAGACACAGTGCGGGATTCCCGAGGAAGTGCGGGGATTCTCTTCAATTGAACACGCTCTGCGATGGGCGATAAGTAAAAGATATAAAACGAACATAATGAGTGCAAAGATACACACCGCCCTTCTCCTTGGCTTCCTTGTGCGCTTCACCGTTACGCTTCACCCTGTCCAAGAACTCCTGGCGGCACTTTGAGTGCCGGATGTGCTCAACACGGAGGTTCACACGCTTTTCGATGTATCGGTTGCCGACAACCTTGTACACGATGACACCGACAGCGCTGGGAGTGACGTTGTACACGATGCCTGTCCGTCTACGCCACCTTTTAATACCGCGAATGAAGGGCAGGATATTATACGCACCCATGGTAGTATTTGTGGGGCATACCCTTTTGCTGGGCCGCATTGGCCTTGATGTCGACAATGTCACCGACACGGTAGTTGATCAAGTACGTCGACAACTTAATAGCACCATGTTCTGCGAAGATACCGTTGGATCTTTATACAGGCCAGAGAATACGTGCAAACGTACCCTTGAATCCCCGCTTGAACATGTGCCGCGTACGGGCTCGGTAACCGAAAGAGTGAGGCATCTTGAGGACTGTCGGTAGATGAGATGAGTGCCTTTAAAGTTACTGCACGTCAGTACGCACAGTGTCGGTCGTCAGTAAGGACTTTTTCTCGGGTGTTGCCGCACGTCACTTGGTGGCTGAGTAACAACTTTACAGTTGTGACGTGTCACGCTAAACCGTGCAGTCGGCAAGTAACAATTTTTGTCGTTCCCTTCTACCACTTCCGCCTCAAGACTCAAAATGCCGAGGTAATGCTCTTCATTCTGTCTGTAAAATCTTTTTAACTTTCTCTTCGTAGGGCCCCTCGGAACCACAGCAAGACGTGAGCATCTAATTTCCTCAAGATCCACCTTGTGTGGAGGGTTGCAGTGTGCTGATGACCAGCCGTGCCCCATGTTACTTTTTACAGCTACAAGGTCCCTCGTCGACCATACGAATCTGCTCGTCTCGATGCCGAGCTAAGGGTTGGATCCTCTGTTTTGCATATCTGTAATATGCCTGACATTCACCCTCTAGCTCGCCGGTGAATACGGTCTCCGCAACAAGCGTGAGATCTGGCGTATCGCCCTCACCCTTTCCAAGATTCGTCGTGCCGCCCGTGAGCTGCTGAAGCTCGATGACAAGGATCCCAAGCGCCTGTTCGAGGGTAACGCTCTTATCCGTCGTCTGGTCCGTATCGGTGTGCTCGATGAGACTCGCATGCGTCTCGATTACGTGTTGGCCCTTAAGATTGAGGATTTCTTGGAGAGGCGTCTCCAGACTCAGGTTTTCAAGCTCGGTTTGGCTAAAAGCATTCATCATGCACGGGTTTTAATTAGGCAACGGCACATTCGGTATGTTTTTTTCCTTACACTATATTGCATTCTGCTTACGATTTTTCTAGGGTTGGCAAACAGATTGTCAACGTTCCCTCCTTCGTTGTGCGTCTGGACTCCCAGAAGCATATTGACTTTGCCCTTACCTCGCCGTACGGTGGAGGTCGTCCTGGCCGTGTTAAGCGGAAGCGTGCGGCTGCAGCTGCGAAGAAGGAGGAGGGCGGTGATGAGGAGGAGGATGAGTAGATGTACGCGCTTTACTTCCATGCTCGTTATGTATATGTTGTCACCATGTTACCCTCATGCAACCAAAAAAAAACTTTCGAGGTACTCTGCGACAGTTGGCTTAGAGCGATTGAAGATATTATAATATCGATACAACAAGTATAATGCAGATGAAATAAGGTAACTCTATCGTAGCCTACTTCCGAGCAAAAGTAATCTGCAAAGAAGCTGTTAATCGTGGCTCAAAAGCTAGGGGTGAACTGACCTTGATTTTGTTTTCCCCATCGAGCTTGTAATTGTGTAAAGCATCTTTTGCAGTACCAGAGCTTCCCTCGTCCAGGTATTCCACGAACGCAATATCCTTCTTTGATGGAATAAGACGGACTTCGTGGAGATTGGGGTATCTGCACAATAGGATTAGTGCCATGTAGTCGACAAAAACAGCAAACGCACTGCGAAAACAAGGTGACAAGTTGTTCCTTCGTGACGCTTTCGGGAAGATTTTGCAAGAAGAGAATTTTGTTGGGTGGTAGGTACTCATCCGGCATTTGGACGTTGGGACGTTTCGATATAGGCAGTGAGGCACCACCGTCGACTAGGAGACATTAGCGCATCGTAATTGAGGAACATTTGGAAAGACGTACTTTCAGCAGCCATCCGTTTTGCTTTGAACTTTAGCTTGAGTGGATTATTGTACCGTGTCGCTTCTGTCGAGTCACTAGTCAGCCAACAACGACACCGTAGAAAGAACAGCGACACACTCTTGTGCTCCGCCCTCTGCGCCTTGTGTTCCTCGAAATGCTCCTCGTCCAGCTTTTTCACTACTGCGTCAGCCCGTGTCCGCGCAAACGAGATTTGCTGGCAAACATAGTTCTTCAGTATATGGCATACTTCTCAGGCCAGAATAACGCACCATGGACTTGGAATACAAAGGGAACCCACGAACGTCATTCATCGCCTTCTCAGCTTGTTCTGGTGTCTCAAACGACACGAATGCCTGCCCCCGCATCCGGAGATTGCTATGTGCCACCACGTCTAGTACGCCATACGGCTTGAACAGACCCCGTAACGAAGATTTCATCACTGAATATCTCTTTAGTGTCAGTAAACCAAGAGGTGGATTCATAGTACCGTCAATCTTTATCTTTTCGTTGAGGTTCTGGATGTAGAGTGTTTCACATTTGGGTTTGGGCGGTTCAGCGGGATCAGGGACAGCTTCGATACCTTCCATGGTATCTGGGGGCGGTGGTTGGATTGCTACGTCCGCCATGATGATTCGAATACAGAGGTTGTGGATAGGAATTGGAAGGACGAAGGAGGTTTGTGCCTGTTTGTTTCGGGGTCCGCAGAGTTCGACTTCCAGCTTCAATGTTCAATAATGCCAAGTGCTTGGTAAGTAAATACATTCTGAAGGAATATTGATGCATAACATGATATGTGTGGTATATACAGGTCCAATGGTAGTATTAGTGTCCAAAATCCACGGCTGCCAACTCACGCAACACTGGCACAGAATTACAGCACTTTATTCTCAAGTTACAGCCTTGGGAACCATTCTCGCAATTAACGGTTGCTCTGGTGGCCAATCAAGTGCACGGAAATAGTCGACGCCTTCTACCGGGGTATTTGCATCGTGTCTAGGCAAAATTGGAATCAATTTATGGAACACATCGCATCGAGGCACTCACTCATTGGCTAGGTGTGTTTTGACATCCATCAAGGTCAAATGGCCATTATCCAGCGACGTCCCCGTGCATGTTGAGCAGCGCCAGTTCTTCTCAAGTGGTGGCTGTATGCCTCGCCTCTGCGGCTCCTTTTTCTCCAGTTCCCTCGCTAGCACCGTCTCTTCGTCAGAAATCTTTTGCCATGCCACTGCCGAGTCTCCCCAATGTTTCCTCATGCAATGGTGGACCTATAACCAGGGAATATCAGATACTTTTTTCAATGGTCTACGTTGGTGACCCACCGCAGTCCTCCAAGTAAGGACAGGGAATATCCTCTCCCCATCACACTTGGCACCAAAACTGCACTTGAGACACACCACACGAGGGTCAGCCTTGTCCAGCTGATCCACTGTAGTCCTGGGGTTTAAGTTACAGGTATCAAGGATCTTCCGTACGACACGCGAAGCCTTGTGGTCGAACACCAGCGAGTCCGTCGACCATTCCCTTCTACGCGTTAAACGTGTCTGTAAATCGCGCATTAAACCCAGCTCCTCATGATCGCACACCCCCTTCCCAATCCTACTCTCGTCGCTCTCCTCAAAGACCGTGCACCTCGAATTGCAAGCGTGGTGCAGATACTCAGGGTACCACATGCTGCACGCAGTTGTATCATACCCCGCCACACCCATATCACGGTGCAGTCCCCGTTGATCCGTACACATAAACACGCACGTCGCCTGCTGCAGATGATTCGTATGGTCCAGGAGTCCGCCACGGACCGTATAATCCAGCATAAACCACAGCTCGAGGAACTTGTCGTCGCGCCACGAAGCGGTGAAGCTGGGAAGCCGCGACGTCATAGCGTTTCTGACCATTTCTGCTGTCACGGCGATGCCCGAGGGGAGGTCGATGAAGTATTTCATTTCTTTCCACACCCATATATCCACCAGGCCTGGTTGGAACTCGTTTGCTGGGGAACGGCATGAGCGCCATTCAGTTGCAATGAGAGATCGACGCGCGCTGAGTAGATCGCTCCGTTCTTTTTTGAGGCGGTGGGTCTTGACGTCCTGCATGTAATCTAGCATGGTGTTCTCGATGGAGTTCCAGTCTGGAAGAATTAAAGATGTGTCAGTGATTCTTGGGAGAAAAGGATGAGGAGGGCTTACTTCTATCACTGAGAGGCTTGGGCTGCTTCACCTCGAACTGATCAGGGAAGAGAGTCAGCTCTCTCTTATCAAGCCATGAACCAGTTTTTTCGAGATCCTTGAGGTATTCAATCTCTTTGCCGTGACCCAGAGATATCAGTCTGGTCTCGATGCTTACAGGATGTTAACAAGTTATTCGGACATATAGCTCCCCCCACTTACGCTTTACTTCTCTTTTTCCGAATGTCATCGAGCTCCTTCATACGGCTTTCGCTCACGGAATCGGCCCACTCTGTGCATTTTCTTGCGTGCTTGATTGTATCTTGTAAAGGACGGGAGAGGATTCGGAAGGGGTGTGCTTACGTCTTTACGAGCCTTTACGGCCGCTTTTCTCTTCCCCAAAAATTCCTTCCTTGTTTCCTTCCCTCGACAGTTATTGAAGGCCTTCACAAAAGCATCCTTTTCCTTGACGAAGCAGAATTTTTCTTTCGCTACCGATGCGCATCAATAAACGCCCTTCACGAAGAAATAAGACTACCTACGATGACGACTAGGCCAGCTATTGAACGGGACAGAACGAAGCATGATCTTGTCATTCTTCTTGGCCGCATCAAAGGCGGATTCGGATAATAGGCTAAGAGACAAGGGAACAATGGAACAGTGAGGATACCATAAACGGAACAAGGGCGGTGACGTTACCAAGTTTTAGCGCACTTTGAGCATAGTCGGACACGTAGACACCAGTCGACGTTGCGAATATTCGCCGTGAAACAGATCTGTGCTGCATGTCAAGTGGAGGACGTGGACGGATTTTGGAGACATACATGACAAAAGTGATCAAAGACTAGGCTGGCCCAGGCAGGGTGGGACATGTCGTCTGGGCACGGTGGCAATCCGTGGACATTGGCTAACGAGGATTTCCAGACAGTCATAGATGACCTGTGGGTGACTGCAAAAGATTCATCAGGACGAAGTTGGAGAAAATATGAAAATCACGCACGAACGCGCCGAAAGTCCTTCGTCGTCCGGGTCAGATGGAGCAAATCCAAAGGATGAAGATGTCCAAATATCTGAATATCCTGTGTGAACACGTCGCAATGAAGAACTGTGAATAACACACCTCGAATAAAATATCCAGAGGGAGGGTAGGAAGCATCGACAGTGTTGTTCGCCTCTTAAGATTGACAACGCGACGCGTCGAGGTCTGTCTGCACACTACTTCCTGGCCATTTGAAGAGGATATTTTAACTTTCTTGTGCACTGGATGAGAGGAAAAGTCATTTTCGGAACTTTTTTCCGTCGGGGATGTCGACATCTTTGACATGACGAGGAGGAAAAAGAGGCGGACAAGAAGAACGCGAGATGTCACGGATGTGACCTGTCGCGCTAAAGGTGGCCGGCCCGACTCTGCCGCGCGGGTTAGTCCGACTTCATCAAGGGCAACATATTATACAATGCGCTCGCCGTTTAATGAGACGGCCGACCACCGTAACCAAAACCTAATCATATTGGTGAGAGGCACACCCCAACTAGTTGCTGTTTCTTACCTTGGTTATGGACGATTACCTGTTTATATTCTATTTGAGTGTCAGTCCCAGCATTGGCGATGAACGTAACGAACCACCAAGAAGACGTCGTTATGGGAAATGTACAAGCAAGTCAATCCATTTTCGAGTGACAAATTCTAACCGTCTGGCAGATCGCGCATCTTTTGACGAAGAATACATAGAACATTTTAACAGTATAATTCGGCACAATATACCGGCATCCAAGGACAGCTTACGCATGAGGGCGTTCGCCGTGAAGCTGTTCTGAGCAATAGAGAATATTCTCTTCGAGGCGAAAGATGACCCTGTGGACGAGCTAGAAGAACTGTACAACCTCACGCAACGAGGAAGGGAGGAAGGGAACTATAAGATGCTATTGAGACACTGCTGAGTTTCGCTTTCATCTCTGGTCCTCATATATGCCCTCATATTTTCTCTTGCAGCATGATTTATGGGCAGTAAAGTTAAGGATGGCCCGTCCTGAGCTCTGATCTTTGTCTTCAAGGGCATGTAAACGTATTTATATGTTGGTTTGAATAGGTATCAGCTTTCTGAAGCGCTACCAGCTTTGTATCCAGTGATACATACCCAGATGCTGCAGTTGGAGGATCTACTGGTGAGATTTGTTATCTGAACATCCTTCCAATATGAAAGCATGTCAAACTTAACAGAATTATGGAATTAAATGACTCATATACACATCCAGAAAGCCTGGGGCTTAGGGCCGGCACATCACTAGAACCTGATGGTAGCGAACACTGGTTGAAGGATCTGAAAGGTGTTCCGTTCATTTTCAAGGATGATCATCACTGTCTCGCTTTCGTCGAGAATCGAATGACCCTGGAACGGTCAGTACTGGTAGTCCACGGCGCTCTGGAGGGTGATGTACGTGTGTTATTTCTTTTTTTTGGGATTGACCCGGACTTGGTATTCCTACAGTGCGAGGTCGAGAAACAGTTGGCAGATGTCAAGAATGGCGTCCAGCACCGTGTTGTCTACAGTGGTATCAAAGATATGGAAGGCATAGGAAAGGGTCACCTTGGGTTATTTGTATTGTCGTAGCCGACTCAGTTGACCGACTAACTGTCTCTGTAAATCATAGTTCATTGTAATATATATTGATGAGTTTCACAGAAAGTTAAGCAGCTCAAAGCGCACGACTTGTTCATTGCTGACAACGAGCCGCGCGCCTTACATGTAAAAGTAGAGAAAGTCAAGGGAAAAAACAGAAGTCTAGCCAATTACATGAGTGTCTCTTCGGTGTTTTCTAAGACTTGTCGTATCTCGTCGTCTGTAACAGGCCGGGGGAATGACTTTCGAGGCTCCCTGGATAGTACTGGTAAATATACGATACAGACACTTATAAAGAAATGTACGAACGTTCGCATAGCCCATACATCCTCGCTACTCTTATCCAGCCTTCTCTTCGCCCACCACTCCGCCCGTCTATTAATCCATGCTTCGTACCGCTGGTCGCTCTCCATCCATTTCATGCTAAGGCAGAACTTGAAGTCATCGTGCTTATGCGCGCACCGTGAGGATTCGCCGTATCGGTACCAAGATTTCACCTGCGAACGAATGCCTGATACGGTTCAGTATGGTCGTCAACAGGCACCGGTGAAGCACCGTACCGTGACAGCCCATTGCGAGCTCCATCAAACTAAAGCAGGAGGGAATATCATCCGGAGTTGGATGTACTAGACGAAGGTAGGCAGCCTCTTGCTTGACAGCAACCGCAAAGTCGACACCAGTTTGCGACATAGAGTGAACGGAAGAAGAATGGAAAAGCACAGCCACTCTCATCTCTCTTCTGTAACGATTCAGTGGACTTTGACTCCGTTCGCTTCGACCCATTTGCCTGCTTGAGAGATCGCTCCTTCCAGTACATCATATCCATAGTTGCCGTAGTTTCCAGTGCGGTGTTGAATAATAGGTTTGTTCCTTCTCAATTCAAGACGATGAGTATACTTCACTGTCCGCTCCATAGTGCTTATGATTAGAAAATGGATAAGAACCTGACGAATGGTACTGTCTACCGATGTTGAAAGTTGAACGGTAATGAATTTCGGGAATCGGTTCGTTCATTTATTTAACCGCAATCTTTGCTCCATCTAAAAGTTACTCTTGCAGATATCGATATTGGGCAGTGGGCACGCCAAATGGGACAGACTGACCATTCACTGATTGTGGGGTGTCTTTCCAGTAATCGAAGACTCGCGGCATCGGTTGCTCATGTAAAATTCAAAAGACACTTCATATCTCAACGGGGTGTTCGGTGCTTTGACGTTAAAGGTCACTTAGTTTCATTCTAATTGCTCTTGAGTCACTGTGTTTAATCTGGACTAGCCGAACATGATAAGCCGTTTGCTCACTGGAGCTTCCTTAGTCGAGTTCCATGACCAGGTTGGAAGAATAGTGTCATATTTCTCTGCACCTAACATTTCTATTGTGTAATGTGGCTCGTCACGTAAACGGTCCTGGCACTCTTACTTTGCAAAAGGCTTGTTTGTGGACTTGCCGCATCCCGCATTCCTTCCCCGTCGCTAGCAGTTTTTCCTGTGGTCACAGATATTCTCAGTGCTTCGCGATACGAATCAGTCTATAAGGTCATTCAATCCTCATTGCTTGACACTTTGTCATCCGTTTCCGGGAACGAGGCGCGTGAGTTGAATAAAACCCCCTTCCCTCCTTGCTGCGTTTCCGTTTACGTACCAACACCTTTTCCCTGACCCAGCTTGGTCTGAAGAATTCCGACATGAAGGAGACCAGTAGATTATCCAAGGTTGAGCCGTGACTTGACAGGCCCGGTCGAACTCGTGATTTTCATTTCATTGCTCCCGCTGATCCAACGACGCCAATCAGCCTATCGCTTTCACACTGTATTAAAAAATGACCAAACATCGTCTCTTGATAGTCTCCATCGAAACATCGAACCGACTTTTTATCGACTAGACCAGGAGAACCGTAAACAATTCACGTACAGGGGTAAGATACCAGCTGATTTTTTATTGGCCTATACCGGTCCGACACGGGCTCTATAAGTTTGCAACATTTTGCCGTCTCAGTTTTTCGCCATTTCCCTCCTCTGCCTCATGTCGTCCTTCTCTGTGGCCGTCAATCCAGTCGTCGAGCGACACAGCCATCGTAAGTTCTTGATTCTTGATCACTTACCCAACGGAGGTTAAGCATTTTTTCACTTAGTCCCAGTAGATGAGGAAGCTGTTGATCTTAGCGAGTCGATCGATTTCACCGCTACACCTGGCTGCCAAGCTCGCAAGATATCTACTGCTAGCGTGGACAATGGAGGAACCTACGAACTGCATCCCCTTCCAAAATATTTTACTGAACGCACTAAGAGACCTTCTGCCCTCCGCAACGACTCGACTGCGGATACCATTACTCTCAAGGATCTCGTCCCCGAACAATCCTTGCCTGTTCTCGAGGATGTACATCTGAAGTCTCGTACTGCGACCGCGACGAACGCGGGAATAACGATTCCGACCATCCACCATCGAGCGCAAGTCGTCAATTCTGAAAGGTCAAAGAGCTACAAGAGGCAAGCGAATCTTCAGTTCGCCGCCATTTGTTGGTGTTTCTTCTTGTGTATGTGTTATCGTGGATGCTTGGTTCATTCGAATGCTGAGCATTTTCAGTGGGGTGGAACGATGGTACAACGGGTCCACTGATCCCTGTCATCCAAGAGTCCTATCGGGTTTGCCGACTGCTTCTCAATGTCACTGGATGATATATTAACTCAAGAGTACAGATCAACTTTGCCATTGTTTCTTTGTTCTTCGTTTTCAATTGCATCGTGAGCGCGCGTTACTAGAACAGCTATAACACCTCAATCTGAACAGGGATTTATCCTTGGTGCTGGAGCCAATGTATATTTCAGTGAAAGATATGGTTTGGGAAAAGTATTGATTCTCCCTTTTGGTCGAGCATTCAAGCTTACCTTGAGCAGATTGTGTTCTTCGGTTCCCTTTTCCAAGTCGTGTCGTACGCGATGGAAAGTCCACAGCCGCCCTTCCCGGTTATGGTCCTTGCATACGCTCTAGCTGGTTTTGGCATGTCACTACAGGTAAATAATCCCGAGAGCATACATTTCGTACGCTTACCTTCGTTCAACTAGAATGCTCAAGGAAATGGCCTTATTGGCAGTTTAAAAGAGCACAAAACGACGAAACTTAATATGCTTCATGCTTCATACGGTGAATGATACGGTCCTATAATCAGCGATGAAGGACTAACACTTATCGATAGGCGTGGGCGCGTTCGTCTCTCCATTGGTTGCAACCCACTTTTCGTATGAACGGCATTGGTCGTATCACTTCATCATCTCCACGGGCATTGCGGTCTCGAACTCGGTTATCCTTGCATTGGTGTTTCGCTTCAAGACGCGGGAAGGTATGAGCTGCCATGGTCCCATCATTGTGATTGGATCAGAAACTGATTATATCTCCAGTCCTCCTCGCGGAAGCGGGTCAGGAACCAGGAGAGTCTGATACTGCAGGATCTCGAGATGAAAACTTGTACAGCTCAATCCTTAAAATCAAAGCTGTGCATTTCCTTGCCATTTTCGCCCTCATCTATATCGGCACTGAGGTTACTCTGGGTGGTTGGTGTATTCGCGCGTGGATCCTCGTCGGGTGCTGATGTATCTTTTTCAGGCTGGATCGTTACGTTCTTAATTAACGAGAGAGAAGGCGGAAAGAGCGCGGGATACGTCTCCTCTGGTTTCTTCGGTGGTGAGCAACGTTTCCACTATTTCAGTTGGTGTTTGGTCAGACATCTTCTTCCTTTAGGACTAACTCTGGGCCGGCTGTGCCTTATATGGTTCAGCAAAAAAGTTCGTATCTGGCGTTCCGTAGTTATCGAAACAAGGTCTAATTTCTTGATCAGGTCGGAGAGCACCGTGTCATCTTTGTATATACTCTACTCGCCATAGTGTAAGTCAGGTCATGTATTACCGGTTTCTCACACATCTATTATGCTAAATGGGAACCCAGACTGGAACTGACCGTGTGGTTTGTTCCTTCCATCATCGAGAACGGAGTTGCAGTAAGGACGTTGTATCTGTATCATGACACTTCTCACTTAAATCTCCTTCCAGATCTCATTCGTTGGCTTGCTACTGGGTCCCATGTTCCCGATACTTGTCGGCCATGTGACACGAATACTCCCTGCATGGTTGTTGACCGAAAGCGTTGGGTGGATTACAGGAATTGGTATGTCGGGATCAGCGGCCCTGCCTTTCATAACGGGTCTATTGGCATCTCGTTATGGAATCCGATCATTGCAGCCATTGTAAGCGCCAGGTCCTCCCAGATCCTAGAAGCTTTTGAACTGAAATATGTCTCTAGAGTCGTCTCGATGATGTGCACACTGGTAGGCATTTGGGCGTTTGTACCGCGTACACGACGCGTCGACTGAGCGATAAGAAGGATGTAGAGACTTCATAGAGTATAGAGGAGTCGGTACGGGAACTTGGATCTTTTTTTAGACTTGATAATTCATATGTGCAAAATGCTGTGTGACGATGATAATAAAGCCAAAAGAATAAGACAACAGTTCTTCGTCGGAGTCAGACTGAAGTACATTCCCAGCATTCAAATGTCCATAGATCGCGTTTTAATCATCGTTTGGGAGTAGGAAAGCTTATTCCTAATTAGAGTTAGCGGATCTCGCTAAAAGGCACTGCTTCTTCCTCAAGACTTCTGCGCCGGAAGAGCTGACACGTTTAAGAGGGAGATGACATTACTATTTTTCTTTTTGCTACATTCAGATGCATTCCGGAAAGAAACCCTCACAAATCATTGCTGAAGGAGTTTTTAGAAAATGCTATATGATTAAGGTAGGAGACTACGATACATATATGCTAACATTATACATCTGTTAAGATTAGTCTATCGCTTCTGACCCAAGCAGTCAAGCATCAGCGGAGGACTTTGGGTCTACGACACCATCATCAGTTACAGCAAACCAGTAGGAGTGAGAGTTACAGACCTTGTGAACCAGATACGAAGGGTGGCGTTACCGTCGCCGCCGGCGGAGAGACGCGTTGTGGCATTTTTGATTGAAGCCGAGCATTGAGCTCTTCATCCCTTTGATGTGCACGGTCAATTGCAGCTTGAGTTTTTGCCTTGACTCGCTCGTTGTAATCTTCCTCGATCCTGCGAATCACGACGGTCAGTGAAGGGGTTTCGGGAACGCAGCACGAGGCTCATACCTTTTCAAAGTCTCGAGTTCCAGAAAGAAATCCCATGGATCATCGATCTGTTCGGGTTTTATCGCCTCAATGTCATCCAGCAGAACCACAATGGGCATGGTATCGGGAGGACGTACACCAAATACAGGGTGGGACCAGATTGGATTGGAAGGAGATATTAAGGCAACCTCGTCATGATCATAGATATCCACCCGTAGCCATGGTATACATGGAAGGAGCTTGGAGAGGACAGAGCGAAGGAAAGTAGTAGCACAAGCTTGGCTTGCCTCGTTGACTGATCCGGGATGTTGGCTTTGAGCGTCGCCAGTCAAACAAGATCCCTGACTTTCGACTTTGCAGGCTGAGCGAGATACCTGGCTTGCAGCTTCACTGAGTGACTGGCGGTATTGGCTTTCCACATCCTGCTCGAAGGGTGGAGGCAAAGTAACCAAGGATGCTTGGCGATGGTCAGATACATCACTAGCAATGTTTCCCTCCACGGCAGAATCCTGTGGTGGATCTCACTCTTTCTTCAAAAGTTCCCTGCGATCGGCATCCTCGTCAAAATAATCTCCGTCAAGGACCTGATCGTGACTGTTCAATCCATGTCTGGGCTCAGACCATGCTTGTTGAATATAAATACATATAACCGGGGCATGCAACTTGGAACGAATCGGCAAATTGGCATTAACGAAGGTGCATGATTACGGGCAATACATTATACTAACAAGGAGTGTGGGTCGTACAAACGTGAAACGGATGAGGCAGAGATACGAGGTACAATGTCACGGCTGAGAAACAAATGAAGACGAATTATTAGGCACTAGTCACAGGCTTTTCATCTACGATAACATGATGAGCTTTAGGACGGGTAAGGATATTTCCAGAACATACCTTCCATCATAGAAACGGATATCGCTATCGTCTCCGTGGGCGAGGGCTCATGTTTTGGCATTCTTGACTCCAGTCGAGCATGGAGTGCTTCATCTTTTTGACGCGCACGTTCAATGTCAGCTTGAACTTTGACTTCCATTCGCTCCTGATAATCTGCTTCAATCCTATGAAATTCAAGATGTCAGGGGAAGAATATCAATTATATGGATAACGGAATGTGTACCTTTTCAAAGCGTCGAGCTCTCGAAAGAAGTCCCATGGGTCGTTGACCTGTTTCACTGAATCTATATTATCTATTGCCTCTATGACTGGCATGGTATCCGGAGGAATGGCACCGAATAAATTGAAACCTTGGAGAGGGTCATCGGAGAAGTCTCTGTTGTAACGATCGAGGTTTGGGCGCAAACACGGTACCCATCGTAGGACCTTGCCGCGTAACGGGCAAAGAAAAGATGATAGCTTGAAAGAACCTTTGGAGACAATCGGTAGAGTTCCACTAGCTTCAATGGTTTCATGAACTGAACCACCATACTAGCTTTCAAGATCAGCGTCGTGCTCCGATGGAAGAGGTAAAATGGCTGTAGATGCTTGGCGCTCGTCTATCTGGTTGTCGGAAACGTCTCCAGCAGCATCAGAAACGCATAATGCTTCTTGTTCCTTCTGGAGTGTATCCCTACGCGCCGCATCCTGGAAGTGGTAGATCTCCAGAAGCCGATCTTCGTGTTTTAATTGATATTTAGGATCGGACCATGGGTCCCCAATAGTAAGGTCGTTTCGAACACGGCAATGCATCATAGTCAAGGTAGGGTGGTAGCAGTCTGGCCAGGGGAGAGGCAGCGTAGGGTTCAGCAGCGGTCGCGAAAGTGGATTGGTATCGTTCGGCGTAATCGGAACAGCCATGTCCGGCAGTATGAAACGATTTGGCTTGCCTTCAGATGTTAATCAACGTACATGGGTGACGCATGCAACATAAACTTTGCTCTTTAAGGCTTCGCAGGCTTTGGTGACCTCCAGATCCTTGAGATATTTGAGGGAAGCAACTGGGTCGAGCTTGAAGGCGATATATTCACCGAAATGAGGGACGACCATGATCAGAATGAGAATAAAGATTTCCGAGCTCACCTTTTAAGTCCTGAAAAAAAAATAGGGGAGATGCCGAATTTATTTGCATTGTTGTCGGCACAAAGGTAGGACAAATGAATAAACGTCCCCTCTTAGAGAGCCCATTGAACACTACTACCTGATATAACTACTTACCCACCCACACATCGCGATTCCTGCACAAGCAGCATCATCCATTCGCGTCTCAATTCACATCGCTGCAGTGCACCTTCCTGAGCCCAATTATTTTCATCTTCATCGTATACTTTATTGTTCGCACCATCTTTCAACAACTACTCGAGAGATCCACCTGTCCGACGATCTGAAAATCATCCGCTGTTTTACATTAGAATTTCAACTAAATGGACCCTTACATAAGTATACCTTGAATACATTCGCTAAACTACTTCAATGGCACCTAGCGTGGCCGTTGGGCATGGATCCTTGGGAGAACGCAGCGACACTCTTCGGATCTCTGGTCCCCGGAACATCCATGCTAGGATTCATTGTAAAGAACGACTGGGGCTTGAGAGTGATGCTTAAATGCTCAACAGGCATCCTATAGGAAATATCAGGGTCATGATTCCAGCGCGATCAAAGAAATAGACGTACACTGGCCAATCTTCCGGACGAGGGATATGCGTAGTCCCTATTCACCAGAGTCAAAATGATTGAATCTCATACTTGGCACAGAAAATACCCACCGACGGTCAAATACACCAGAATATCCTCATTCTCGATACTCTGCTCGCCCTTCACCCACGCACCGATCGAATCTGCCGGACTCTCCCTAGTCTGTGGGACGTATTTCCCAGCAGGCCACATCCTGCTTCCCTTCGCACCCTCAACATCCCTGCACACCCATATAGGGTAGTTAACAAACTGCGCCCTCTTCAACGCCCAACCGTCTTTCCTCGCCATCATCGGCGTAACACCACCCTTGACCCCGACAACGTACCCAACATCCTTGCCGCTACTATAGTGCTTCCTAGCGGGGTTGACGATCTTCCATTTCCGCTCCCTCTCCCAATCCCAAAGCCTCCCGGCCTCTTTCTTCAACACAGTGTCCTCCTGGATGAACCCGTTTCCGGCAAAGTTGAGGTCGGAGCCGGTTTCGGCATTGGGGATAGGCATGACGTCGGATTCGACGACGGAGTTGTTGAGACCGTCGATCATAGGGTCCACACGGATGGAGAAGAGATGTTGGTGATAATGGGCGTTGACGTTAGGTGCGACCTTGGTGCCGAACTTGGCAGGTTCATCAGTCCCCGATATGTAGACTTGAAGAATACCAGTCAGGCGGACTTCGAGCTCGATGCTGCCGTCTTGATAGAAATGGTAGTTCCAAATGTATTCTGTAGGCATTGGTCTCAGTCTCAGTCTTTGTAGGAATGTGAATATGGAACGAACCATAGTTGGCCAACGTGCAGACCATACTGATAACCAGGCGTCTTCTGCGAACGGTCTGTGCACGGCCACCAGGACGATAATCGGTGTGCTTCCAGAGGACACCATTATCCTCCTCATGAATGCAGATAGCGTTCTTGATGATTATTGCGTTTCCATCGTGTCCGACGTAGGCGCCAGGCTAGAGTAGTTGAGTAGTTGTCAGACGCCGGCTTTCCATGGCAACTGGGCTCTACGTACCAAATAGTGGATCTGGCCAACACAATCACACCCCAACGATAGCTCATTGGCCATTGTCCCCATACCGTATTCACCTCTGCCTCGGTCATAAATGCTGGTTATTGAAGTGGATAAGAGGAAGCTCACGAATCGAAGGCGAATTTCCGAGGATGCGGGTATTCTGGTGCTCCGTAAGGAACCACCATCTCGGCCAACGACAGGCGATATATAAGTGGCCGAATTTCGCCATTGTCGTTGTAAGTGATCGTAGAAAGGGCTATACCCTCGCGGTGAGTGAAGGCTAGGGGCGAATGATTAGTAGAGTGAGATCGAGGGCATCATGATGACTTGCATATATGCATCTTCCAATTCTGCCACTCCAGCTCATTCCTATCGAGCTTAAAGCTAACACCCTCGGGCTGGAGGATGTGCAAAGGTTTGATGTCATCTCTGGGCTTGAAATTCTCCTGGCTCTTCTCCATAAGGTCAGGAAGGAAGTCAAACGGTTTGAGGGGAGGAGGAATGCGTGGTCGACCTGTCGCGGCAAATGCGTCCTCAGAGAGTCCGGGGAACTTGGTGCTGGATGCGCTGAGTACCGCGCCATTAGCAGTATTCTTGTAATGAGGAGGGAAATCTAAACCGAAGTGTCAAGAAGAATGAAACTCAAAGCTTTAAGACGCGACGGTACCTATTTGCAGGACCTCTTCAGAATTTGCATCTACTACGGCAATGAAATCCTACGAGAATCCTCTGAGCATGACTTTTACAGCTGCAAGTATACACTTACCAGGGGATGAGCGTATAGATTTTCATGCTCTGAGAGCCGGGCAAATAGCAACGCTTGCTGGACACGGCGCTTCTGTGGGAAACGGTCGTCGTAGCCAATGGACCAGCCATCACAGACTATTTGCTCGGGAAGAACACCTACCGAAAAGTGAAATATTTGACTGTCCAGATATGAATTCTGCTTACCGACTTCTTTCGCCAATTGCTGCACGCGAGCGTCACTCTTCACAATTTTCTCGCACGCAACGAGTTCTTGAACAGAAATCTGGGGCTGAGTACCTTCTGGAAGCTTCTCAAAGCTTTCAATATTCCACTTCCCGTCGTCAAGAGCCAGGACAACGTTATACGCGTCTCTGTAGTCGATAAATCAAGTGTTTGTCATACTGAACCGGACTTTACGCACCCGTACACGACATCGAGGAACTGTGTAACTATCAGCTTCGTCGGTGGGCAGAGTTTAGAGTACGTACATCGACTTCGGCCTTGCGGGTAATTGGTGTGGGTGCCTCAGGCTGCCCGCCGGGAGTCAGAGGAATCCCAAGGTAGGCAAGAACCGCTTTCTTGGGAGGTGGTAAAAGGTACGTAGTGATAAATTTGACGGCCTTGATGTCTGTCTTGCTCACGATATGGTGTCGGACCGATAGTGATACAGCTGCTATCTGAAGCGAAGGTTAATCTAGGCGTAGATAGGCGCGTTCAAGTTGAGCTCACCTCGTCAGGTGTCAGTGGGTCCAAAGGATGCTTAAAAGCAGTCGGAGGGTGGAACAAAACGTCTGTCGCAGTGGGAGAAGCCATTGGCGATATGGAAACGCTCTATCACGGTCCGTTGGCTCCTGAAATACTTTTGCTCACGATGAATGACTGAGCAGTTTTGGCAAGATCACCTGACGGAAACGCGAGAAATGCATTCCGCCCAATTTCCGGCATCATTAGTTATAGGAATTTGATGATAAGGAATAATGCGGCTCCAATTGAGCCTTTAGTGCCCATGATTTCTTATCACGGTTCGCCGCGGCAGCGTTGTCACTGACAATGGACTGAATTATCGAAGACGGTTAATGGAAGTAAAGGGTTAAATGCATACGTACTCATCGGTATTGGCCGTCAGTTCGTTGCTATTGGATGGGAAGTGAGGAGGTCCGCCATCATCCATGTATCCGCATATATATCACTGTACTCTGCCTTGCCACGGCACGGCTGAGGTCTCAACCGACAGACGGAGCTGCGAGTCGGATCACCAGAGGTAGTCACAAAATATATTTTCTTTTGAATACAGACAAGGGAGTTAGAGGACAAGACAATGCAGTAGATATTGATTATGGTCGTATTCAAGTTGCGGCAAACAAGTTTTGATACCCGGTTCGAAGTTGCCGGTGGCTGTACAACCACCTTATACTCAATAACACACACACCTTCCTCCCTTGCTTCCTCTCAAATATCTGCTTTTTCCACCCTGTGGAAAGAATGAGGCTTTTTAATTGTGATTTAATTGTTGCCCATCTGAAGCAACATCCTTATCTGTGCTCAGAAGTACTCCAACATGATTCCTGCCTAGGCTTCTATCTTTCATGTGTATCTCGCTTATACGTAATCGGACTTTGTATGGAGTGAGCATATAGTCTATCCAGTGCGATAACAGCTCTTTCCCATCCTTCGACATGTCTTCGAAAGACGCTGTTCATGCGGCGGACGAGACGCGATTAGCAGCTTTGGGCTATAAGCAAGAGTTCAAGCGTGAATTCACCCCTCTTGAGGCTCGTCTTTCTCTTAAAAGTTAATATATTCACTAACCTTATCGCAGGTTTTTGGAATTGCGTTCTCGATTATCGGACTGGTGCCCTCAATATCGTCGGTTCTCTTTTACGCGATACCCAACGGAGGAGGGCCTGCCATGGTTTGGGGGGTACGCTTCCCTCAAGTCCACTCCCATTGAGATGCGATACGCTGATAGAACAGTGCAGTGGGCCGTTGCAAGTATTTTCATACTATGTGTTGGCATGGCAATGGCCGAACTAGCCAGTGCTGCTCCTACTTCTGGGGGATTATACTACTGGACCTACTCATTGTCGTCATCCCGTTGGCGCAATTTGCTTTGCTGGATAGTCGGATGTCAGTTTTTTCGTATTTTTTTACACACGCCGCACCCTCACACACTTGGCAATCTAGACATGAACACGATCGGATCTATAGCAGGTGTATCTTCGATTAACTGGGGATGCGCCGTTCAAATCATGGCTGCAGTCAAGATTGGCTCTAATAACCAAAGCTTTGAGCCAACGAACGCCCAGCTTTTGTATGTCATCCCCGTTTTTCTTTTTCCCATATTCTCAATTCAAACTTGTCAGTGGTGTATATGTAGCTATAAACCTCACTCACATCGTAAACTGCAGTCTGGGCACATCGGTTTTAGCAAGGCTGCAGTCCGTGTACGTCGCTCTCAACGTCGTGTACGTATCCTATTCAGTTATCTACTGATAGCGCCTTCCATCATTCTGATGTTCCAATACGATGTTGACAGGTTATGCTTCGGGGTTATTATCGCCTTGCCTATCGTTACTCCGTCGGAATTCAAGAACAGCGCACACTTTGCCCTAGGCGAATTTGTCAACCGTGCGCCGTTTCCGACTGTCATGGATTCGTTTTTATATAGCACTTATCTCATCCCGCATAGTCAACGGGTGGACAGATGGCTTCGCATTCATACTGAGTTTTTTGGCGCCGCTTTGGACTATTGGTACGCCTGCATTACTACAGCGACATGACATGATATATCCATCATCGCATTGTAGGTGCATTCGATTCCAGTGTCCACATAAGTGAGGAAGCGTCAAATGCTACAACTGTCGTTCCTTGGGCAATCGTATTGGCGGTGGGCATTGCTGGAGTGTTGGGCTGGGGTATGTGTTTTCGCTAGTACCAATAATTTATTCTGATGTCGAATCTATAGCAATCAACATGACCCTTGCTTTCTGTATGGGGTCGGATCTGGAAGCGATATATAATAGCTCCCAGCCCATGGCGCAGATTCTGTTCAATGGTTTTGGACAGAAAGGAACGTTGGGTATCTGGGCAATTATTGTATTAGTACAGTGTGTTGACCTTTTCATCCGTCGTCGCCGTGGATCCTAATGTTAGCTTTGCTTTGGCAGATATATGATGGGGTCCAGTATGGTAAACTCATCTTTGGTTACGGAGATCGTTTCCTAATATCTTTTTATCAGCTTCTAGCCGCCAGCAGACAGACGTACGCTTTTAGCAGAGATCGAGGTATCAGCTTCATTATGACCATCTGATTCTCAGATCAAACGCTCACACCACGTGCTAGCCCTTCCATTCTCCCACTGGCTGTATCGAATGAATAGCTACACGGAAACGCCGGTTAACACTGTCATTTTCGACGCCGGTTTCGCAATATTACTAGGACTACTCTCATTCGCTGGAAGTAATGCTATCAACGCCGTTTTTTCAATATCCGTCATCGCAACGTATGTCGCATACAGCATCCCGATCGCTGCCTGCTTTATGGGAGAGAACAATTTCAAGCCTGGACCATTTCACCTCGGAATATTCGTTAGTCACCATGAATCATAGTGATTTACACACCTCTGACGGCCGTTCTTTGATTCATAGAGTTTTTCGATCGCGCTGACAGCCGTATTGTTCATGACCTTCACGAGCATAGTGTTGATGTTCCCCACAACTCCCCAAACGACTGTTCAAGATATGAACTACTCCGTAGTAGTGCTGGGAGGCGTGATGATTCTCTCGTTGATATGGTACTACTTCCCTAAATATGGTGGGGTTTACTGGTTCAGGGGTCCTGTTCCTACATTGGATCCCATGAGTCCCGGATCAGAGGACATGGGCAAAAAAGAGGCAGCCAACGTGGTTGCAGAGCTGGTTGTGGAATGATTGTATCAGTAGTCCCACCTATTTCCGCTCTCATTATCTCGTTGAACTTAGACCTTATGAAATTAAGCATTGGACCTGACCATTGTTTGTTTTTTTTTTCAGGGAAGAAGAATTGAAGGAAAAGCGGGCTTATGGATCATTCTTACGCCCCTCGACTACGCATAGATAGACTTACAAACGCATTGATTATGCCGTGATACATATTTAATTCAAGGCTGAGAACGGGAGTGGAAAGCAGACAGTCGCCGCTTGTTTGTTGAAGCGTCAGATGTGCCCAAGGTAGCGAGCCCCAGGGCCTAAGTTGGCTACTCATGTTCGTGGGTCTATTGTATTCACAAAGGATGTATTCAGAATTAGAAAATCCAGGGCTAGAACCCCATGCATCCCATATATTGAATGAATATACTTGATAGTGGGGATAGTTACCAGTCGGGCAATGTGTGTTCTCAGACCGACCCACAAGCGGCGCCCAGCACCACAGGCGCGTTATGTATGCGTGCTTGCAGTCGGAGTAACTCGGGCCGAGAAACTCGATCAAACAAACTTCGACTACAACATCCACGTACGTAAAATATCCGAAATGGAAAACTCCCTCGGCTCAGAAATATAGAGACGGAGACACTTTCGACGGAAACTAGGGGCCTCATCGATCATCAGTTAAAGCTCTCATTGTCGCTTAGTTCTGTACATCTCTTCTTGCAGACTGCAGCACAGTTAACATCCTCTGACCAACTTCAAGATGGTAGTCCTGGGAATTTGTAAGACAAATTTCGCGAACAGACGAGCGCTGAAGGCCTAGGACCATCGTGGGATTCACTTTGATTGCTTGGGGACGAGGTTCTACTTCGGAAAGGACACCTTGCTATCATCGCCAACACCGTCTGTGATCCACTTTGGCAAGTAAATGGTGTCCTTTTTAATATAATGTCCAAAGGACTTCGTCGCGCTATTCTTGTTGGCCAAAACGTTTCTATTCAATCTTATCTTCATCTCAAGCTGCTCTCTAGCTTGGCTTGCTCTTCCACTACACACGACAAACTCTAACGTCTACTTCAAATGAAATTACCTTGACAGGAAGGTACAGATATGGCTATCTCATTCTCGGTGCCTCGGCGACGTACATATACGCCAACGAACACCAACAGTTGACTTCATTTCTGGAAAGTGTTGCCTCGTGCCCTTTTCATCAACTTCTTGATACGGTACATCCTCGAGCAGCTTATCAAGCAAAACTGCTCGGAGCCAATCGTCGGATCTCGGTGCTGAACCAATTCTTGAACATAGCCATGTACGGAGGGCCTAAAGTATGTGGGTCGTATCGCTATAAAAACCAGGTGCGGGCAGCACGGTATGTCCCCAACAGTGGTTCCACAACACCGCTCCAGCATCTGCTACTTCTCTGCTCTCTTTTCCAAATCTTTTCTCTTACATTCAACCTTGCACGGACACCATTGTACGTGTTCGCGGCATCCATTTACGGGTCGGACTTATGGCTTGATACCAGAAACCATGTATTCCGGGTATCCTGCTTCGTACATCCACCTTAGGGGCCATGGCAGCGCCAGGTCTGGTTATCCTCCCATTCCTCGTTCCTATGCGAGGTATGGAGAAGAGGACGACCAGCCGTTTATGCCCAGCTCTGGTGGAGGTATCAGAGTACAGGAACCCGATGAGCCGACGTTGCCACTGTCCTCCGGTCAAGAAATTTCGCTCTTGGACCAAGAGGCGGGTAGTCACACCCATGATGAGATGCCGACACGCGCCCGCGACCCTGTAATTGTTTCCTAATAACGAGCGTGTTTTACGTGTTTAACTTACGCGATAATATTTTAGGGCTATGAACACGGCGGATCGTCTGGTCCAATGCGTCCTTTTGATGTTTCGGGACACTCTCGTGGCTCGGTGAGTACAGCACGACTATAGGCGAAATTTCTACACCTTCAAACAATACTTCCTCAGGGCTATGGAAGTCCCACTTCCCAACGTGGATCGAACTCACCTCCCAGTGGATACCCCTCGTCGTCAGCCGCTTATCCTCCTGGATACGCCACTGCCGTAACAGGCCTTCCTTCTCCTTTCGCGTCCTTGGATCCCGGTCAGCGCTATTACGACTGACACACTCTTGAGCAATCTCCCCATGTAATCCCTAAACGCGAATCCCCCGATCTCACGCCCTTCCTAGCGAGAGCAGACACCCAATACGACTTACGCGAACCCGGTGATTACCTGCGAGACTTCCTCCATCTCCCACACGGAACCCCAATCCGCCTCGAATCTCTCGTTGATCCGCGCGACAGGAGTGGAAGGCCTCCTTACACCATAATCCAGTTAGCTGCAGCCGCGATCTACAGTCACCCCCACCAGAAAGCTTCCACAGCTGAGATCAGAGCTGCGCTTATGGCGCGCTTTGAGTATTTCCGAGAGAACGAGGGCACCTTGAAGGTTCGTCGCGCAGTCGTTGTTGAAGGCTGCATGGTACTTACCGGTTGACAGGAAACTCTCAAGCACGCTTTGTCTTCTCACGATCTTTTTAAGAATATTGGGCGTACCCCGATCGATCCTGGAAGAGGGGGTCTTTGGGCCATTGATATTACCAATCCGGAAGGCAGGCGTCCTCGTAAACGTAGGAGCACTCATTCCCCCGACGAGGGTAGCGCTGAGTTCTCAGGCTCCAGCGATGGTAATAGGTCTGAGTCTTCCTAATCTAACGACGTATCCAACATCATCTTGTCTTGTATACAAATTTCCTCTATGCTGCCCCATTCTTTGTCTTTCCGTGTCACGACTCTTACGACCACAATTCTCCCGTTATAGTTCTGTATAAACTTCCTCTATTCCTCCAAATGACTTGTACTACTCGTGCTCATTTACATTGTACAAGCCATAGTTGCTCAAATAAATCAGTATCCTTGACGTATCTATGTGTTTCGTACGGCCTCGGAGTCGCAATTGAAAGAGCCTTCAATTCGAATGCTTATGTCGTAGAGCCAAAAGTTCAGGTTGTCAATGTAATATGCACAATGCATTCCTGAATCCTAGAGCCTGAAGCCTGGATTCCTGGTGACAAACAGGATGACTCAGTAACCTAGTTTGGAGACCGACTCGGATTATCTAGTGGTGAAGAAGCACCGCGCATTTTCGAAGGCCTCAGTCAATCCCGACATACCAGTTCCTGTGATCTACCCGAGGCTTTCGGTCAACAACCACGCAGGGAGTATTCGTGTCACATGACCGGCAAGTATCGGGAACATGGGACCCAGTAGCAAGCCAACAAATGAGATCTGGAAGGAGATTTAAGTGAGAAGTGTCATGATACAGATACAACGTCCTTACTGCAACTCCGTTCTCGATGATGGAAGGAACAAACCACACGGTCAGTTCCAGTCTGGGTTCCCGTTTAGCATAATGGATGTGTAAGAAACCGGTAATACATGACCTGACTTACGCTATGGCGAGTAGAATATTTACAATGATGACACGGTGCTCTCCGACCTGATCAAGAAATTAGACCTTGTTTCGATAACTACGGAACGCCAGATACGAACTTTTTTGCTGAACCATATAAGGCACAGCCGGCCCAGAGTTAGTCCTAAAGGAAGAAGATGTCTGACCAAACACCAACGGAAACAGTGGAAACGTTGCTCACCACCGAAGAAACCAGAGGAGACGTATCCCGCGCTCTTTCCGCCTTCTCTCTCGTTAATTAAGAACGTAACGATCCAGCCTGAAAAAGATACATCAGCACCCGACGAGGATCCACGCGCGAATACACCAACCACCCAGAGTAACCTCAGTGCCGAATTCCCGTCTTCGTCGCGGTCGCAGTGCGAGACTTCAGATATAAATCCTCGAGAATAGGCAAGGATTATTCGGGGACGAGATCCTTGAGAGTAATGGTATCCGCAGTCGAGTCGTTGCGGAGGGCAGAAGGTCTCTTAGTGCGTTCAGTAAAATATTTTGGAAGGGGATGTAGTTCGTAGGTTCCTCCATTGTCCACGCTAGCAGTAGATATCTTGCGAGCTTGGCAGCCAGGTGTAGCGGTGAAATCGATCGACTCGCTAAGATCAACAGCTTCCTCATCTACTGGGACTAAGTGAAAAAATGCTTAACCTCCGTTGGGTAAGTGATCAAGAATCAAGAACTTACGATGGCTGTGTCGCTCGACGACTGGATTGACGGCCACAGAGAAGGACGACATGAGGCAGAGGAGGGAAATAGCAAAAAACTGAGATGGCAAAATGTTTCTGCAAGCTTATAGAGCCCGTGTCGGACCCGTATAGGCCAACATTTACTGATGACTTACTGCTCCTGAGATAAAGAAAAGCTGTGAAAACACAAACACAAAAAACTAAAATTCTGCATGTGATAGGTAATTGAAATTACTGTATTAAAACCCTCCCCTTCGAATAGTCTGCATAAAACCATAACTCGCCTTCCCCTCCCTGGAGGTTTCATATTAAGTTTAGGGTTGCACATGAAATGTAGGTTTTGATACACTTGTGTTTATTACTGGTAACTTACACCCCTCGCCAGAAGGGTTTCATCGAGATAACTTACCTGTCATGTGACTATGCTGGACAGTATTTGAGCATTATATTCAGTATTATTATATACATATTGTATTTACAAAGGAAAAGCATAGATATCTTTTTGCTTTTCCAGTAACTTACAGCCTGAGAGATCAATAAGGTGTATAAAAATACAAAGACAAAGAGTCGAAAAAAATCTGCCACATCACAGTCCAGTCATGTAACTTTGTATATGATAAGTAATAAATTACTATATTAGCCCTCCTCCTTTCTTTTGCGCAAGGATCGGTATGAAAGGACAATTTCCCCCCCCCCCTCTGGAGATTTCGTGCGCAGCCCTAGTGAATTTCGAAGCAAAAACTTGTATTCGAAAATGTATGGGGGCACCCGGGATTGAACCGGGGACCTCCAGAACACATCACCACTTAAATAACTTCAGTCTGTTGCTCTCCCAGCTGAGCTATGCCCCCATAATTCATACCCGTCATCCTGATCTATAGTAGTAAGAGGAAAAAGAGGACAGATCACCCTAGCGGCAACCCTGTTTTCCACACTTTCTTGTCACCCAGGACTCTGAGCTCTTGCTGGACCATCTCCTAAGCCTGTCAGACAAATTGATCTTGGAGGATCGGTCTTCTCCGTCTGGGGGAGTGACCCATTGATTAGAGAATGAGGCCGTCTTCAGTTCAAAAGATCACTGATATGAATCTCTCGAGTATTGTCTTGCGGGGACCCGTATGAATGCTGATTTCGTTCTTCATCCAATCGATATATTATCATCGATGTCGTTCTCTCCGGGTTCAGAAGAGGCTTGACTTTTTCGTCCGCATGACGTTCCGAACACTTCAATAATTCCATATCATATGGTCTTCGCCTGTCGGATTTTAGCAGTATGGTCGCGTATATTTCCAGACCTAGTCACTTGCTCCCAGAAAATTTCCGTTCTCAATATCAGGCTGCCAACCGAGTCAGCTCTGGCTTAGCCCTGAACTTGAAGAGATTAACATCCATAACTTTTATGTCGCTCGGCGACATCACTTACAGTTGCGCTCTTCATGGTCTCGGCGGTAGGGCTATTAGAGTTTTCACCACCGTCCTCGCTAATTCGGCGAACAGAAGTCTACCTTGGAAATACTTCCCACTTGCCCCTCCTCAAAAAGTGCACATCGCATTTACGACCTCACCCTCTTGGGAATTGGTCCCCTTATACATTGAATATAAAAGGACACTGTCCTATAAAACTACAGTCAGACTGCGAGTTTTACGCGCACTCACGAGGAAACAACCGATACCCATGTGTCTTGATGAATGGTAGGAAGTAGTGAGGTAACAGATTATAGCAGTCTATCAAATATTACAGAGAATGATCACGCAAATAAGCTACACAAATATCAGTATTGAGATACGTGTCCGTCCATCCATCCACCAAGTATTCCATTCTCCCTCCTCCTACTTACTCTCCACCGGTAAACAAATCGTGGTCCCGGGCATCAACGATTCACATTCTACCTCCGAGTTCCAGCCTCGCAGCTCCTCAAGAGTGTACCCATGTCTGTTCGCAATCTCCCAGCACGAATCGCCCGCCTGGACCCAATATGCCTGCATATCCTGCAAGCACGGGCTCTTTGGTACGGACAAACCCGGTGAGAGGATGAGCCGCCATACGAGAAGTAGAATGACGGCTATGATGAGGAAGAATGGGAAGAGGGTGCGGTAGGCGCTGGGGTTGGGGATGTAGGTTATTGGGACCATAGGCCGGTCCTGGAATAATGAGGTTGGGAGATAGAGTGACAGGAAGAACGTACGAGGTCAGTAGCGAGCTGTTGATACCCGTCTGCTTGACGAGGAGCAGCTTCGATATCTTCAGTTCTTGAAGGAGCGTCTGTTACTGTAGCTTCTCAGCTAGCAATCTGTTTGCATCATGATAGTACAGACCACGGGTCATCTCGCTATATTCAGCGCCCTCTGCGCCCTTCCACGTGCCTCCATCGTCATCACGATAATAGTATGTTTGGGTGTCTGAGTCGTAACCAATGCGTTCCATGCCTTCTGGGAGGCGGTATGAATCCTGTTAGAGTTAAGCGTGAGGCGAATACATAAAATAACGTTAGTCACTTCGTCGTATTGCGTCCAGCGGCCCATCATGAAAATAAACAAAGCGTAGTAGTGGTCGTGTGGGAGAGATAATTGCACCGCCACCCGCGGTTATTGAAGGCGTGGTTATGTAATCAGGAACATCGGCCACGAGGCTCTCGTCCATCGTGTATTTCGACTTTATAACTTCTGTAACCAGCGGGACTTTTCAGAATCGCGAGGATAGACTCAAACGAAGTGGGTGGTAAAATGTATTACTTTTGTTGCAAATGCAATGAGGGGCTAATGACAAAATATGATGGTTTGGATACTATGATATCCACCGAAATGAACACAAAACCTAAGTGAATCCTCTGAAGAATATTAACGGTGACTGACTAGGACTGCTGCCATGTGACTCTAGCAATCCAACAAAAATTTCTGCCGTATTTCTTCCCAGGTGCTGCACATGTGTCTCTCGCTTCTTATACCGGTTCTCAATGATCCTTCACCGTACAGATTCTCAGAAATTACACGCGTTCGTGTCATCTGATAATTTCACATGGTTTCGTCGCGTCATACGGTCTATCCTGCTGCCTATAACTTGGATGCATTCAATACAACCCTCTCTTGTCCGCGTGTAATGTTGCTCAGTCTTCTTCTCTTTTCTCTAGCTGCCTTGGTCCTTGGTGCCCCCACGTTGACGGACCTTTCGATTGGGGACATCATCAACAGCCTTGGGATTGGCCTAGTCGCCAACATTACCGTGACCATAACTGTATGCCCTTTCATTCTCGGGTCATCGGTGGCTGATGTTCAACCCTGTAGCTGGAATCCCTCGAAACCAACCTCGTCGAGTACTCCCTTCATACTGTCTTTCCATACCCAACTCACATCCATACAACGTAGTGTCGCATTCACCGGTAAGCTACAGTCTCTCCTCTTCCTTCTCATCTAACACCCAACAGTGAAGAATCCCCTCCCCATTGAGCTCACCCTCGAGCGCGTTGCAAGTTCCGCTGGAATTAACTCTACCGAATACGCCTCCTTTGACCACACCTTCTCCGACCCCCTCGTCGTACCCATCTTTGGTACGGCAGATTCCGGCGTGATCGAGAACGTATTGCTCACCCAAGGCGCGTTGGCCTCGCTGTCTATCATTCCTCTGGGGTATCTGGATCTTCTTAATACCGATGTCAACCTGCAGTGAGTCTGTTGGCTTGGTACTGATGATCAAAGTACTGACAATGCAGGGCCGGCACGATTTTTGGGCAATTGGGAATCCCGCTGAACATTACGGGGCTCAAGCAAGAGAAGGTCCCAACGACGTATGTGTATCAATGCTCTTCTGTGTTTGCGACGCCTGATATTTTTAACAGTTACGAGCTTTCTTCATAATGTCGTTACAACAATACCCAGAAATCGTGTTTCCGTGTATCCTTGTATCCAAATTAGCCATCACTTGACGCCAGTCTTGCACATGCTAGAATGTCATTTTAGTGTGGCATTTCTCAACTTCTATTGCTTTTGGCTACTTGACTCGCTTAGGTCAAGTGTCATGTTACATAATAGCGTATAAGTACGCTGCACCGAACCATACATCAGACTCAGCCGCCGTACTACTTTTCAATATCATTTTCCTTCCCGTCTGGCTTAAATAAATAAATTTCTCCAAGTACTAAATATCCAGCAAAGGCGTGGTGTATTCAATGCTTCGTGGCAACTACGCGTGCAGCAGAAACCTTCCTACAGATAACTACTCCCAGTGACTCCTGGCATCGATCCGATCAGTTTACTTCAACACGCACGACTTCGTCATCTGGCCATTAATAACACGTCCCAGGGCATCTTACGGCCACAACGAGCAGACGATCGTAAGCTGGGAAGGCAAATGTCAGCACCTAGATGCGAGCCGTATATGGATTCGCAGTACATATTTTGGTTACCTCTTGACGGAGTACATGTATCTTTGTCGGTTCTTACTGGTAAGTACTTGAGCCTGGCAGGAAGCATCTAATATTACTATGTATACGCATAACAGGATATACCGCACGTCATTAGCTCAGTTACCTCAGAATCCCTATAGTCAGTACCATATCTAACGACAGTGTTCCCGACGAAATCGTTCTCCTCAGCTCATCTTCCCTCTGCATCATCAGCCCGCTCGAACGGTCCATCTCCAGCCTCATCCTTGATGGATGCTGATGCCACGTCCCCTTCGACTCATTCACTGACACCCGGAATCGGGCCATGATATCCAGCATCTTCCGAGTTGTCAACCCCGTCTGTTGACAAAGATGCTGCATGGCAGCATTGAGGTATCCTGTCGAGAATGGAATCAGCGACGAGAAAGTAACAGTAGATAGCCGACACTCACGACAATACTTCTCGTCATCCACAGGATATGCCTCTGCAGCCTACAGGTAGTACTCCCCCGCGAGCTGGTTGTTCTCCTCTACGGACAATCCGCGTTTAGCAAGATCAGAGTGGACGAAGGCTTTGCAACTAGAATATAGTTAGACATGACTCTTCAGTAATTTGGAAACGCGTACGCGTAGGCATTTCCGCGACAATAATCGTAAAACGACAACTTGAACCCCGGGTCTACATCATCCCGAGCGCCCGAGTCCGCCTCTAGGCTCCTCAGCAGAATATCTGCCTCTGCCGTCAGCTTCTCCACGAGCATCGTATCGCGTCGATCAAGACCGAAGGACTGAAAATATGAGTCTAGACAACCTCAGAGATAAAGTCGGGTTCACCACCAATATCGACTCCAGATACAAATTTCGTAATCCCCGAATGAACGTCTCTTCAGAAACCTCGCCGCGCACAGATGTCGGAACTTCTTTCCACAGATCCTGCCCCCACTCGAGGACCTCAAGACATCGACTGTAGTACTCGCATTCCGAAACGACACTGTTGTCAAGTCCTTCTAATTTACCCCGAAGAATCCAGAACTTTTGAGACGACAGTCGGACGAGGTTCGAAAACAAGGATGGAGACTGACCGGATAGTTAGGTCGACGTCTGGACGAACAACTTCCCATCCCTTTTCGGCCAGTCGGGAGGGGGCCTCGCGTTTCACATAATCAGGCCCGGCAGCGAGCCGTGGATTGTGTCTTTCGCGTTCAAGTGTGCCTAGGAGAGCCAGTCAGACAGTGGATTGAAGACCATAGAAATCTTACCGAGTCGGTTGTAAGCACTGATCCACAGCGACTCTTTTTCCAGATGGAAGATGCGATCTTCCCTGACGGGCCCGTTCGAGAGGTGCTGCAAGCCCTACAATTGTTGTGAATATCGGCGTGAATGCACGACGAGGAAAGAACCATGCATTTTCTTCTCCTCTGAGTACTCCTCCCTCATCAACCGTCACTCCTTTCATGATCCGCACGCCCTCTGCGAATTCCTTGAACCAGGGTGAGGGCGATCATCATAATACGACGAAAATCTCACTTCATACGCTTCATGCAGAATCCAAACCTAGGAGTCATCAGAACACATTAGTGAAGAAGAGAAAGGAGAGCTCACGCTGCTCCTAGTATTTCCGGACGCCTCTAAGGCCGGCATCATCTCTATTGCTACTTCCCATGGCTGCTTTCCTTCTCCGTCTCTATAATAACGTGAGTTGGCCGACCGATCGCCATTGCTGGCCTTTCGATGCAAGCGGTCAGTGGCTTCTTCGAGTCGCTCTGGTACTCTTGACGCTGCTGTCCTTGCATCGGTGTGAGATTCTCAGTTGGCAGAGTGTCCAGAGCGCGCTGCCACGCCAAGGCGCTGGGGAGGTACTCCTGCAAAGCCTGTGGAACTCGTGAGCAGGATCGAACTTGGAATCACCGACGACGCGAGAACGAGATTTTGAAATAAAATTTAAAGTGCGAGACAGTTTAAATCAAACGCGTCACTGTGGAGGCTTCATAGCAAAAACGAGACCTTGAAAGGCTTCAATTAAAGGTATCCTTTTGTTTTGATAGATTACTAGCAAGGACGAACGCATAGAACAATCCTGGACAAAAATGTTACTTACATTTTTCGCAATAGCAAGTCTGGCCCAAGCTTTGTAGTACGTCGGGTCGAGTTCTGTTGCCTACCGAAGAACATATCAGATAAGAAAAGCCGTATCTGCATGCAAAAACATGGGATTGAATGCCATATGTGGCACTATAACCACAGTGACTGTCTCCTAAATTATCACGCATCGGCTGTCAACATTTGGACTAGGCTCTCATAGAGGCTCCTTCCTTATGCTGAGGTCGGAGTCTGGTCAGGGTATCCTTGCGAAGCTTGAGCATAGCAACGGCGTGTCAAGTGGCCATAGCTCTCCAGACAGTCCGATATATTGAGGGGGGCACTACAATGCGACTGCACCACACAAGCTCCCGCCTCCCAACTGTTTTAGGATATACTCAGCGAAAACGTTGAACTCATTTTACGGCTGTCTCCAACTGAGCCCAGGCTAATAGTGATATCGTTAAGACACGAAGCTTGAATCTGAGGAAAAACTGCTCACTATCATTTCATCGACAGATGACAAGCGCTTCTGTTCGCCCACAAGATGGCATTGGATCCGTCAATTTCGATTGCCTCTGTGTACTTGACCAGAGCCTGATCGAATTTAGCGCATCACCCTCTTCCTTGAGACGGTTCGCAATATCCTCTGGCATGACGGTGAGTAAAGAACAAAGAAAAGTTAGAGGAGTAGGATCAGCGTACCCAGGCTTATTGTCAGGTGAACAATAGAACGCACCGGGAATCGGCGCTTGCTTGGGTGCCTTGATGTCATCTCCGGCACGACTATTCCTGGAACCACGACGACGCGACGACGATAACGAGGACAGTCGGCCATAATGTCAGTAGCAACAGCGACGGTGCTGCCGCGAGAGCCCCGGTTCCCCCACCTGCTTCCCCCAATGCCTCCTACTCGTCCTATGCCATTGCGAAACGCCGGCTACGAGCCCATGTACGGCCGAATGAAGGAATACCGCGACCTGCAACGCGAGCTGGATGAGCTGAGTGAAGAAGAAAACGAGCTGGAGGAAATGGTCCGTACGCTTTGCCCCGCCACGCGTCTCTATCACCTCACTTTATCCAGGATAATAACATCCGTACCCGTGGTTTCAAGACCGTCGTACCCATCGGACGCGTCAAGACGCAGCAAGAAGAGAAGCAAGAGGTAAGAGTAGTGCTGCTCCCTTGTTGGTCGCCGTAGTGAAAAAATGTAAAGGCAGATGAAGCTACTCCGGAAGACGACGAGGGGGATTCTGCTATCTCTGGTGGCCCTCCCTCTGTAATGGAAGGCGAAGAGGAGGAAGAGGAAGAAGAGGAAGAGGAAGAAGTAGATTTGGATGCCAGTATGGAGGATCTGGATGAAGAGTCGAGCGACGAGGAAGAGGAAGAGGAACAAGACTTGGACATGGATATCCCCGAGGATATCGATGCCTCACACTCATTTTAGTGGGCATCGCGATACTTGGCAGCAGCGGGTTTCACTTCAAGCGCATTGGAAAGGCGTTGAAGAATCTTCTGACAGTGATTGAGAGATACTCGACTTCACGACATCCCAGCAGCCTCTATCGCTCTTCTGGAGCCCGCAAGTTCCTACTCTTCAACGTCGTACACGTTTGTTCCTTGAAAAAACTCCTTATTTAATCCCTCGGTCCCTTTGGCACGCCTTGAAATATTGGGATACGGATGGACGACGGATCTATAGTATATCAATCTATTGTACAAAATCTTATCACTACATGGATGCCTTAGACACGAAAAGACGACAAGGTAGAATCAGCTATTGCCGAAAACATTTTAACAATGGCTGGATAACTCCAGTTCAAAATGCAGCGTTATCTTTCTTCTCATGGAAGAAACTTCACAAGAGTCCAAGTTGTGTATAGCACGCCGTTCGATAGCATTGTCCATCAGTGACCATTCAACGTTCAACCGTCGACTGCCTATGCAAGCGAACATCGGTCAATGCAAGCTTCGGAGAAGAAAAGTACCATCACCGAACAACTTTTGCACAAACTGCTGTGAAATAGGGTAGTAAGCCCTCAAACAACGGTACCGTAGGTTCACAGATGGTCAAATGCCGGAGCTCTTGTAACGGATTGAGGATTTCTATCAAGCCCTGCGAGCTAAGGGAGATCTTGTGGATGATGACTGAGCACACCAAATCGCTATGCTGAAGAGTAGTACTTTTTGAAGGAGCAAAGAATTCTATAGAAAATTGGACAAGAGGTATATAGAGCAACACTTTGGGATAACACCCGTCCAAGAAATCCAGCCTAAAATATAAATGTACACAAGACGGAATCACGACTTCACGTTTTTGGTGTACCGCCGCCGGTGGCCGCTGGAACTCGCAGAATCGGATCTTCCCTGACTCCCTCGGCTCTCATTTGTCCGTCCTCCATTGCTGCGAGGCAAGGAATCGCGGTGAAGCCCTGGCATCCGAATGGCAGGCGGTCGAGCATCGACCAAGGCCTTGATAGCCGCACGATGATCAAGCACCTATTGCCAGAACGTGAGAACAAGAGAAATTTCGAAAAGACGACGTACTCACTCTCTGCGGATAACCTACAATCGTACCGAGCACCAACGGATCATCGATCGTGACTTCCGAAAGCTTCACATACGCCTCTTTGAAGATTTTACGGAGCTTTGCAGTGCCATCTACTGACGAGGCTATATTACTTTCTAGCGGGCACTGTCAGTTTTTTACTTGATGCTAAAGAGATGTCGTCTTACTGGGATTTGTCAAACATTGTACGACGAGTTTATCCTCAGTTTCGCACCACGTCGCAGTCGACTTTAGCAACACCTGGCCTTCTCTCACAGATATATAAGACGTCTCATACGGAAACGAAACGCCGTAGTAATAAAGCATTCCAGTAAGGAGTTTCCCCAGTGACTCTAACGGCGGGTTAACCTATCTTCATCAGGACACTGTGCAGGCTCTACCAAATGGCTCTCACCTGCAAGAAGCTGATGCACATACAAACCAACGGATAGCTCCCCAAACCGCCACGGGCTGGATCGTTGAACCCAGATCGCGCAAGTAGGCCCTTCATGACAAGCACCAAGGGCCTCAATTCAGGCATCTTCTCCCGATAGTCCTTGATCATCTCCGCGACGTGCATGCCATCAGTGTTGTTCACACCAATGTCCACACTCATCGAGCCTGTCAGCTTCTGAGAGGAACGTACATGCGAGAGATGAAGAGACACACACCATACTCCGGACGCGTAGTGAACCTCACAATCGGTACCTTGGCGTGAAACCGCACCTCCGCACCGTCAATGAGCCGCCCGCGTCGGAATCGGTCTCGAAGCCTGAAGAGCTGTCTTTTGACATCGGTTTTCGTCATGTCTTCCGTGATGATGGCCAAGTCCAAGTCCCTAGTATGATGTCAATGGAATCGAGAGAAGAAACGAAGAGGTTTGGGGACATACGGAACAGGAATAGTCAACCCAGTCACGACGCTCCCAAATATCCCGACGCGACTCCCAGGAATAGAGCTCTTAACACCATTATCAATGAAGCGAAAGACTTTTTTGCGTATATGGACTTCTGCAAAGGTTGGTTCGGCATAGGCGGAGTACGCAAGGATTTCCTGGTGGAGCCTGTTGGATGTTAGTGTCAAGGAGAACGGAAAAAGATAGTCACACCTGTGATCTAAATCACGAAAGGCAGTGGGTTGAAGGAGAGTCATCCATGGTGTGCAGAGAGGTTCTGGCATATTTGAGGCTGAAGAGGACATCGTACGAACCTGCGCGGTTACATGGGACGTTGCACTGAAATAACTTTCTTACTTCAGATTTTTCTTAGCCGAGTTCTACTAGGATGACTCACTTGTACAATACTCGTCCGATGGCATATGGGATTTGGAGCTCCAGTCTTTAGCGGAGATTAGATCAGTACGAAAGAGCAGTGGATATGCAATGGAGATGGTGGTGGTTCGTGATCAAGCCTTGATGGCCCCGGAAATTCGATCGTCGTGAGAATTTGTACAAGTTTGACGAGGGGAAAGATATTGCCTCAAGCTACTTCGAATAACGTAGTATACTTCTGGCCAGCATTGCCTTCATTGTAGTCAACAAGATCTGCTTTGTGTTTATTTTCCTTCTTCAGGCCGCAGCCAATCATCATGATCCCCAGTAATTGTGAGTTCCCTACCCGAGGGCACATGGAATTCTTCTAACATTCATAACTATCGTACCACTGTCCTACGCTGATGGCCTGGAACCGACAATGACGATGACCGGTGGCTTGCGATTTCCATCATTGCAACCCATGATCCATTCAGTTCCAGGCGTGAACTCGACACGTGGACCGTTGGCTATATAACAGTCGCCTTTTTCCCCCCATCTCCAGCCACTTCAACAATCATGCCAGAGGTCCCGATACCGCACCCGCCCGCAGGCAAGCCTGTTGTTCATTAATTTGTGGGTCCCAGTGTACGATGATGATATCATACCTTCTCCGGCTGTGCAGTGAAAGTCGGAGGCCGTCGTCTCTCGCTCTCCGCAAGGCATAAACCGCACGTCGATACATCGTCAGTACCTCCAATCCCCTCCTTGTTGTCGACTAACTCTTTCTACTTGAAGTACTACTGAGCCGGCACCAATCAGAGCTGTCGACGACACCGTCTTGGACTATCCGAGGCCCACAGGGCCTCCCACTGCAGGGGAGGAAAGACATGATCCGCACAATCAAGAGGAGTTGCCGCCAAAGAAGGACAAGAAGCAGCATGGTTATCTCGAGAACGAGAAGAAGATGAGGGAGTTTGCGCACTACAAGGCTGAAGCTAATCGGCCCACGAGGGATGTGCAGCCTGAGCACAAGGTCTTTGGCGCCGGCGGGAGGATCGCTCAGCCTGCAGGTAAAGGCATTGATATGTGAGTGGGGCCGGGTTCGAAGCTAAACAAGAAGTGTACGATTATTGTCTGGACGCAATCGCTGTCGTAATAATTATAGTTTGATAATAAGTAACATTTTACCCCGCAGTGCTTTAAGGCACCTGCGTATGCATGTCCACATGCTTTCACATGCTGCAAGCACTTTAGATCGCCTATGGAAACGATACCGATACAGCGGGTCATTGGGTCAGTAGACGTATGACATTCCTGTTCAATCCAACATTTCTCGTCTTGATCAAGAAAATGTGGTACGTTGATCATTTGAATAGGACCGAGCCGTTACCCTTAAAGAGACAGCGACGGTGAGCGATTCGTACGATGATGGTATGGAACATACCAGAACGGGACCCTATGGCAAGTCTGATACATACCAGCCATGATTATGTTCTTAAGCATAGGCAATAAACGGTAATAAAAACGACTCTCATTCGCCGACCCGCCATGCGTGTAAAGAAAGTATTTTCAAAGTAAAGCTATCCATATCAATTACTTTGTCTGTAAGCTAGAAAGTTCATGAGCACGTCCCCAAAGAAGCAGTGATTAACCACAACCTCACCGATTAGCAGTAAGGCCGCTGTTGTTTATGATGATTTCGGGTACAGCTCATCCTTGGTCATGATACCTTCCAGGCCGGTGATGAGTCGCGCTGCAGAAGTGAAAAAAAGGCTCCAACGTACCAAGTTCCTCCCTAAGCGGCTTGAGTTCATCCAAATACGCCTGATATTGCGCCTTGTTCTCAACCTTCTCACTGATACCCTCAAAGATCCTCACAGCAGTCGAGTAGTCGTTCACCCTCCTTGCAGCCCTGACAGCAGCCTCGATGACAGCAGGGCTGGGGACGAGATCGTGGGCGAAACAGTTGTTAAGACCGCGTTGGAGCTCGAAGAGGTCCTCAGCGTTCTGGAAGAAGGTCACGTAGCGTTCCGAGAATGCCTCGAAGGATTCCTGGTGGGCATGGGCATAACGGACGGGAGTGGTGCGAGGGATGGCGGCGACCTTGAGGGCCGGACGGGACGCAAGGCGAAGGACAGGAAGGATTTGAGAGCGCATTTTACGGCACTGCAGTCGACTACAGAGTGAGGTGATAAGAGAAGGTAGGTGGGCGCTGTGTTGATCATTGTTTGTCGCAGGCTAAGATCGGGAAAAACCGGCCGGTCTGGGTCCATTCTCGACCGCCATCATCCTCCGATTCCGTATCCGCTCAATTTATCTCTTTATTATCACCTTGACATGAATTCATAGGCTGATATTCGAAGAGACTATTTTTTTTCCGTCAATCCTGAAGCCACTTTGCCTCCTTTATGTTTGTTTAACGGTAAGCTCTGTACAACCATAATATCCGATGTCTGACTTGCGATTACTAGGAATCTTACCCTGGACTTGAAGCTCCATAAGACAGTCGGCCCATGGTGGAAAGACGGCCTGGAACTTGGCTTACTGATGCATGATTCACCATGCTCTACGAAAAAGCTGTAACCTCCTCTCATCCTATATGATGCAATTCCACGCTTTCCGGTTTTCAGCCCGATTGAATATTGCGCAGTCTGGTATGTGTATGTGATGCAGTTCTTTGTTGATTGCATAGCTTTTAACATTATCATTGGTGATCTGCAGCAACGAGCCAGTTTTGCAGTGCATCATCTCCAAGAGCATCGCCTTTGACGTCATCCGGCGTTCATATTCCCGGCGATAATTAGTAATAATGCACATGGCTATTTCTAGACCTCGGAGCACAGGAGGACCCGCGTCCGTTCCGTTCTATGACATCACTTCTCTCCTCCGAGCCTCACTGCTTCCTCAATGCGATGCAGGCCAAACACACGCCTGCAAGTGTCTGCACACGCAAATCTTTATGCGGATGGAGGACGATCCGTTAGAGTTTTGACCCGAGTTTTCGTCAGGGGCCATGGGTTCGAAGGAACCAACTCGCATCCGCCGTATACTGGATCCTGGCAACTCACCTTTCACTGGACAGAGGCGGTCTGACTCTACCAATTGTATGCTTATACCTTATCGTTGCAAAAACACGGAAATGTCTCGGCTACGAGTCACCTACATTGAGCTAAATCCACACACTACGCCCCGCCTTTTGGTCTTCACCGAGCCGAGTCGGGCACATGACAAGCTCACTCAAGGGGGAAGTCAATTTGCACCCCGACAGTCTACGCTCCCTTTCGACAGGTGCCTCTAGTCATCTGCGTTCTGCCATCGTCCACGGCGGCCAACGAAGGTGCTTACTTGTGATTGGCGATGCTGTGCACATCCGCTGTCGACAGATAATGTCAAGGGGTAAATCACTCAATGTGTTTCGGTATGTATTTTTGCCAAAAATACTTGTCCTAATCTTAGAGACTGTCAGGATTCTCTGGGGTGTCTGACGGAACGCACTTTCGGTCCCTCTTTATGTTTGCATCACAACTCTATGTAACTCAACAAACCGATGGAAATGCCTAGTCCTGCCGGGGAATAATGACGCGGTATTTTCAATGGTATTTACAGTGCAAGAGATAGTCAACCTATGATGGCATTGTCCACCGTTCAGACTCGACAACAAACGCCCTGTCGAATGCGCAATGCTATCATGCTGATCGGTACGTATAGACAGCGCTCCTTGGACGTCCATCACTGCCTGCATAATTGCGGGTCAGCGGTCGGCGCAGTCTACAATTAGATTCTGTATGTGTTTGACCCTGGTGGCAATCACCTTCTTTGTTCCTTTTTCGCGGTATCAGCTTCTCACCGTTGCTTGCTACGCATTTACTCCGCCCCATCGCCTTTTGGCTCACGCCGACTGTTCGGCCCTTGGATCGGCACTGCGAATCAATGACGTCAGGCGTGGCAGTACCAATCACCGCTTTCGAGAGGCGTGGCTGTGCGTCGGCGTCGGTATTCACTGCAAATGCTCATCGTATTTAAGCAATGTGACTCAGAGTCGAATCATCCATCCAGTTTCCCTCGATCAAGCCGATCAATCACATGTCTTCTTTCGGAAACAGCTCCTCTGACTACATGAACAACTCCGTATACTCTTACGATATACCAGCCGCGACTTATCCTGTTGAATACCAGCATGTTCAGCAGATGAACAACACCAACTCTGCTTCTACTATGCCGGCCAATTCTTCATCCTCCTACCCTCCTTCCCCTCCATCGTCCATGGATGGCGCGTACGGCACTATTCCGAGGAAGCGTCGCTCTCCTATTGCTTCGAGCACCCTCGGACTTGACGCGCCTACTCAACCCCGTCGCTACGTCACCCCTTCCGTCACCTCCAGGAAAGAGATCCCTGCCTTCTTCATGAGGAGGAGGCCCCAGTCGATCCCATCCGATGAGGAGGATGAATTGACAGAGGAGCCGCCTGCAGCTGGTGCCACGGACCAGGAAAAAGTCGAGTACAAGAGGCGACAGAACACCCTTGCGGCTAGGAGGAGCCGCAAGCGCAAGATGGTCTACCAGCATGAGCTGGAGGAGACGGTTAGAAGGCTGACGACCGAGAAGGAAATCTGGAAAACCCGCGCCTTGACGTTAAGGCAGCTCTTGCAGAGTCACGGAGTTCGCTGCCCCGATTTTGAGGATGCATAAATGAAATTCGAATCCGTCCTTTCGTTTGGCTAGATACCCTCCGTATCTGCAGAACCACTTCGCTCAACTGCGCAACATTAGGTGAGGTTCATTCTTTTGGTGTTTATTCTGGGTTTCTGACGTTACTTCTTTCTTTGCAGATGGCATACTGTTTTTTCGCGATCATTCGAACGCACCCATGACAGTCCGTATACCTGTGAATAATACTTCGCCACATCGAGCACGCCGCATCCACACATATGGACGCTCCAGCCCCCAACGATGAACTCGTCCCCCTGCAACCGCTCCATTCACATATGAAGTACACATGCCTCTGGACATTGCACGTCCGCGGATTTGTTAAATTAACATCATGGACTTTTGATTACTTTTCTTTTTCTTTGGACTTGGGGAACATTGGGATGCACATAACATATTTTGTAATGATTAATTGTTGAATCAGATAGAGGGATTCTTTCGAGTTCGAATGAGACTTGTACAGGCTGAAATAGACTTTTAAAACGGATTCTTCTTTTCTTTGGACTTGGGAACACAATACTGTGCATCGTCACATTGATTCTTACATCGTATGGATTCAACCCCTTCTCGATTTCCGAACCGGAATCCGAAAAGGCAACTTTTGATATGTACTTCAAGCGCGTGATCGTTGACTGAATTCCGGCACCCTCTCTTCCGGGATGCTCTTTCCCAGAACTCTCATATCTCGCACACGACTATCACACAACGCAGGATCCTTACACATTCTAAAGGCAATGTCGACAGCTCGAATCATTCCTCACGATCCCAAGGCGACGTCGGAGCTTTGGGCCAGTGCCCCTACAGGGGAGAAACCAGCAAAAGTCGGCACGACCAGGGTATTCTACAATACCCCACCTCAGCAGTTGACTGCTCTGTCGTCGCTGGGAGATGGCTTTGAGAAGAAGACGGGTAGCGCGAAGCGGGAGGTGGTGAGGAAGGCAGTAGGGAGTGCCGTCAAAGCGGTCAAGGCCATCGACGGCGTCAAAGACGTGAAGATCGATGCTTCTCTAGATCCACATGCAGCTGGTGCGCATCTCTTTTCGTTTACTTGTATATTATTAATAGGGATTCATCATCGATGTAGCTGTCGCGGCCCATTTGGCACAGTACTCGTTCACGTTGAAGACTTCTCCGACTCCTTCGAGATTCGACCCGAATTTGAAGGAGCCTATCCCTGAAAAACTTAACCTTTCTCCTGAGCAGAGCTCGGAAGAGTGGAACCGTGGAGTGGTATATGCAGAGTCGCAGAATTTTGCTAGGACCGTAAGTGGTTCCCTCAGGCCTCAAATCTGGACCGTGAAAGCTGAACGTATCTATAGCTTATGGAATTGCCAGCAAATATTGTGACTCCAACAGTGAGTCCATCTCGTCATTCCGCCGCTGGTGCTGTTCCTTTTTCCGGGGTGAAAACTGGCGTAGTACTGTGTCATGACATTCTGCTGCCCTTTGGCGCATGCTGATCAGGCATCAGATAACAAGAATAGTCGTCTTCCCTGCCCTTCTTCCATCCGTCAAGCTGCATGTGTCAAATTCCACGCTCATTGTGTCCCTAGGCCTTTACGGAACGCGTCAAATCGGCGTTTGCTGGCATCGACAATATCGAAATCTTCGTTCGAGATGAAGGTCTGAGGGTATCTCAGAATCACTGATTATCATGCTGAATACGTCATACAGCTTGGGCCGAGGAGAAAGGAATGCGAACATTCCTTTCCGTCACCCATGGCACGGCAGAGCCCGCCAAGTTGCTCGAAATGTTGGTCTTATTCTAAATATCTTTTAGCGGCTCTGCTCATGGTGTTCAGTCACTACAAGGGCGCACCTTCAAAGGATGACAAACCAGTCGCTTTCGTTGGCAAGGGTATCACTTTCGATTCTGGAGGAATCAGCTTGAAGCCATCAGCGGTCAGTGATACCGTGACGAGCTACGGGTTTAACGAGGCGTTGATCAAGTTCTAACAGGCTATGAAATTGATGCGTGGCGATATGGGTGAGCATCTCGGATTTTTGATGACAAGAAGACATCTAATGCAATGTCCGGTGCAGGTGGTGCCGCCTCTGTTGTCGCCGCTACGCTAGCCATCGCTAAACTTAAGCTTCCGGTTAACCTGGTCACTATCACTCCACTGACGGAGAACCTTCCTGGAGTAGGTATTCTTCATTAATGCAGTAACTGGTATCTTAATGACACGATATCAGCCGAGTGCGACCAAGCCTGGTGACATGTGAGTTCTTTGCTTCTCCATCATGCGACTCCTTCGGGAACTAACGGTAATAGAATCTATGCCATGAACGGCAAAACGGTGGAAGTAGATAACACGGATGCTGAAGGTCGATTGGTTCTTGCTGGTGCGTCTCTGAGGCTTGTGCTGTATTTTTTTTTCCCTTCATCTGTTAGTCAGATGCTATCTATTATGCGTCTTCCGAGTACAAGCCTCACACGCTTATAGACGTGGCTACCCTGACTGGGTACGTACCGAATTTGAGCTCGCTTTTTTCTCTTTTCGGGCTGATCACCTGCTTAGTGCCATAGACATTGCGCTGGGAGATCTATACTCTGGTGTATTCACCACGTCGGATAAGCTTTGGGATGAACTCCGCATCGCAGGAGAGACTGAATTTGATCGATTCTGGCGTATGCCATTGGACGAAGATTATGGTCCCCAGATCTATTCGTCTAATGCTGACCTGTGTAACGTGAGTGGAAGTGGTCATGCTTGCAATCTTCATGCTTTGCTGAAACGATGCGTTTAGACCGGTGGCAGACCCGCTGGAAGTTGTACGGCAGCGCTGTTCCTGAAGGCATTTGTTGAAGGTATTGATGGTGATGAGCCTTCCCTGAAATGGGCCCATATCGATATTGCCGGTACTATGGAGGTGAGCGCACTGACGAGGATACTTGCGAGAAATGTCAACTGACATGCGTATCATAGGTAACCCGGCCCACGCCTTACCTTGAAAAGGGCATGACAGGTCGATCTGTGCGGTACGTGTGCCGAATTGTCGAAGAGATTATTTTATTCATTCACAGGTTTAGGGGTCTGATTGAGTATGTACGAAACTTGCAGTAAGTTGTCGCGGCGTCATAATAGAGAAAATAAGGAAAACAATTGGTTCGCATATGCATCTGCGTGAAGCCTTCTCAGTCAACCCAAGTCGGCTCCACGGTCCAGTCAGCCTTGGGTACATATTTGCCTCCTGCAACATCCTCAGACTCTATCCTCAATTTCACTGTGCGATGGACCTTGATGCCTTGCATCTTCTGTCGTGGAATATGCCTTGGGCGACCTCCGTTCAGACTGCGGTGGGGGAGGGTCAGAGCTATCCTTTTTCATCGAGAGGTACGGGGGACGCACGTGAGGGTCTTGGCCCAGGTGTCATCTTTCTTCTGGTATCTCACCTTGGCTGGCAATAACTCCAGGATCCACCAGGCGGGGACAAGCGAGAGCTGATCATACAAGGGGCAGAGCGCATCGCGGAGATCCTCCGTTTCTTCACAGACGACATCACCATTCGACTCGGATGCGGGCGGAAGGCTCGTAATCGGTGGAGGGCGAGGCTTCACCTCCGGGTATAACGTCGAAGGCTCTATTCCAAAGTTCTTGAGCAGCTCACGGTGGAACATGATACCCGTTTTGAGAAGGAAACATTGCCTGATCATCCAGCGGAACGGAATACGCGCTAGGCTGTTAGGAACCTCGTTGGCCACGGACCCTCCGCCGATATCTGAGAAAGGGTCAGCGCCCGTGCCTGTGGGGATGAAATAAGGTACCGACCGCAGTGACACCCCGCGAACCAAACTTCTTCCACATCCGTTGGCGTATCGGTCTGGTGGCAAACCGTGGCTGCTTCATACTCTTGTTCGTGCTCGTCGAGGGTCTTCTCGCTGTGAGGCTTGCGGCGACGCTGGGGTTTGGGCATTTCGCCGGGTTGGACACCGAGCTGGGCCGTGCTGGGGTGAATACGGTGCCACAAGGCGGGTATGAAGCGAACGCGGCGCTCGTCCAGGGACAATGCATGGCGGAAGTGGCGCACGTGCGTATTCGAAGCCGTGAAGGGGAGCCGGCGGGGAATGATCCCTACCGAATCTACGGTGTCCCTGTCCGGGTGGTTAATTGATTAAATTGTGAATTCTCAGGGAAGGGAGGGAGGAGGTCTTACCATACGCCTAAGAAGTGAATGTCGACGTCGATGGAAAAGGCCTTTTTGAAGGCCGCGCTTTGTGCCCAGCCCAGTTCATCTTCGCGCGAGTACATGCGGTAGGCGAATGGGACTTGTTGGTGGTTGCATCGAGGGAGAAGTCCGATCTGGTGTCAATATTGGTACAGTGATGAATTTCTGGATCCACAGCATGACCGTCGTACCTTATGTATCCTATATGGATATCGAATTAGAAAATGGATCTCAGAGGTGTGTAAAGATCGACTTACATCCCCGCAAGTGCTCGGGCCGTCTAGACATATATAATCAGAAACGGCGGAGATGTGTATCATGACTCAGGTACTGACGTAGGCGCCACGGGAGAACCTAAGGTCATGTTGGTACTCATGTGTGACGGCGGGTTTGAATGAGATAGAGAAACGTACCCAAAAATACAAATCTTATCTTCAGCTTCGTCTGCGCGGGCGTTTATGCGATCAGAGGGGTTAAACGGAAATGGAGAAAACGATGCATACAATTCTGCATAAGGAATTCGTATCCCCCTGATAGGACGCTGCGTTAACAAATGCGGTTCGTTGGAACAAGGTACTCAAAACGTACCCATAACATGTGCGTCAAGATGAATACCGATCATGCTGTCGACCATTCTGCTGAGCTTTGCTGTTATGGGCGAGGCTATCTCAGGAATGCTATATGTCCCGATACCGGCCTCCAAGGACCTGTCAGGCGATAGACGGTGGTAGAAGATCACCACAAAATTACCTGATAATACACCAGCTGTGTGCTGGGATCATCCTTCTTGAGCAGCGAGAAAAAGTTGACAACGTTCGAGTTCTATCTCGATGTGTGAGTTCCTGAGCTGCGCAAAGGGTTGGATGGACATACATCACTGTCGAATTGATCCCCTAACATTAACAATCATGCAAAAGTCAGTTACGGTTATTGGTATGTAGCTCCGACAGGACTTGCCGGTTCCGTCAAAACACAAAACAAGCGTTCTGTTCGAATGGCGCGGGGGGATCGTTTCCTCGAGAGTATATCCTTGGAATGAATACCTGTCTGCACTGGGAGAAGCAACCTTTCGGAATTCAGGATATACGTCGACGGCGGCAGTATTAGGCGGCGTCTGTTCGGAGGTCGATTGGGGGGATGGCGCAGACATTATGAGGAGAGATCAGTGATAGTCCGACGTGGGACAAGATCAACCTGCCTTTTATACCTTGGAAAAAGCACGAATACTCAGTTGACACACGCCGGGGGTCCACAGCAGCCTGAGCCTTCTTTCAATTTAGTACGTCACCATTCCGAGTGTCCAACAGGTGACAGGGGAAATATCCAGAGGCTACGCATTGATTATAGATATATCGGATGTGAAGGTGTCATTGTTGCTCTATCATGAGACGTCCTCAAAGGAGAAGCCTTAGGTTCTAGGGACAGTTCGAACCCCATCATTTGTCGCTATTGTGTTTCTTCAGTGTCCACTAGAAGCTCGCTGAGAAGAACGTGGATAGCCAAGATGATGGAGGGCCTCAACGCTCGCGTAACTTTCCTCGAGTTCCTTATAGTTCGCAATTCAATGAGGTCGGCGAAAGAATTCTACGAGCGTAACTGTCATAAGCAGTGAGCGACAAGTTCGGAAATTCAAGATCGAGATTCAGGATGGATGTAGTGCATTGCTTGGCAAATTCTTCTGCTTGTTTATCATTGTTGTCCTGCAGCCAGCTGTACAGTTGCTCTCAGCCACCGATCAGTTGCCTTTTTCGAAAACATCTTCATCGTCGCCCAGCCATACCTTCAAAATGTCTTCAGACCTTCAGTGGCTCCTCGTCCGCGTTCGTAGGCTGCTTTCAGCATAATAATGGCGCACGAATACTTATTTTCTGTCAAATTTTAACAGAACTACAACTCCTTCATTGTGAAGCGAGTCCCCGAAGGACCGATATTCTCCAAGGAGCCTGTACGTCCGCATTGATTATTTTTCCAAGTCTATGCATGTTGAAATCACGTTTAGGGTAACCTCCGGAACATTCACTCACACAAGTTCTCTGGGTTGGCTAACGCCAAGGTGTGTCGCGTATTTCGTGGTGTGCCGGAAATATATTGAAATTATCTCGTATTTTAGACCGTCGATGTCGCTGACTCGCCATCTGGTATCAAGATAACCACTCGCAAGCCCAAGGCTTCTCCCAATGCTGTTGTGCCTGCCAAAGCAACCTCTTACATCCGCCCAAGATCGGGAGCACGCCGTGCTCTCGGTATTGCTTCCCTGCCTGCAAAGAGGGGATACAGGCCTGACCTCCGTTCTGTGAGATACTTTTTCTGTTTCAACTGTTTCCATCCTTTTCCCTCTTTCTCTCTTCTGGATGCACTCTCGTTAGAACCCACTGGACGTCACTGAAAAGTGCATGAAAGCTGGGCGTGGACACGTTTGCAATATCAATTGGTCTTTCAGAGCCGATCAAACTCTGTGAGATACCTCGCCATGTCGCTATCGGTGGCCCGCTCGTTTTACTCTACGCGACTTCGCCGACTCTTTGGCGATAACATTTCTTCTTTCTTTTCTTTCCCCCCTCCCTTCTTTTCACGTTTTTTGGTAGACGACGCTAACATGTGCTACTTCGTCTAGGCCGCCCTCGCCCGTGTTTCCGCTCTCATTGCTGCCCGAAAGGAGCCCAAGCCCTCACCACCGAAGAAGCTGCGAGGGAAGAAGGCCAGGGCTGGTTTGGAGTAGGCCGATGATTTGCGCTTTCCTTAATGTCCCTGTTTTCGAGTATACAAAAATGCACTCCCTGTTTCAAGTTGCAGATCTGAGGTTGGATGTCGGATGAAGTCAGAGCAGCCGGCCATCATAACGCCGGTCGGAAGTCCAGCACTGGTTTTGACCGGCGGGAAAACACATGCTATTCTGCTGATGGTCCTGATCTCCACGGTGGAAGGTAATAGCCGCTGTCGCTCTCGCAATAGACATTTGGAGAATGGTAACATCATGAAGACCGAGAGACGATATGATCTTGTTCACAGCGAAGCTAGATTTAGATTTTTCTCCCAACGGGTATTGATTGACATATTACAGTAGTTATATATACAAATCGATATTTAAATTGCTTGCTCTTCTCTGCCGACAAAAGATCATATTATGTGTTCAATCCCCTTAAATTCATCCTTCCGCCACCAAAATCTACGTTGTGCCCAACCCACTTGCATATGCGCTCGAAATATGTTCGTGACATATTTACTGGTGCTTCCAAGTCCGTCGTTATGTCCAGCGTCACTGAACGTGCATCCTCATCCTCCTTCTCCTCTTCACTAGTAGACGCCATATTCGCAGGTCCATCGTGTGCTTTCGTTGGTATACGCGATACGAAATCCAGGTCTCCCTCCTCCCCATTCACAGCTGCCGCCTTTGGTATACGCGGTATAAAATCCCGCTCTTGGCCTGTCTGCTTGCACAGCTGCTCAAAGTACGTCTTCGATAGACATGCTGTAGGCGTCGATACATGTGCGCACGTTCCGTTTGCAGATGTCTTATTCGATCCTAGAAAGCACGGCGCCAGTGAGTCAAGACAAGGAATTCATCTCGGTATGTACGCACCTTGACTCCGAGTCGCAGGTCCCGCCACGCTGAAAAGCGACTTTGTGTTCCTATCGCGCGACCGAGAGGCTTTCGGATAGTTGTCCTGTTCATCATCGGTCGATATCTCGATGATTTCCGTGATAGCTAGTTGACAAGCAACTATGAGCGATGTTCCTCACGTAGCAACAACAGTACGCACTAATCTTTCGACGCTTCTTGAGCGACTTTGAAGATTTCGTTGTCCTGAGGGTTGGCGTGAGTGAGCTCGACGCTTTGCGTTTCCCTGGTTTGACTTTAGTCTTGCCGCTGCCGTCGCCGCTCTTTCCTAGAGGACGCATTCATTAGTAGAGTGAATGCAATGGGAAGTATGAAAAGAGCTCACGTCCTATGAGCACACTCCAATGCGGCAGCTCGTCGTCAGAATCCATCGTGACGCTCAAGACATCACGAAGAAATGAGACAATAAGAGTCAGCGAAGGTCGGAGTTAAGACGTACCACTAACCTTCTTCTGGCACTTTCCAGTTCTCAGAATGGGAATGGTCTAAAGGGACGGGGTAATAAGGGTCTTGGTGTTGTTGCCGCGGCACAGATTATTTGGCCTCAGTGACGAAGCCCTGTCCACGCTGTCTTCTCGCAATGCAGCTCCGCAAAAGATTTTTTTTTAAATTTTAGGTTAGAATGGATTAAGAGTCTTAAGATAGAATAGAATAGACAGCAGCCAAATATTTTCTGCGGCCCTCCCTTCCTTTACATATCCGTTCAGCTGACATAAGCAGTGCCGCGGCAACACTCGATACCGGGTCGTACGCTTTGAACTCGATACTGACAGGGGTCTACTACACAACTTCAGACTTCAGCTCCATCTTCATTATCCATATATCAGGATACTATGTTCTGTCGCTGTGTGAATGCCAATATGTCCCATATAGACAAGAAATTGAATGAAAGATGTGGGAATACAAGGGATTCTACATAAAAGAAGAAAGGATAACGAGTCATACTAGCTTGTAACATCACTCCAGAGTCTACCCGTTAAATAACAGCATTAGAAACTCAATTGAGAACCGCTAAAGCAAGGTATCAAAGTCATCAACCGACGGCCGCTAGTGAAAATTGACCGTGACGCGTCGAACGTGTCTGATAAACGACTCTCCGCACAGCCACTCCATCAGAATATTCCTCGATTCGTGCTAACGTCTCTCCGGTTTCAACTGTTTCACCACTGACCTCGAGCTCAAACTCAAACAGCAACAAATGGTAAATATACAAGGATTTTCGGTCCCCGTCCAATGCAGATCAACTCCAAGGCTTGCAATTCTCGCCGTCAGGAAGTAGCTCCAGTAGTCCCGGGTGCCAAAAGAGAGAACGTTTATGACGATACTCCAAGTATATAACGTCCGCGTCAGGCTGGGAGTAGTTGAAGAACGAAGAGCATTGGGAGATCTCTGCAAAAGATATGGAACAAAAACTGTCTTGGAAGGTATACACTTCTTCAACAACACAAACAACTGTACGCTTGAAATGAACCGCAGCCTGCTTTCTTGCTGTCTTGCCTAAAGATTCATTAGCAGCTTTCAAAGACATAAAACGGATATATTCTTTAGTACAGAAAGGATTTCCAATCGTTAAAGCGTTAACAATGTTACCCGTACGAACGATATGCGTTAAGAAATCTCCTAATTAAAAGGAGTATCGTAGCTGCCGAAGAAAAAATAAGCTGATAGCAGAGAAAACAGAAAATTTCAGTCTACGCACGTAGTGGGAACATCATCCTGCGTGAGTCCCGTAGCATTCACCGGGATACCCAATTGCCCATCAATCGTCGCCTCCCTACAAATTTATATTTTCAACAACCCGATCATTGTCTAAGATGCAACACACTCGCCTCAAATACAAATCCAGATTAAGAAGGTCAAGGTACCCCAACGAAACGGTGTTCAACGTGGCCAAGCCTCCCTGAGTGAGCGTCACATCCTCGATGTCACCGGAATTGGCTGTGCCGAAGAGTGGTACAACAACGGGGTCCTCAAAGGTGTAGTCGAAGGAGATGTACTCGGTGGAGTCTACACCGGCAGCGACGACGATGCGGTCGATGGTGATCTCGAAGGGGTTCGGGTTGGAGACTGTTGTTGTTAAGACCAATGGACGGGGAGGGAGGAAAGCATACCATTGAACGAGAGGCTACATCAAATAGAGGTAAGTGCCAGTGCCAGAAGGGAAAGACGGGTAGAGAGACATACTCGGCGAGGTTGGTAACGAGATCTTCCAGCTGTATGAACGTTAGTTATAAACGAAAGCGACAATCCAAGAGCGTACAGTAATGGTCACATTGATACCAGTGATATCTAGAGGGTTAGCGGCGTCCGCAGCTGACGAGGTGGGTGCACCACAGACAAAGGCGAGCACAGAGAAGAACAAGAAGAAACTGAACAACATTGAACAGATGAGAGATGTTGTCGGACGTGTCCATCTTATATATGCAGCAAAGGAGCTCGCACAATGGAGAAAAAAAGACGGGACATTGTGTGCTCAGCTGCCTAGAATTTTCCGAGAAGACCAGGGGGGGTGATGCATCAGTGAGGATCAGTCGAAGAAGCGAGACCAGGCGTACCTATACAGCCATGCGAGAAACTAACGAATCCTTTGCCCACCGGGGGAACCGACGGAGCATTCGAGAAAGGGAACAGTATATGCCGTTACATAAATTATATTGAGTTATATCATGTTCGCCGACGATGTCCTGTCCTGTGACGAAGCAAAGCACGAGGTTGTGGAGACTAGAGATATCGCATTAAGCGCTGAGACCGTTGTTTACACCCTCAAGTCTTGTTCATTACCTGGCGTTGAATTTCATCGAGACAGAGGGCATACATGTTCTGCGTTAGCTCAGCGACGTCAAGAGGAAGAGGCGACTCAGGCCAAAGACGGACCCCGGGTATTTTGCGGCCCTGCCTCTACTAAGCGCGCACCCAACATCAGCGTATAAATTGTCCAATTCCCGCATGGCATGAAACCGGTAGTAGCTTCCGGTATGTGCAATTTTCTCTTTCTGATCCTCAAAAACTTCTGGTCGGCACTTTCTCTGAAAGCAGCGGATAAAGCATCGATGCTTTTAATTTCTATCGACCGCTTCGATACTCTGGGACGTTCTAGGTATCAAAATTCTGGCAATATCATGCATCCGGCATGTATGATTCTGGAGAGACTCGAGTCCTATGACTCCATATGACTCATGCTCTGTAATATTACTCCAAAGTTCGGCCTCTCGAGTATAGCGAAAGAACGTTTCCGAGATCATGCAACGAAGATTAATATGATACGCTGTAAGCCTCTAGTCGTTTGGAATCATTCTCACTGTTTTCTGAAGCCCCGATTGGCGAATGGTCTGCACTACAGAACGGAATAATCACCGGTGCTTTCGACTATGGTCTCACCCGTGCCTCATCTGTTTCATCATTCCCGATGTTGCAATAGAACAGGGATTATTCTTGATCGCATCTCATGAAAAGCATGGCAGTTGAGATGGATTTCAAAGCGCCCATGTACGACCATATGGTAGGTGCCATGGCCATCCATAATGGCCAACACCATGTCGACAGTGATGCCACCAGATAATAACCCTACTGCGAGAGGCTCTCTCTGCGACCTTGAATATGGTCAATTTCCGAAGCGACTCGGACTGACGAGCGTGACGTCCAGGGGAGGATTTACGTCTTCACTGATTTTCAAGATCGCGTTGAGGTTGCTCTTGGAGACGATGGACCCCTTTGCCAAACGCCGATCATTTCCGCATAGACAGGCTTCTGTGCTGAACCGCTCATGCTGTTCCATCTTGTTCATCAAGACTCATAAACTAAATCGGGTAGGTCCTCCAGTATGGGCTATTTTAACATTGCTTGGCTTGTTCGGTCGACAATCGAGCCACGGAAGCCTTCTACATGTCAAGTAGCTCAAGAGCAATGATCCAACTTTTCATCGTCATGACACCGAGGAAGATTTGACGATATATTTGGCACCTGTACAACAGCCTAGGACCTTCTAATGTGCACTCTATATAACGAGGCATCGTACTCCCCAAGGTAATTTTTGCTTGGTATTGATCTATACGTTCTAACGATGGCTGCTCAGACAGATATTCCAGAGGATCTCACCAACGACGAAATAACGTTCATCTTTCAAGCCCTTGACGCTTCCTTGAATTCAACGATACTCGAATTTCTATTACACGGTACGCATGCTGAACCAGGCTCGAGTACTCATATCTATCACAGACATGCATAGGCATATATACCGGTATTCTTGCTGTTACCCTGTGGACCACCTGTGTGTAGAGCATATTTCTCGTTCCTCAGGGCTAAAGCAAGTCCCACTCCCTCAGGCACCAATAAATCTCGACCCACTGGCAAAGTCATGATTATTGTCATTCTTCTCCTTTACATCCTGACTTCTATCGGGTTTTCCTTTGATTGGCCATTTGTGCACTCCGCATTCATTGCTAATGGACAAAACTTTTGGACCATATATCTGAGGCTCAGCGATCCCAAGGCGAAAGCAGTTTTGAGCATAGGTACCACAGGAATCCTTTGTACCGTTCTTGCAGATTCTGTCATAGTGCGTAACCTCTGCCTCCGATAATCTTGCCTCTACTTACTATCCGGCCTCAGATCTGGCGTTGTTGGATAATCTGGGGACGGCGCTGGCTCATTGCTCTCTTTCCCGCTCTTTGTTTAGTTTCTAGTATTGGTAAGGCGATACATGTGCATATGTTCTGCTGTTTCTATTTACCGAGAACTTGCTATAGTGTTCAAAATCATGGACATGCGCCTGATATTCACTGATGGAAACGACCTTGAATTGCTCTATCGAGTACTTTACGCATCGTTCACTCTCGTAACAACATTATCGTGTACACTAGGCATTGTCTACCGTATTCTGTCCGTCGTCCAAGCAAGCCCTGGAGAAGGGGGCCGATATAGAGCTTACCGCCGTGTTATCGAAGTCTTGGTTGAATCTTCAACCCTTTATTCCATCATCTTGATCCTATACGTGGCCTTCTTTGCTCACGACGATTGGGCGGCCAATTATCTTGATCCTGCAGCTGCAATTGCGAGGGTACGCTCTTATTCTTTTCGCATTCTATCATATAAGACGTGCTCTATGTAGGGAGTCGCACCTACGCTTCTCGTTGGGCGCGTCGCGGCAGGACATGCTCGCCCAGATGACTCCTGGGAGGGAAGTGTGATGTCTTCTCTTCGCTTTGGGGAAGATCCGATCGAGACGAGTTCCTATGGAGATACCGTTGCTAGTGTCATCATCGATGATGACCTCGAATCTCAGCCCTCGAGCGAGGGCGAGGGCGCGCACACTCGGTCGTGCTTCCAGGGAGGTAATGGGCCGGATGTCATACCCAATGACAATCCGGATATTCGGCCAGGGAGAGAAATGGATGGTCTCGATGTGACCCTTGTTGAACTGATTGAATGATGGTCTTGGAGAACGTCAGCTTTTGCCAGTTATATCCTTATTTACTTTTGGCTTCAGAAGCTCGTAGGTTCGAAATTAAATGTGATTGTTTCAAAGTATGAATACAATTGTAAGCAGTATGGGTATGATGGAGGCGTGCGATATGGTTGAATCGCTATGCAAAGAAATCTTAGCCGCCTTGTACACGTTAGCAAGGGCCGCAAGTGGGCCGCGGTATGATAGACTGATGGTATGTGTACATCATTGGCCGACAAAGAATCTAATTGGAGAAACAGATTCATCGATAGCCAGGCACGAGAAGACGGTCAGCACAAAGAAGACCCATGCCCTCTTAGTGTGAAAAAATGCTGGTGAATGTAATGGGCATTAGATTCGGAGAGAAGTTTGGTGAACGTATGGATCGTTCCTGAAACAAATTCCCAGTAAGAAAAAGTCACGCATCTAACTGGGCATCACAAACAAGATAAATAGTAGCACAAGTTTCTAGTCCACGGTGAAACCTGGGGAGGCCACGGGTCGTTTGACTAAATTATATTTCGTTGTGGAAATCAGTATAAATAGGAAAGGAGCGAATACAGTGTGCGAGAATTCATAAGGGGCTAACCCTCTATTATGCGGCGTGCGTTGGTGTCAACAGGCAAGGACAATGATGATACTGAGATGACGCAGAATACCAGAAGAATGGACACAAGCTTCATTCCGCTTGGAGGGAGAACCTGTGGAGAGGCATGAGGGGCTACAGATAATAATAATTAAAAACACTAAAGGCTCTAGGAAGGGAAGAGTATAGCCACTGTCAGTGATCGAGATCTGACAGATCCAAGCCATAAAGATAGTCAGTCGCACGTGTTTGATTTTCCGCAGTTTAAGTATAACTTAGGGCATAAGAGACTTGTCGAGCCTATGAAGAGCTTGTATGATGTTGACGGTGCCGCCTTGGACTTGCACCACGGAAAATACTCTGATAAAGCGGGACGGGGTTCAAGCTCAAGCCCCGATCACAGTGGCGGCCAGTCGCGAAGATGCAATAGGAAATGGTGCCTGAGGCGAGAGGAGTCTGTGTCTGCAGACATTGACAATGTCTAATTTGCGGGAATCAAAAACAACTGTTATTTCGGGACCGGTAAGGGGGAGATGGGAGATTAGATGACTCTTGATGACGATGCAACTCTGTACTTCACAGCACAGGCATCACTGGGTTCATGCAGGTTCCCCAATAAAATTTGACAACATTACCCGAGAAGCCAACAGCAGAAGGGGATGGAACTGAGCTGACACACCATCTTTTTTTCCAGCTAGAAACGGACAAGCATTTGATGAAAAGGACAGATCAGCACCGAGCGCTAAAAGCGGTGCATGTGTGATGCCGACATTTACGATTTTTACCACTCTAGAGCACTGCCGATCGACGTGTTGACAGAGCCGGTGCTTGAAAAACCGTGATTCTAGAGATAAGAAATCTTAACAATCCAGGCATGTAGACTTGACAAGAATGGCGAATTTGTGCGTGAGTACAGGCAACGTGGAGGATATTATTATCCAGGTTAATGAGATGAAACCGAGTCAAGTTGGCAAGGAGAGTAGTTTAGGTGGAGAAGCATCGAACGATGGAGTGCAACAAGGCGGACAGACTCTCGTTTTGCGCTGTCAGCGGGAAGAAGCTTGAATAATGGATAACAAAAGCAGTAAGGAGAAACATGATTTGTCTTAACGGGGACCATAGGAGACCATAGGTTGACAATATCGCATTTAAAAACCCCTGTACAACATCAAAAATCCTCAAAGTGTGCGAAAGAAAGGAGGAAATAGAATGATCCAAAGGTCTAGTGTTAAACGAGTGTGATGTAAAAGAGTGTTTGGGTTTAGGGTACCGGATAGAATGAAAGTAATAACTAAATGGCTGGGTTTCAGGGTAGCGATATAATGTGTGCTGGGTTGTCCTAAACGTTTGTAAGGTTATCAAGTAGCAATACGAGTCATGATGTGCACATACTATTCTCCTTTCTCCAGCCTCTAGATAGATATGGCACGCTTGGAAGGCTTAGCGGCAGGAGGTGCTCCGCCTCCGCCTCCTCCTCCTCCTCCTTCGCCGGGGTTAAAGGCGTTGAACGCCTCCCTCCCTGGAAAACCCAAGAATCAGTCTCCACCAAAGAAATTTAAAAAAAAAAAAAACAGTCGTCTTACCGTACAAGTTGCGGGGCTTCAAGGGGGGAAGACCCGCTGCCATACGGCGAGCGTTGGTATCAATGGGCGATGCAGAGACGGCGGTGAACGCAATGGCGCAAAAAGCCAGAATGGACGTGAACTTCATTCTTTGCGTTGGTGGGGGATGGCGGTTGGAAGGAAGGGGAATAAAAGGAAAGGATGTCGTGCGGTGGCTGGTTTTGTTTCCGGATGCTCGTTTGGCATTGAGGAGGTCCTGATAACCGATGCATGATCGGTTACTGAACCTCCTATACACGGAAAAGGGATGTTCGATCGTAACACTACTCTTTGCGATCTTTTGCGGAGGTCATAACCAATTTATGAAATTCCAAAGAGCCTAAGGGGGGTGGTACAATACATCCCAAGCACAGTCCAGCCGCTGGGTGCGTTACTGAGACAAATGTCTATATTTCGTTGAAGGTTGTTGACTGGCAGTTCAGTCACTGTGAGCCTAGGCTGGAGGATATTGACATTTTTTGTTTTTTCATCTAGTTACGTGCAGGCGATCCGCAGCCATGGCGGCTATTGGAAAAATGAGGCGCTCATTTCTACTTTGATATCCGTGCTAAGGACCTTCTTATCATTATCAGGCACCCCTTAATTAATAACGCCTCAAATCTAGTTTGACACTGGGCGCTAGGCGCGGAGCCATGCATGAAGACCCATGTTTGCTGGGGTTTTTTTTACGGATAATATGTATTCCGTGAAAATACTATCCATAACAAGATGTCGAACAAGCAACGATGAAAATATTAGATGAAATTCCTGCGTGACGGGTTTCTATGAAGTTGGGAACGAGGCGCTCTCGGATGAGATCCGCTTGCAACAGGATGTCGCTCTGCCTTCGAGCGTAGGTCCGCCATCCAAAATGAATCAAATGATTGGACAAAGCGAGATCAGTCTTCGAAGAAATATGCAGGATTACCTCTAAGATGCACGGTAATAACGAGTCAACTTACCGGAAATTAACACTCCCCCAAAGGAGCTATTAAATGAAGTGACACAGTGTCTATGACGATGCCCCGGGCCAGGATGCAGTACGGCGGGATCGGTGTAGCTTCCCGAGAAACGTGCCTGTTTCCTTCGGTATTACAAAATCTCTATTCGCCATATCCGTACGCGCCGTGCATGTTTCGAGAGAAAAGCCAGAGCCGGTCGTTCCGTCATGATTCTCGGGCGCTGGTAACAGGTAGCGGCATAACGTTAAGAATGTGTCTCGGGGCCGCCGTCCTATATAATGAAATCGCAACAGTGAAAATCCGCGGAGCGATCATATTATTGGAGTCGAGATGATGGGCCGAGGTCCATAGGTCCACTGAAGTATTTATCAGGAAAGAACAAAGAATGATAGGTCCCCCCAAAATTTTGCGAAAGGGTTCTGGAAACTAGAAAATATGTCGGGTTTTGTCCGGATAAAACCTAGTTTCTACCAAATCTCCTAGGGTTTGTCCGACACGGCATCCCCACCTGTTTTAAGGACATTTGCTTCTAAAATGGGTTGAAAAGTTAGGGTCAATTGCTGGGTCACCATGAGGAAGGCTGACCAGCGTTGTCGCCGAGTTTGTGCACCGAGTCGCATCTGTGACGTCCGGACTATGACACGGCATCATCTTGACTTGTGCGCTGATGTCCGGACAAAAAAACACGAGCCTTTGCGAAACTTGGACCTATTTTGGGGGGGTCCTGAAATGTGGGTCGCTGAGTATATAAATGGGCGCATCGATATCGTGATACATACTCGGAGTCACATCCTCTTTGTGGATAAGAGATCTATGGAAAGAACGGTCTGGTAGACCCATGATCATCGATGGCCAAGTTGCCTTCCTCATATTTTTCGTGGAGGACGAATGGTGTCCGAACCAATATTGAAAGTCCACATCTAGTTCGCAAGTATATCTTCAGTCAAGGGCACCTTTTTTCAATACCAGTCAAAGCCTGTTTATCGCCCTAGTACTCCAGCGGGTAGAGGGAGGGGGAGCCATGGAAGCATGATCGAAAGCACAACGCTGCTCACCCGCACCCTACGGTTATACCAAACATAATGAAGAGTGCAGATTTGCAGATTCACGGTAAAGTTAGAGCTGGAGATCCGCAGGACATAAGACAGTGAGCAAGAAGACTCTGAGATCAGGTAGGGGAGGTACCACGATTTACCCGAGAAGTTGATGGAGGCCGATCACGACTCGGACTTCTGTTTTCCGACCATCATCAAGTTTTTTATCAGGCACTCATTGCCCGATTCTTGTTTCGATATGTACTCTTTTTTTTTCGGATCCCTAGCCTCGTGGATCTCCGACTGTGAGAATTATCGCAAACTAGCATCTGCGAACAACGCGACTCCGAGGAATTTTCTAGTACGCCCGATTAGAGAGATACACCTGCATATGAGAGCGCATGTATGCTCTGATTCATTCTGATTCTCTCTATGATCGCGACTATCAAACCTTCAGGATTGTTATGCATGACCTTGCTGGAAATAAAAGTCCACCCACAGCGACGGACACTTCTTATTCTGCATTAGAACCCCATAGTTGTTGTTATCTCCGGAAACATATCTGTTTACTTGCATACGTCCGATCCCTCCCGGACTGGATACAGTAATCAAAAACCAGACAACGTAATTCTGATGCAACCCCGTGTGCCATCAATGTTTTATCGATTTCGTGATGATGCAGATAAATTGTACATCATGTAGTCTATAATTATTACATAGTAAGATAGAAGAAATACCTCAACTTAATCTTCATCGGATGGGGCAACCCGAACCTTCATGTGCAGCTGAGACCCCTTCTCTTGCTCGCCTTCGATTGTTGGCATCATGATAAAGCAAGATTCGCGTCGGACACGCGAAGGGTCCATACCATCAGCGAGAGAAAACTCAAAGGAGTTGACAAGCTCCACAATAAACGAGTGCAGCTCCATGACGCTGAATAGAACTATGAGGCTCGGTGTACGCAACAGAAGAGGTTTGACACTTACGCGAAACGCCAACCAAGGCAGGACCGTTGTCCACCAACGAAAGTGAACCTAATTTTGGATACATAAAATCAAGTGCATTGAAGAGGAGTAAATGACATACATGTTGCCGTAAACTCCGAGAGACACCGCGGGCTTTCCTTCCTTGTGTAACCATCTATCAGGATTGAAGATGTCTGCATCTTCTCCGAAAACTTCTTTACTCCTGCGAAAATCATGTTAATACCAGAGCTGCAAAGAAGACAAAACCGTCGAGCCTATTATAGCCGGCAATCGAGCTGATAATTTGCAGACCCGCTGGAATTGGGAGTTCTGTCAATATCTCTCCAGTCTTCGTAGTAATGGGCTTGTGGAGGGGAAGGACATCATCCTTCGTCGCGATTCTGAACACGTTGTACACGACTGGATGCATACGGAGAGTTTCCTAATCCAAGTGGTTAACCAAATGGAGGAAAATACAAATTCGAAAAGATTTACCTTGACCACGGCAGCCAAGTACGGCATGGCATCGAAATCAGCAGCGGTGAACTCGTCCCTCCCAACAGCGCGCATCTTGCGTTGGGTCTCTCGAATTTCCTGGCGAAGTTTGGTCTGGCATTCGGGGTGTGCTACGAGCTCGAGTAGAGAAAAGGAGAGAGTATTCGACGTCGTTTCGTGTCCGGCAAACACAATGATACTGAGATGATGAGTAAGTCTAATTTTCAGAGCAAAGTGCGAGCTGTATACACACTTCATTTGAGCGAGAAGCTCCTCCTCCTCGAGGCGCATGTCAGGATTTCCTGAGGCGTTGGCTTTAACTATAATGGAGCAATGAGCAAGCGTACCCTGTGGAACAAGACAAACTCGTCACCCATCAGACTCATAAGGTCTTTGCTGGCTTTTCCCTCCTTCAGAGCCGCGTACTTCTCCGCTACCAATTGCTTCGCGACCCTAGTTGTCAACTTGTTCGTCCTCCTTCCAACTTCGAAACGAGGAGAAGGACCATTCCTGACAATGAACCTAGCAAAAGAATCCGGAAGCATGTCCATAATGCTCAAAGCCAGAATATCTTTGGGCTTGGGAATACCGAAGACGTGGAACCTGGGGTAATGCAATGATGAACGACTGATTACAGGATGAGGAAGGGGACATCCTTACACAAGGTTGGTGTAGGCGTTCGCGAGTTCATTCTCGGCGTTATCGAGAGCTCCAAATTGATAGTCGAAGGCGGCTTCACGACAAAAAAAAAGTGAGAACTCGGATGGCAGTAGTGTTACTTGGAACACACCTTCACCGATCGCATCAAGGGTCGCCCGAGATGTCCATTCAGGGATATCCACAGTGATCGTCTCTGTTGCGTCCATAGAAATCATGTCTCTCCATTTGTTTGCCATCTGAAGAAGATGGACCCATCAGAACATGAATAGAGTATAACCATCGACAGCATACCTTCGCGGCATATGACAAGAATATCGGGACAAAAGCCTTTGCTTCGGAACTTCCAAATCCTGGCGTCATGATCTTTCGCTGGCGCCTATGCTGTTCGCCTATGTATGCAGTATTAGCAGTTGTAAAGAATTGAAAAACTCGACGTGACTTCACCTTCAACATTGAGCAATCCGGGGCCAAGAGTAATGCGTGATAGAGCACTTCGGGTGGGTGACTTGATGAAGTTGTAACCAGACTGATAGATGTATGACAGAGCCTTAGGATCTGTGATGAAGAGACGTTCTCCCTAAAGAACAATGAGTGAGAAAAAAAGTGAGTATAGTAGGCTTGGACATAGCGTACTCCGAGAGGTGCGTGGATGCGAATGACGTCGCCATAGGTCTTTACCCATTCAAAATCTCTCTGAACACAGGAACGATCAAGGACGGGAAAATAACATATTAAAAGAACATTACCTCCCCAGCCTGTGACTGTAAAAGCTCGGGGAAGTTTCCTACAGTCATCAGATACGTGAGTGAAAGAAAGCAGAACTAACAGAGAGCCTCACCGTATAGGAACGAGCTGGACTCAGGTCCTTTTACATGAGAGAGGGAAATGCGAGTAAAACGCTTGTATACGACGTATGCAAGTGTTAGAACGCAGGCGGAGAGGACAAGAGAGAGGGAAGGCATGTTTATGACGCTATGGACTTGATGGTCGCCTGGACGCCATCTTATAGTGTTTGAATGGCGATCCCCTTGGCGCAGAATACAACACAAATGATAATCGACCTGCGGTTGAAACCCGAAGTGGTTGCAAGGGCCTAGTCATAATCCCGTGAAAAGCATGTAAGAGTCTTTGAAAATATGCGACGCGGATACGGTCTTAGTCAGGAACGTCCAGGCAGCTCCAATCAAAATAAACCAGACCTCATGCCTTCAGCGTCGGATTCCGAACCGGTGCAGAAGGCAGTCGTGCTTCTCACAGTTTATTGGCTGATTCTGTCGTACTGAGATTCGAGATATCAGCGTTGTGACTTGCGTCCGACACCGAGCAGTGCAATGCATGATGGCGGCTAGAAAAGAATGGAATCGCCGCATTCCGCGTGCTGCGCAAGTTGAGTTTATTTTCCCAAAAGGATGTTCTTCACTCAGGGCAATGCTATTCGACGGTGATTCCGCCACTGATCTCCAAATGATGAAAAACAGCGGCCTGCGGTAACGAAGATCGACATGCCCTGAAATTTTACGCGACTCATCAGTTCTCCAGAGGTATAAAAGAGGAGACGAAGATATCCACGAGAAGAGCTGGAGCCAATGCGCAGCGAGGGTGCTTTCGTGCAAAATTGGTGTCTGGTTGAAGAAGAAATAGAACATCCGGCTAGCTCCGGGGTGTGACTGTCGAGGATAAAAATAGATCTGCAATGCTATTGATTTTCAAATTTTACTTGAATCTGATCGTCAAGTAAGAGTCTTATACTTAGAACTTTGCCTGCCCGTTGATGATGTTTCTACCTTGCTCCAGCCTTTCTCTGGCACAATTGACGAAACCACAAGCACACCCTGTTTTTGGGAAGCCGTTCTCGTCTTACCCCATGGACATTCTGTAGTTTCAGCCTCTGTGCCTGCTCGCGTGTCGTCGTATCAGATCATCATGAAGCAGCGATTCCGTGGAGATTATATCACACCTCTGCTGGTAGATTTTTGTTGCATTTGGCTGGAAACGTCACTTTCTTTAATCAGAAAGGCAGAGGTATCATTATGACATCGCCAAATAACAAGTACCGCGCGTTCTGTTAAGAAGACTTTCACCTCAGGCCTCCTTTAGCGCGACCCAGCTTGAAATGTCACATGCCTTGAGTCCATTCGGCCTTCTCTGATGGAATCATTAGGAATCTTGCGTCCTGGGCTTACTATGAAGTTTCAAGTCACCGCAGTTTCCAGCGGTCAGTTACTAGAATAGACGTTTCACCATTTCGAAACATACGTTGACGTTTCAATAAACACGTTCTATGTGCGCCAGCCTTCTTATTTTGTTTTCTTTGACCGCACTACCTCGCGGGCTAACAACATGTATGAATGTGTCGAAAGTAAAGCCGAAATCCAGCCCCTTTACTTATCCAATGTCCTTGGAATATGACAGCCGAGCATTGCAGCAACATTCCAAGTTTTCAAGCTCACAGAGCTTTGTCTGTGTGGAATCGCTTTCCTTCATCGATATTCCGCTATCATTGATGCTTACGGCTGCGGGCACACCTAGATGCACATGAACCGAATGGCGTTCTAGGCACCTACGATGCAATATCCATGTCCCGCTGGCAGGCGTCACCTCCGTGTATGTGACCACCCTCGAGTCTCGTTTCTGTTGGACTTTCTCCGAAGGTCCTCAGTATTTCCGCTGGTCGTCGTATAAAGGCCCAAAAGTACTTTCCGTTCACTGGGTACCGTAGATCTCACCTAGAATCCTGTAAATCCTATCCAAAGCCACGTAGATCTTACCCCAAGTCACTTCCCCTATTTCTTCCACGCGATGTCGTCCCTTCAGAATACTTTCATCAGCGAAGACCGCATCGGATCCCACCGTCGGAAAGAAGTGTTCTTCGAAGATGATGGCAAACAAGATATATACAGCTGCGCCGTGACTATTGCCTAGGATCGAAATGTATGAATTTGACCTAGTAGTATTTGACCAACGTCAAAATTACTTTGGGCTTTCCTAGTGCGGGAACGCCGACTCGTCGCCGAGGGCTGTCACAAAATCCAGGATATGTCATTGGCCACGAACTCTGATTCGATTTTTCCCACCTCAGAATAGTCCCCACCCAGCTACGAGACGCATATCTTTGACCGAGATCAGTAATCGGCATACTAAGCCCATCCACCAAAATAGAATTCTCTCTAATGGGGTGGGGTCTCCGCAGAGTCGTCCCCAGAAATACCCTCCGGTAAGCATTATGAAGGCACTCCCTCGGCCCTATGTTTCAGCAATTTTCGGATCGCATACTGCCAGTGCCCGAATTTTTTCTGGTTTATTCGATTGCTAGTGGTCCCAAGTAAGTCGCAATGGACCTGACCGCAAATGGGTAAATCGCTAAACGGCCCGAAATCCATATGCGTTTTGAAGCTGCTGGTTTGCGGTGCCCAGTGGTGAGCTTCCTGGATCCAGGTTAGGAACTTCAGGAACCGCAGAATACAGCACCTCACCCAGGTACTTACTGCTGTACTTCCTTTCTCCTCCCCAAGCAGATGAAAATTTCCATCAGGATCTGGTATCGGGATTCCTATACTTTCATCGACCATTGCGGTTGCCAGGGAAAGTCGCCACGTTTATGCGTCTCTCCATCCTTACGATGAACCTTCAACGAATCAATCAATGACCTCAGCTTTCAAAAATAGTGTCGTAGGCCATCAGGAAACAAAGACCGTCGCCATGCCGTACTCCACATTGAACTGCGGACTCTAGGCGAAATCGAACCTCGAAACTCGTCATCACCGCGAATGGTATCATCTGCGTTCAACTTAACATCTCACGACTTTAACAATCCTTTTGCGATAAGTACCATATGATACCCTTCGTGTGGGGTCCTCGGATATCAGTCCATCGTACCTGCATCGATTCCGACGATTAATAAGTGTCGGACTATTTTTTCATCGCAGCGGCCAACGAGTTCCGCCTACTTGTCAAGTCCCCGCCTGCCTTTGGCGACTCGGACATGGATGACAGAAAATGACAATAACGACAGTATCACGTTATGTCCCTTGCCATTTACGACTGGTTCGCTATTGCGACTCGCGACCGATTCGGAAGTACTGCATGACATTGCATTCGGGCGGCGTTCCTTCCTACACATCCGTCATTGCGATTCATATCCTACGTCAAATTGGGATACTTGGTACAGGAGAAGACTAATGATGTGCAGGATACATGCTCTTCGCAATTTGTATTCACAGATTTAAGAGTTTCGGCCCGGGCGCCTAACGAACCGTCGATCCTTTATTTGCCCTGCCCAGCCAATCAGTTACGATGACACAAGCCTATTCCACGAGGCATGAAGGAGCAAGCCGACATTTCTTTGATTGCCTACTATCACCAGCAAATGGACACCGACGCACAAGCAACCCTTTCAACGATCCCAATGATAGCGTCGATCTAGTGATCCGCACATCTGACAACGTCGACGACCTCGTCCTCAGCGGGCTGCTATCGTTGCGATCCCCATGGTCGTTCTTCCGTCACGCTTTGCAGAGTAGTCGGCACACAGAGGAAAGGGACGGTCTTCCTGTGTTACGAGTGGAAGATAACAGCGCTACGTTCAGATACATCCTCCTTCTCTTTTACCCCAATGAGCGTCCCGTCGAGATCGAAAGCATCGAAGATGTTTCGGCAGTGGGCGTCGCTCTTAAAAAGTACTGCGTGGATTATGCAATCGGGCGCTTCGAGAAGACGGTGATCGTGTCGTCCCTCATGAGGGAACAAGCCCTACGACTGTTTGTCCTAGCATTTCGTAATGGGTGGAGAAAATTGGGCGAAGCAGCCGCGAAGAACATACTTTTCATTCCCTTGACCAAAGAGGTGGCAATCGAAGAGCTGAACGGCATACCGGCGTTGCAATACGTCATCCTGCGAGACTACCACAGGAAGTGCAGTGACGCCGCCCAAGTTAATCTCGACACACAGGAGATATTGTTTTGGATGGTTTTGAGAGACGCGGTCTATCTTAAACGTCCCATATGCTTTGTTCAAACACGACCGAAGTGAGAATTAGGGATACAAATGGTGAAAGGAGAGTGGATGTCCATCACAGGATATTCGATTAATCCGAGAGGTTTCGCAGAAGCTGCGCGATACGCCTCGTCCCGAAACCTCCATGGACGACAAAATCATCAATTGGGCGGTTTTGAAGAGCGCAGAGCAATGCAAAATCAAGGGTTGGAAAGACATCGCTGTCAACGAGATCCAAACATTTGCAAAGCTTTTGGCGAAAGAAATTGATAGGCGAACCTCTGAGGTGAGTCAGGCAGCGTTATCTCCCCTATTGCCAACACTGTCTGCTAGGTTCTTTTGGATATCAAGTGGACGAAATGAGGTGCAGAGGCACGCGCATACCCGTGTAGCTTATGAATCGGAATGATAGTGACCCTGACCGAGGGAAAGCGAAATTGCCGTATGTCATTTCTTCTCTTGTTGGTGTAGAAAACGTTCCCAATACTTCGAGTGTTTCGTTTCCAACGAAGGAGAGTGTGAAGGTGAAGATAACGGAGCTACAGAAGAGGTGGTCTACCAAAGAGAAAGGAAGACATGAATCATTGAGTCATTGGCGTTGTTAAGACCTTTCTAAGCGAATAGCTGCTGCTCCTGGGATATGGCGTTTTCAAGTTAGCTTAGGGAACAACAGGTTAAGATCAATGTCGACGTTGCCACGAGGACAGAATCTGGAGCGGGATTTAGGACTCTACGGGGTGTCCTCTAAGATTGCATCAGTGGAAAGTTTCTAGAGGATTAAAGAGCATGACGTACGAGTGGGCGAAGATGCCTTGAGAAGAATTCTCCGAATGCAGTCAAACTTCCAGCGACATAGGCGCCTAAGTCACGAGTAGACTCTTATCTCTGTGTAGGCAGGCGTCTATCACCAACCATGAGCATCATCGAAGAGTCTCCCATAGCCATTGCCGAGCCACCCTTCAACGATGCTTCTGATCTCGCAGATCTGGTAATCCGCACGTCTGACAACGTCGACTTCTTTGTCCACAGAGCACTTCTGTTGTTCAGATCTCCTTCATCTTTCTTTCGACATGCGTTGGACGGGAACCACCATACAGAGGAAAAAGACAGTCTTCCTGTGCTCGAGGCGAATGAGGACAGCACCACATTCAGACACGTCCTCATCTTCTGCTATCCGTACAACACTCCCGAACTTACAAGCGTCGAACAATTGTCGGCGGTAGGCACGGCGCTTGACAAGTACTGTATGGACCATGCCTTCGAGCGTTTCATCCAGACCGTGATTGCGTCTCCTCACATCAAACAGCAGCCGTTGCGGGTCTTTGCTGTGGCCGTCGCCCACGGATGGAAGGAGTTGGGAGAGACAGCAGCCAGGAATTCTCTTGGTATACCTCTTGATGGAGACGTCAAGGAGCTGGATGGCATCAGTGCCCGTCATCTTCAGCGTCTCCTCAATTACCACAAGCTCTGTGGGGAGGCCACCCAAATTCAGTGGATGTCTTGGCTTGCAGAGGAACAATCTGAAATTCTGCAGAATATCCCCAGGCGCCAACGATGTTCGAAAAGTTTGCCCAAAGTCCCGACGAATGATGAATTCTATTCGTATCGTTGGTTGATTAATTCGTATCTCCAACCGGTGAAGGAGAAGATGCTGGTAGACCCCCGACCGCAGGTAGCATTTGATGATGGTATTATTCGTGAAGCCATCCTAGCGAGCATCAGGGAACGCAACACAGACGCATGGATCAAGGCTGCCTCTAGTCATATCCACAGGCTCGCGCAGTTACTGGCGACGGAAGTCGATAGGCGTATTTCAGAGGTAAGGAATAAAAGAATGGATATTGCCGTTGGCTGATGTAGTCCATTAGATTCCTTTGGAAATTAAGTGGAGAAAATGAAGAAGAATATGGTCGAGCATTCCATGTTAAGAGATTGTCGGTCCTTCTATGTTGGACTTTCGAAGGGATTAGCATTGGAGTACAAAAATGATCATCCTTACCCTTGTTTTCCATTCACCACCCATCGCTTGCCGTAGTATGTAGTAGATTTGATATCCCACTGGAAATTGTCACGATCCCTCGGAGAGCTGTTGCTCTCGATAAGAAGTGAGTTCAGATATTCGCATTTGGCTCATCAAAGGCGATTTGATGACGGAGCAACGGGTCCAAGTGCTAATTGCAAATACATGTTTGTGTCTGTCTTTTTCTGTTTCCTTTCGACTCCCTCACTGCGCCCTTCAAGGTTGAAATTCAAGCTTGCCCTTCGTTTCTCTATCAAGTCTTGAAATCCGCGAATATATGACCAATTCCTCCATACTAACTTGCTTTCTCTACCGCTTTCATCCCGATTGTACTTGGTAATTGTTGAATCATTGAAGGTCCATTGAAGCCAGCTTGTTCCACACGCGTCGTCAGAGATCGATATTTACAGCAAGTACCACCTGCCTAATGACCGCCATGGTCTTCAATTTTCCTTCCAATCTGAACTCTGTCTGTGTCTTCTTCGAGGGCGGCCCTTTGACGCTTCACCAATGACTATTACCTCGTCGGCCAGTCTGTTGTTGCACGTCGCACTATCTGACCCGCCCTATCTTACCATTCACTGTTTCTTTTCCATGAACAACGTTATCCAGGACCAGGTGATACCGTGCCAGATGCGCCTGACGAGTGACTTCGGAACACCTGTGTACTTTCTCAGGGTGGTATCTAGCATGCACGAGCCCGTCATTCGCAGGTCCCGATAACATTCCAGCTCTTCGCACAGTCAAAGACTTCCTTTGTATTCTAAACGATCTGCCCTCAGAACCCAGAGCTTAAATAGTAGATGAACGCGGGCTTAGCAGTTCTCGACCTTCAATAGCAGTATAACACACAGTAGGATGAACTGCCTAACTGCAACCGGACAGTGGACCGGGCCAATGATACAATGAAATCAAAGGATTGGACATCCCGTAGGCAAATTTGCCATCTCTCTCTATCAAGAGTCTTATCGAATTTCTCTTCAGGTCTTTTTTCTCCAAGTCACAATAAGGTAATGGTAACGCACCATTTATGTGTGAAGATGTTGTAAGTAGAGAGCAGAGTAATGTACAGAGGATTAGAATTAGCCTCTCGAGAGAGAGACATTCTACTTTGTTGGGATAGCAATCCCGAGCGAGTACGAGAATGTACTCGAAGATACGATGCCAATCAGTGGCAGCTGACTTGGATCGTGATCTGGACTTATTTAGTATCTCATAGAAAGATCTCGAAGTAATACAAAATGTATTTAAGTAGAACGTCTCTCTCTCGAGAGGCTGATCATAATCCTCTGTACATTACTCTGCTCTCTACTTACAACAGGTTATGGGCCCCAGCCATAACTGAACTTACATTGCTACTCACTTTGCACCCTTTCGTACTTTATGTACACATGTAGAACCACATGGATAGCCAGTCCATGTATAGAATTGACCCCCATAAGGGCCCGGAAAATTATCCGACATGGAAAATCAAGATGATCGATATCCTAACCAATTTAGGACTAATTGATTATGCAGATGGAAGCATTCCAGCCCCAGCAGACATGACACTGATGGCAGATTGGAAGAAGAGTGATAGGAAGGCTCTTTCAACAATAAGATTGCAGGTTTCAAATGGCCCACTGGTATATATTGCTGGTTCAAAGACTTCAGCAGAAGCCTGGAAAGCTCTGAAAGATATGTATGAGTCCAGAGAACTCATGGAAATTGTCCTTGTCAGAAGGAAATTCTTCAGAGCTCAGTGTGAAGAAGGAGAAAATATAGAGAAGCATATTAGGACTATGAGGTCCTATCAGAAGGAGCTGGCATCCCTTAAGCAGAAAGTTGAGAAGGAGGACTTCTCTATTACACTGCTTATATTACTATCAGAATTATGGAATTCATTCATCTCATCAGTGGATACTGCTGACTTGAAAGATTCTTACAAGTTGATTTCCTAAATTCTTCAGAAAGACATCTGATTAAAGAAAAAGACTTCTGATCAGACCACAACACTTGCAGCATATGGCAAGAAGTCCAATCTGAAAGTCACATATTACAGATGTGGAGAAACTGATCATATCAAGACAAATTGCCCAAATGGAAAGAAGAATTCTGAAAAGTCATGGAAAGGAAAGAGAAGAGGCCAGACTCAGGCATATGTTGCCAAATCAGACTCAGAAGAAGATGACTACACATTTTGTGCAACAGATGTTGCATTTACTTCACTCTCAGGAGTATCATGGCTAAGGGACTCTGGCACTATCAGATATATAGTCAAAAATAGATTATATTTTTCTGACTATGTTGAGACTCCAGGACATGAAGTTATTGATGTAGGCAAATCCAAAGGCTTAGAAAGAAGAACTGTCAAGATTAAAATGGTTGAAGAAGAAAAGATCACTCCAGTCATACTAAAGGAGTGTATCTACTGTTCTGACACACTATTCAATCTTATGTCACTAGAGCATATCACTGATGCTGAATTTGAACTCAAATTCAAAGAGTCTAGAATGAATATTATCTCACCACATAGCAAGATAATTGGCCATAGAGATAAAATATCAAAGCTGTACAGCCTCAATATCATTGTTCCAGAAATAATCCAGACCCATGCTATGAAATCAGTCTGATTATAGCAAAAGTGGCACAAAACATTAGGCCACTTAAATATGGGATTAGTAAAGAGACTATTTAGGAAGAAAATGGTCAAGGGGATGGACATAGATGAGTCAGCCAAGCCTCAGACAGATTGTATAGCTTGCATAAAAGCCAAGCATTATACCAAGCCATTTCCACAGGAAGCAAAAAGAGACTATACTGAAATAGGGGAAATGACATTTTCAGATCTATGGAGGCCAGCCTGAACTCAGGGTATCCATGGTGAAAGGTATTATATAAGCTTCACAGATAAAAAATCCCAAAGGACAATGTTGTATTTTTTGAAGTCAAAGCAAGGTATGAAAATTTGAAAGAAGATCCAGCAGTATCAAAAATACATCAAAGTCCACAAAGGGAAGGATCTGAAGTTTATGAGGATTGATAATGGAAAGGAATATGTCAATAAAGAGGTAAAGAAATATCTCCAGGACAATGGCATACAGTTGGAGTTGACTGCAGCATATTTTCTATCTTAAAACAGAGTTCCTGAGAGAATAAATTGGACTCTTGTGGAGCATGCATGCACCATGCTAGAAGAACATCACTTACTGAAGTTTTTATGGCCTGAGGCAGTGGCATATGCCATATATTTAAAGAACTGATCACCAACCAGGGCTATCAAAAATGATCTAACCCTAGAAGAAGTGTTTCAGAGCATGAAACCAGATATTTCAGCACTTCAGAAATTCAGAGTAAAGTGCTGGGTGTTGTAACAAGATAACAAGAGGTCAAAACTGGACCCAAAGTCAAGGGAATTTATTTTTACAGGTCTTACAGATGAATCCAGGGCCTGGAGATATTACAACCCTCAAACTAGACAGATTCAGACCTCAAAAAATGTTATATTCCCTGAAAGCAACACTACAGAGTCTATAGACACTGACTATATAGTCTCCCACTCTTCATTGCTCAAGAGGGAGTCAGAAAGCAAAGTCGAGCAGACTCAGGATAGAAATGATGGCATTTCAGATGATTCTATGGATGACAGAAATGCTGAATCAAAAGGGAAAACAGCCTCTGATATATCATTGATCAAATCAAAGTTCCCAATATAGCATGAGAAAGTGATCAAGCCATGTGACAAATCAGCCCAGATTGCATCAAAGACTCAACTGAGTTACTGGACACTCCATAACCTAAGTGCATGAGCTGTGAAAACATTGGAACAACAGAGTACCTCAGAAGAATCATCTTTGAAAGCCACAAATATTGCAATAGACTATGAATACATTTTGTATTACTTCAAGATCTTTCTATGAAATACTAAATAAGTCCAGATCATGATCCAAGTCAGCTGCCACTGACTGCTATTGTATCTTTGAGTATATTCTTGTACTTGCTTGGGATTGCTATCCCAACACTCCCCCTCAATTCCAAGTTCCTAGAATACCTGCAGATAGATACTCATGTAATGGTCTTGGTAGGCCTTTATTGAATATATCTGCTAAGTTCTTCTCTAATGTGCAGTGCTAAACTTTGACTTTGTTTGAAGCTATTGGCTACATACATTAGTGATCTGACACTGGTATGGTAATATTATCTGGTAGCTGTGTTAACACCTCATGGGTCTTCTGTTGGAATTTTCTCTAGCCATACATTCAGGTCCATAGGTATTTTGACTGGTTTACAGTCATTCATGCTCATTTGCTCAAGTACTTTGAGAATATATGCCTTCTGGAATAGAGTGATAGTGCTCTTGTCCTTATTCCTGTCTATCTTTATGCCCAATATATATTGAATCTCTCTCATGTCTGTGACATTTAGCTTCTTCTTAAGCTCTTCTTTCATTTTAGACATGATTTCATCATCTGGGGCAAGCAATGTTATGTCATTGACATGTACAGCTATGATTATGGGACCAGAACTCATTTGTCTGATGTACACACATTGATCACTGATCAATCTGATGTATTCAAGTCCCAAAAATGTAGCATTTAATTTGTCATTCCAAACTCAGCCAGATTACTTGAGTCCATACAACATTAATTTGAGGTGTGCCACTTTTCCACTCTCACCTGAATATTCAGGTGGCTGTACCATGTAAATAGATTCATTGAGTTTACCATTTAAGTAAGCTCCAACAACATCCATTTTATGAATGATTAGGTTTCTTTGAGTGGCAGTTGCTATAAGTAGATGAAATGTGTCCAGCCTGACAATGGGTGCATATATCTCTAAGAAATCAATGCTGAGTACCTGTGAAAATCCTTTTGCAACAAGTCTGGCCTTGTACCTGATGATTTTCTCATCACCATTCCTTTTCAATCTGTAAGTCCACTTGTAATCCACAAGTGATCTGTCTTTGAGTAATTCTTCCAGCTGCCATGTGCCTAGGAAAGTCAATAGATTGTATTTTTCATCTATTGTTTTCTTCCAATGATGCCAGTCTGGCCTTGTCTTGGCTTTTTCAAAGCTTAATGGCTCATCACTGAAGTTGTCTGCAGTTTCTCCAATGTATGCATAGTCTATTGCAATATTTGTGGCTTTCAAAGATGATTCTTCTGAGGTACTCTGTTGTTCCAATGTTTTCACAGCTCATGCACTTAGGTTATGGAGTGTCCAGTAACTCAGTTGAGTCTTTGATGCAATCTGGGCTGATTTGTCACATGGCTTGATCACTTTCTCATGCTATATTGGGAACTTTGATTTGATCAATGATATATCAGAGGCTGTTTTCCCTTTTGATTCAGCATTTCTGTCATCCATAGAATCATCTGAAATGCCATCATTTCTATCCTGAGTCTGCTCGACTTTGCTTTCTGACTCCCTCTTGAGCAATGAAGAGTGGGAGACTATATAGTCAGTGTCTATAGACTCTGTAGTGTTGCTTTCAGGGAATATAACATTTTTTGAGGTCTGAATCTGTCTAGTTTGAGGGTTGTAATATCTCCAGGCCCTGGATTCATCTGTAAGACCTGTAAAAATAAATTCCCTTGACTTTGGGTCCAGTTTTGACCTCTTGTTATCTTGTTACAACACCCAGCACTTTACTCTGAATTTCTGAAGTGCTGAAATATCTGGTTTCATGCTCTGAAACACTTCTTCTAGGGTTAGATCATTTTTGATAGCCCTGGTTGGTGATC